GTTCTGCCACTTCTGTATTTAACCATGCTTGTGTTTTTAGCAGTTTTTGATGCCTTTTTTAAAAGATAACAACTGAAGTGATTGAGCTCATCAGTTGGGTTCAAGGTGACTGAGTAAACATGCAAGTTTCCCTAATAGATGGGTACTTTGAAAATTGCTTACAATATTGCAGAATTGAATGAAAGATGTGCATGGTGTATGTGTGTAGGCCTTCATCATGTACATGCACTCTGTATCTGCCTATGTACATGGACATACCGTATACTCTTCATACGGCATTGGAGATACATGTACATGTACTCATGTATTGTACCCGTATTGTATGAGATGTGATTGTCTTTTCATGGGTCAGTTTTGTACTGTGGCGTAGCCAAGAAACACACTAAACACGTACATGTACATGTCAGTAATTGCTTAGAGAAAAAAATTTACCAATCAAATGTCCATCGTACCCGTGACTGATGCTGTGTCATTTGTATTTAGTATTTATATACGTACATGCTTGCTTAGCAAGATTTTTTTCCTACAGCTCCATGATATTGGGTCCCGGTCTGTCATTTTCATACTTTTAGGAAGATTTCTATGTGCATGCTCAGCCTGTAAGTTTCCCAATCCAGCTCAGGATGTTATCTGAAAGAATTAAATGTTAATAAGGCTAAATCCTCCAATTTCAGTAGGATTTACATATTCATGTACACTACAGAGTTTTAGGATTTTTCGTAAATACTAGTAAAGTTTGAGCTTTAATTCACAAATTTCCCATGGAATGCACATGTATACATGTACATAACAGGCATACAACTTTTCCTCAGATCAGCTGATTTCCTTGCTTTTCGCTTCACATTCATGCCATTAGAAATTGAAAAACACTGTTCAAAGTCTCGTAAAAATTAGAATTTTGTCAAGGTCCAAGTTGCATGCCTGACATAAAGAAAATAACTTTCAGCATTTTGGATTTGAAATTTGAAGATCCGATTTGAAAAGAGCACTTTACCACGAGGAATTTCCAGCTTGCTGGATTGAAATAATCTGAATTCACCCTTGCACGATCATAATCTGAACCTGATAAATGACACACAAGTGCTGTGTATTGGGATTTATCCAGACAAGCTTTGAGGATTCAGACCTGAGTGCAGGGCATTCATGAATTATTGGGCACGGTCTATCAAGCAGGAGCTGCCGCCGCCGTGCGTTTTCTCCCCTCAGACTTGGTCACAGCCGTTCAGGCAGATGGTGGAGCATCTACTAGTAGTTTTGTGCATTTGTTAAGTGTTTGCCAGAAATGCAAGTAATTTATTGCTCAAGCAGCTTCAAGTTTTATGAGTAGTGTGAAGGAAAAGTGCTTCATTAGTTTGCCATATTTTTTCAGTGTGATAGTAAAGAACTACATGTACATGTAGCCTGGAAGTATTGTGTTTTGTCCATCGGCAACCGTTTTTCACCACTTTGATGGATCCTAAAAGCTGTTACCTCATTCTCAGTGAAACAAGTTGCCCAAGCCAGTTGCTGAAACAGTTATTGGAAGATTATCAAATTGTAATTGTCTCACACAGTTTTGAACACCTGAATACCAGCCATGTATCTATCAGGTGCAGCTGCAATGTACTGAGTACATGCTCAAATAAAAGGGCAAATACCACATGGTGACTTACTTGTTAATTTGAATCTGGCATAGGTTTTGTGAGTACTAAGTATCTTCCGTATAATTATAACTTGAACAAGGGTAATTCCAGGATTTAGGGGGCCATTTTTTTTCATGTCCCACATCTGACATAAGATTTTTTAAGTTCAAAACACATTATCTAATTTCCAATAGTGATGAATTAATGCAAATTACGTGTACCTGCCAAACAAATAGTAATAGTTTCTGGAATTACCAGTAAGTGTTGCTCGGCTCATGTCTGGAAGCATCATCATATTTGTTTGAGATCAAGTTTGTGCAAATACAGTATTAAGGTTGGCTACAGGCCTTATAAATGCTCTTGGAACCCCAAAATGTGGTACGGTATGCCTGCCTTCTCGGCATTGTGCTCAGTTTTCAACCTTATGCCGAATTAAAACGCCATGCCCCAAGATGAGTGTACATGTATGGGCCCATATGCACCTGTCCATGAACAGCATTTGATGTGCCTTCACACCCTGTTTCAAACGAAGTACAAGATATCCCATCTGTGAAGGTTACCTGATTACCATAAATTGTGTCCAAGTCGCGCAGTCATGCAGTCCTCTTTTGTTAAATTGCAGCTGATTTCTGATCATTTATGTGAAATAAAATTACATACTACAAAATGTAGTACATGTGTGCATGAAGTTCATGTAGGACATGTATATTCTTTGCCATTCTATGCCTATCCTGTTGAAGCATGTAAATGTAATTAATATGTGTACATGTAGGTGACTTGGTCATTGGGAATTATTTACAGTTTGCTGTACAAAATCCTTGCAACATTTTATTTTGTTTTGTCAATCTTTCTGTGCAATGCAAGTGATTACCTCAGCGAGTATAAAAATGGACATAGTGGTATGTGAGTTTTACATTTCAAATTTCATTCGTGGTGTGGCACATGCTTCTTCTTTGCTGTCTAATATTGGCCTCGTTTTGTTCATTTATGACAGCAAATCATCATGACAGCAATCTGTCATTTGTTTCAAGAGTCCTTTTCTGCCAACTGACAGCCCAAATCGACATGCACTTCTCAGAGAGAAATTACATAAATTGACAGCTTATATGCTGGATTGGAGCACCCCACATTTAGAGGAGGTAAAGGGGTCAGGGGTAAAGTCACTGAAATCCTTGGCAACCTTCCAGGCCTGTCAGAAAATCAGTACTCTGTATTTATTTTGTCAGAGCCTAGAAAGCAAATCTCCACAGTTTTCCCGGCAGCTTTCAGACTTACAGGTATAAACACCCCAAGTTTGATCATGCAAGAGCATATTCAACCCTGGAACTCCCGAGGCATTTACACGTAGACTATAACAGGCTTCCCAAGCCTGACATGTACTGGAACCTTCCACTGTGCCTGTAGCCAGTGCCACACTCCTAATATTTTGAACTTTTAAGGGACATTAAGCCCCTTGTAAAATATTTGTGAATCCTTTAAAATTCTAGAGATTTCTCAGTAGATGTTGAAGACATGAATGTCACACTAAAAGATATTGTATTTTGTGCAAATGATCACTCTTCTGAACTGTTTGTAAAGGATGAAAAAATGGGGTTATTTTAAGACAGGCAAGCATTGTTTTCACTTCATGTAATGTCTCAGCTGTTTCTTCAAGTCTGAGAGCTTTGAGCTGCCATTTGATTTCAGTTACAGAATTTGTGTATATTTTAGGGATTCGCTATACAAATTAAAAACAGTGGAGCTCACGGAAAAGTTAGCTGATAACAGATGAACATTGATTAGTGGTCCCAAAATTAAATAAAAATGAACTTGTCTGCACCAGATGAGATTGCCAGCAATTGTTGGTGCTCAAAAAGTTAATATGACCCTAAAGTTGCTGCATGTACAGTACTTATACCTACATGTACAAAGTTGATAACATTGTTCTGGATATAGAAATGTGTACCTGCATAAAACCAATAAACGCCCTAAAATACCACGCAAAGGGCCAGCCAAAGATTGAAAACTTACCGGTACCGTACATACATTTAAAGTGGGAAGGACTTATGTTATAAACCGGGCTATCACATATTGCAGAGGTAATGGTTTCCTGCAATATCTGGTAATAATAAAAGAGGAACTGGCAATGTGGAAGCCTGTGAAATGAATGAATCCATGCCGTAAAACTTGTTAATGCAGTCCTTGTATACTGTACCTTTGTGTCCCACTTAACTCATTTTTAACTCCCCTTTTCCATATTTAAGGGCATTGTTGCCCTTTTGTTACTGTGCAAATGCAAATTTCTGTCTTCATCAGCAAAAGTGTGATTTCTTTCCAGACAGAATCCTGACTGTAAAAGTCATTGCAGTATCAAGTTTTGACAGACTTTAGATTTTCTCTGTTTGGTGATCTTTTTCAAATTACCGGTACTGCTAGTGAACAAGTTTGGATTCATTTTTGAACAGAAAAAAGAACCTTATAGTGAGAAGTGCCATCCTGAAAATCAGACCAACAGTTCTCTCAATGTCAGGAAGAGAGTAGCATTTGGCCAGGTCTCTCTTCTCTCTCTCTCTCTGTTGAATTCATGTCAGACCAGAGGGTCTTCCTAGATTTTTCCCACCAGTGCCCAACTTCCTGAAGGCATCGTTAGTTGATGAAATATATGTGATGAACATGTCGGCATGTTGTATTCACCCGAGGAAATGTGACTGTGATGCCTAGCATATCACCCAAACATGCTGAAGTGTTCGTCAAGTTGTGTCCTACATAAATTTCCCTCAAGACACATTTGTCTGTAAGAAATCTACTACCTTGACAGTAGTGTGCAGTCTGTTTTTTTTCCTTAAGCTGTAACTTTGCCTTTTATTAGACAACCAGAGCTTTCTTTTTCCACTCTTTTTGGCCACTTTTCAATTTGAGCAAAATACAACAAAGATTTTGCAAAAAAAAAAAACTGCAGTGCGGGGTTTAAGTCAACCGTGAAGGAATAGTGGAATTTGATTACCACAGGTAACATAAAAGATGTTTGAATCTTGCAATTTCTGTACCACAAACATGTGCACCCGTTGAAGGTCATGTTGAAGCATCTTAAAAACAGTTCAACTGAGAATGTTTGTTAGTGATAAATACTCAATGTACAAATCATGAACACCTTCTCATCGTTGTGTTGGGGTTTTGAAACTGGTAACATTTCAGAGCCTCCAATTTCAATAAGACAATACTGTACTTATTTTTATAAATGCAATCACTGTCAGTGTCTTGTTGTATTTGCTCTACAGATAAATCTTCAGGGCTTTGCAAAGTTTCATACTTCAGAGCTGAAATTTGTTGGTCTTTGTATGGATGGTATACACGACACATGTTTAATATTTATGTTGTTTTGTAAATGTTTGACTGCAGGTGAGATTGCAAGCTCAGACATTGTCAAATAAGCGTTACCGTGGCGTCGTCCACTGCTTCTACACAATAGCAAGACAGGAAAGTGTAAGTGCTTTTATTTGATTTTGTTTTGATTTCATTAAGTTGCTTTTCCACATCGCAAACACATGTAGATACAGACAAAGATGGAACACTTGATTGTTAACATAAAGATTAGCAGGGATAACGCCAAAAAGTTTAGAAAATTTACTTCCACTGTGGTCCGAAGATAACTTATTTCCACTTCGAAATAGTGCTTATTTGAAACAGTGCTCATACAGTGGTTGTTGTTGAAAAGTCAGAGCTACATGTATAGAGTACCAAAGTGAATACGACGCGCACACCCATGCGTGTAAAAGACAGAAGTGGAAGATCCAGTGCGTGAACCGGCACCGGTGTGAACACTCGCATACTCTGTTTGCACTAAACCTCCTGGTCACGCTTCAGCGCTCTGTCTGCAGGGAGTAATTCAGTGCTTGTGTGTGATCTTCTAAATAAAGCATTCATGACCTGCTAATGAGCAACAAGCAAATGGTCAGGGCCATGTCCGTTTGTGTGGTTACATTTCTATACCTGATTAGTAACAAAGAATCCACAACACCAGGAAGAACGCATGCAGTAGCCATGGTTACACAAAGTACATGTCTGAATTATGCCTTCAAGCTGGAAATCACAGGTTTCACGGGTAGCCTATTGTACGTATGCAAAGTCAAAAAAACACTAACTTGAAAATGCTTGGCAGTACATGTGAGCTTTAAAGGTTTCACATGTACATGTAGGTGAGCAGGCATTGGCCTGGTCACGTGTTGAGTTTGTAATGGTCCAACTTTCACCTTCGTTTTTGTGGGCGCTAAACTCTCCTCCCCATCCTCCCAGATACCGTATAAACTTGAAACTTGACGCGATGCTATAATGACATCATCAAATTATAGCGAGTTTAGTTTTCGAACTGACCAACTTATAGCGGCTGGATCCCATGAACTGACCCAGATACAGGTGTTGTGTTCATAATTAGGGATCTAACAGATCTTAAGCTACAAATCCATTTTGGCTGGGTGTTAAAGTCATATGACCTTTGCTTCAAGAGTTAATGGAGGGTTAATTTTGGAATTTCAGGCATGTGTATAAATAAATGCTTTGGTCAGTACCTTCCAAACAGTCTACTGGTAGGGTATCAATGTTAAACCTTGTGCAAACATAAACATTGATGTTGAGAAATGCTTGCTTTTGTGACGTGAGCGGTACCTTGACTTCGTACTATGAACATCTAACAAAAGAAGTACCGTGTAATAACAATGGAGGCTCATTGTTAATGCACCGTATTTCTTTAGTTCGGTGTTCATAGTGTCATAATGTGTCAAATTACAAAAATTAAAAGGAATGTTTTCAACTACATGAACATTTCACTATTGATTGGAATGAGTTGGTACGGTACATGAATGTTCATATACATGTACATGTACAGTGAGACCTGGAAGGCCATATCTTACACATAGGCAACATTAATTGTCACAAAGGAAAGTCGTATGACCTCAACTTCCAGGGTAACCGGATACACGTGCAGTGATATCATGTAGGAATATAATTCAAAGCAGGAGTAATATTACGGCATGTTGAGGTGTGTATGTGTCATGTGACATGACTTTACAGGTGTCCACTTCAAAGGCTGGCATCAGCTGAACACATTCAGTTGGACGTATTTTTAATGTTTTGGGAGTCCGGTAGGCAAAACCTTCAGCCACATTCAGGCATTCAGTGTACATGTAGGTCATTAAGACGTCATGTTCAGGGTTTCCAGCATCTGCAACAAGGAATTAATTTAATAAAAACAGAAGTGGTTACCTGTTACATGTACATGTAAAATCTCTGAAGTGGTACGCCAAATACAAAACAAGAGACGATGATGTCATCTCTTTAACAGGGACAAATGATTTCTTAAGAAACAACTCTTAAGGAAGTTAATCATCACTGAAAGATAAATACATGCTTTCCAGACTTTCTACAGCTACAATGTACTTGTATCTGGGATGTGTCCTCGGTATCCCTGAAAAGTGGGTAAGTGCTACCAATGCTAAGAAACCTGTGAAGAATGTGTTCCCATGAGAAGAGCAATTTCTACTGCATTAATTAAGCGTTTGACTAATTTCTGGAATTATTTCGAAGGCAGAGTGATTTTTGTCACAATACAGTCTACCGGTGGATGCACCGGTACCCGTATTTTCTTGACTGTTGTTTGTGCACTGATAATTATACATGTACATGTATGCAATGCTTTGCATACAAAGTCCAACAATGAGGTTTACTCATTTTGCTTACGTGTCAGTGAAGTACATGTATATGGCTGCTCTTGAGGATGGATCCTGCTTCATACAGGAATACACAGGGTCATGGTCCCCCTCTCTGCTTTTGTGTTCCAGTACCGGGTATTTTCATAAACTACGTGTACCAGAAGATAGGCCTTGGCTTTGAGTCTGTTACCTTAATGTTAGTGTATTCTGTCACAAAAAATTATGGTTCCACTCCAGTATGTTGAGTTGGTTCTTCAAGGTAGGGCGACTAAGGACCCCAAGATTTTAGAGTTTCTGCTTCAATTAGTAGTGCAGATAACAGGTAATATTTTGTGGAAGGCCTACATACTGTACACCTGTTTAAAATGTATACCTTGTCGGCGACACTTCACAATCACAGTTTTTTCTGTCACGCTACTACCCACTTTATATTTTAGTTTACGGTGAAGAAGACATGAACCACATTCTCAATTTCTGTATATCCCATACTTGAGCTGCTGTGAACTTGTGTGCTGTGTGGGATAACTGCTGATACATGTATACATTAACTACATGTGCATTGTACATGAACAGTACATTGTAATTACAAGTTAACACTGTGAATTAGAACAGGAATTTTGTGAAAATACACATACTTCATGTTGACATTCACACTAACATTTCACAAGATTTGAAAATGATTCCCCACTTGTGTGAGAAGGAGTGAAAAATGTTTTTTTCATATGAGAAAAATTTGTGAAAATCGTATCTCTCTGGGCGAATGTCTGTGAAAGTTTGTTCCCACTCATGGGAAAATCTTTGAAAACCTTTTCCCACTTTTGGGAATTTTTGACATTTTGTGAAACGAAAATGAAGTCCCTGGGAAGAGAAAACTTGTGAAGAGAATTTTCCATTCTGAGGTTAACTTTCAGTTGCAGTGTACTTATAGCTGCTAAAATCCCATGCAAAAAGAAATGAAATAAAGATCTGTTATTAATGCTCTCCTTTGCCAAGAGACAGACAAAGTCTTCTGGTACATGAAACATGTTTCATTTATTAATTTGAAAGCATCAGGATTCATGGAAAGATATAATAAAGAATATTAAATTGCTGACGTATCAACAAACTACGTGTAGGCATCTAGTGGTTATGAGGAATGTGCATGTGCATACATGTACATGTACACGTATGTACAGCGCATGAACTTCTGAGGAAAATGTACAATCTGCTGACAGTGTGGTACATGTTCTGTACGTCACAGTGCCTGAAGGGTAATTCATGCACTTTGTACCAAATCAACTTCGCTCAAGGGATTTTTTAGTTTGAACAATTGCCCACACACTTCTGGGTCGAATTTTCAAATAATTTGTGTCCATTAAGACAAATGTCTTTTCAGGATTGAAAATGGATTTTGGAATGACAATAGGAATTTGGTCCTCCAATGTCGTGGAACTATAAAAACATGTACAACATTTGACCAAGTCTACAAGGTACACTGGACGTGTAATATCAAGTCACAGTGGAAGCCTTGGTTCATGGTTGTGTGTGCCCCTGGTTCATTTTTAATGCTGCAGTTACACATATCCTGGTACCGGTATGTGTGTGTTTCTTCCTCTGCTGGAAAACCAAAACTAAAAAAAACAAAACTTCAGTTCCGGAGTTTGGTTCACGATGCAGATTAAGGTGTTTGGTGTTCATGTCCCTTCCAGACAGTTTTCTGCACCACTAAATTCAAGGGGGTGAATACAAGTTGGCAGATGTGATGGGCTGCAAAATTTGTGTATACTTATTGCAGTTGATTTCCAAAATGCCCCCCCCCCAGTTCTTTCTCTTTTTAACAACGTTGGATATATTTCCCTCATTTTCAGATGGATTAAATACTCCAACGTTCTTTCTCGAGATATCGGTACCTGTCATGCATGCAGTGCAGGGAAATGAATCATCACTGAAAGCATGTTATGCGAATATTTGATGTGACGTAGTAACAAGTACCAATCATCCCGGTACTTAAAAACTTAAATAGATGTGAAGAACACGTTTTGCTTTTGTGCTCCTCAGGGTGTTCAACTTTAAATCCTAATCTAGCCATTGAAGAGAGTGTCATCTCAAACCCAGCGAACAAGCCAGTGTGTAATGTCACGCCATACCAATCGCTGTGTGGTGCTACGGTAAACACACGAGTCCACCACACTACCATGCAAACATTGAACCACTGGAGCTGCCTTGCACTCCTGCGCATGTCTTGCCCCAGTAGTGTGTGACCTGCCCTCTTGAAATGGACTGGTCTCATGTACACAACATGGGGCACTGACTTACATGTACATTACATTGTACATGTACATGTAACACGTTACTGACATTGGATGTGCATGTGTCTGGGTATTTATTTATTGTTGGCCGGTCGACTGTACAGTATTTATTTATTTATTGTTGGCCGGTCGACTTTACACTGAGACAAGTCCAGTGCCTCGGTCAAAGTTAATAGCAGGGTGTTTGATAAAGGCTTGTCTACGTGCAATTGTTTGGCAAAGGAACTTGCAAAGGAAGATGGAAAGCTAGGAAAGGTGTTGAAATGTCAATAGTAAAAAGACAGTGGAAATTGGGTCTCTCTCTATCGTGGGGTTTTTTGTGTAAATTTTATTTGGCCCAGTATCCCTTTTGGGAGATTGTAATCCCTATCTTAGGATAGTGAGCAAATATGATATTAAAAATTAAGTCATTGGAGAATCTCAAACACCTAGCAAATATAAAAAATGCATATACATGTACAATGTATGGACCATTGCAGGTTGTCTGGTTACAATTTCAGATGAGCAGGTCACCTTTCAATCCAACTGTAACCTTGTTGAAAACTTCCATTACAGCGTGGAACATTACTTTTTGTTCTTCCTGATCAGGTCTTTGGTTTGTACAAAGGAATGGCGTCACCACTGGCTGGCCTGGCATTCATCAACACCATCGTGTTTGGCGTACAGGGCAACATGATGCGGCAGATCGAGAACCAGACGCCCTTCAGCCACTTCTGTTGTGGTGTCGTGGCTGGGGCGGTGCAGTCGGTCGTAGCAGGACCCATGGAGCTCGCCAAGATCCGTATGCAGATGGAAGGGGTCGGGGAGGACCGCCAGCACCAGACCAAGACGCACTACAGAGGCTCGCTCGACGCGCTGCGGAAAATCTACCATGATGAAGGAATGCGGGGATGCTACCGGGGATTTACATTGACTCTGCTACGGGACGCTCCGGGGTTCGGCATCTATTTCATGTCGTACGATGTACTGTGCAGGAGTTTTGGCAATCTGAGCCAGGACAAAGAGATCGGGGTAGGAGGACTTTTGATGGCTGGAGGACTGAGCGGGATGATGTCCTGGTGCGTGTCCTTTGTGACTGACGTGATGAAGACACGAATCCAAGCGGACGGCGTGGAGGGCCCCAAATCGTGCCAGTACAGTGGCACTCTGGACATGATCAAGAAGAGTTACCGCAGCGAGGGTGTCATGGTGTTCACCAGGGGACTGGGGGCGTCATTGCTGCGTGCCTTCCCCGTTAATGCAGCGACGTTTACCGTCGTGACCCTGATGCTTTCCTTCATGCTAAAAGATGATCAAGCTGTTTGAGGTGGCATCCACTAAGCACCAGTCAGTTACAATTGAACCGTTGTGTTTCCAAGAGAGACTGGGGAGAATGGTCTCTGTGAGTGGCAAGGTGTATAGAGTTTGCCATTCGGTCATGCTGAATTGGAAACTTTTGTAAAGACTTGAAATATTATCAAATGTAATTCTTGAGTGTAGCCTACCCAAAAAAAAAACAGCTTTAATTTGTGTAGCTCTCTGCCTGTTTGCAGCTCATGTTTCCAGCAAGCCAGTATCTGTGGCTTATGGTGTCCCTTGCTGTGTCACAGACTCACAGTAAGGTGTGCAAAGTGTGTGCAGTCTCACCTGTGCATTGAGTGGACAAATGTCAATGACATTCAAGGCACGTGTGGATCGTGTTCCAGGAAAGTCTGTTCAGCAACTCCCCTTGTAATGTCAAACGAGTTACAAGGCTGCTCTTGACAAGTTTAAAATCCAAATTTATTTTCGAAACATTGATGTAAAGTATAGCGCAAATTCTTTGTTTTACTTTTTATATGTACATGTGCGACAGCGCGTATAAATTCTGTTCTCTGCCTTTTTTTTTACTTCCAAGCCTTCATTTTTGATGGAGTGTGCGTAAAATATTAACATTTGCTTGGGGAATAATGTTCTGAAATACGCCGGCTTTTATGTTTGTTTAGTTTTGTTTTTAATTTAGTATTGTTTTGTTTGTTATTGTTCCGCTTTTATTCATCTTAATAGGATGTAATGTGTGCGTAACGCACAATCAACAGACAATGCTGTGCTAGCAATCGGTAGACTAATCTGAGGAGACACCCTTTGCTGCGGTGGTGTCACACTCACATGGGCATTCCTAGACTTGAGGCCTGCGTGCATTTCAACAACTTACTGTTATGACTCCCTGTTGAAAGAATGGGCACGTGACGTGTGCAGCGCCTACATCTACCTGTCAGTGTGAGGCCGCCGCTGTAATGGCTTTGAATTCTGGATGCCTGAGTATACTGCATGTATGCAGTAGAAAGGTGCTGTTGAATTTGTAGCCTCTCAGCTGTGACAGAGACACAGAGATGTGGACAACGTTTGAATGTTTGCTGCTGTGTGCAGCTGCTGATTCAATTTTGTGCACATTCAGGTGAAAACTAGGTGTGCCCACCTTGACCCATCCACACTTGAACCTGTGCGCATGAGGTGGACATGTACCTGTATCTCCCATGCCTGCCGATACCATTGCCCACATCCACCGTCTGGAACAGCATTCATTACATATATGTACATGTACACTGAACATATTTTTTTCTTTCAAAAAAATTAGCTATAGATGTGGAAATTAACACCCAGTTCATTATTAGGGTACATGTCATTGATCTCTAGGGTTCTTCATTTGTAGTTACCGGTGCTTACAAACCATTAACAAGTACCTGGGGAGTTGGGGTTAACCTGCTGGGTTGGGCCCTTGTTTCCTGAAATTTTTTGCCTGCCTGCATATTCTTTCTTTAGAAGCACCAAGTCACTGGTTTGTTTGTTTGTTTTGTTTTATATTTACTCGTTGTAGGATACATAAAATTTGATTTTTAGGAAAATTTTTCTTTTTCTTTGTATTAAAGAGGCTTAGTTCAAACAGAATCCAAAGAATGCAATGATTCTGTCTTTATCTTGATTTCATGTGATTTGGGTCAACGTGTACAGGTGTCAATTTAGAGCGTAAATCTTTAATTTTTTAACTGAAATGTAACCAGAAAAGACTGAGTTCTTTAAATTTTGCAACCAGTATCTTTATTTTATTGTTTGTATTTGAAAGGTAGAAAAGTAGATATATTTCAGAAAGCACATCTTCTGTGTGGCATGTGCCGAGCTGTAGAGGTCTGTACACGTACATATATTTATGCTTTATTGTTGTAAGATCATTACTGTTTGAGAATGCACATACATTAGGTGTCGCAGTGAAGAAAGCATAATACCAACATTGTTTGAATAGTAGTCAAAGCTCACGGGGCTGATACACAGTGGCCTTGAACCCTAATTACGGAACTGAATTCTGGGAACCAGACGGGGACTTTATGCAACACACACACAGCAGCGTTCATCCAGAAAGTAGTAGAATGTGAGTATGGAGTTCATATCTTGAGGCATTGATGCCAATGTGTGACCTTTGTAGGTGTACAACCTCGTCCTCAGATATGACAGTAGACAGTGTGGTTATTTTGTACCAGTATAGCAACGGCTTGGCGTTGTGTTGCTGATATTCTACAAACAGTAGCCGTAGCCATATCTGTTTTGAACTTAGGGTACAAGTCCTCCACACTCCTGATCGAATGAGCTACTAATACCATCTTCAGACGTTCAGTCAGTCAGCTGTTTTTTTGTTTTTGTTTTTTTCCCTGAAGTGACAGAAGTCCTGCTACTTGCTGCTCTGAACATTGTCACTTTGCAGAAACACAGACTGGGTGTATGGATCTCGACACTGATTGAAGTACGTGTACTTGTATCATACCCATAGTCTTGATTCCAAGAGGTCCTTAATGATGCAGTGTTTCAGCACATATACCATAGAACAATTTATGGAAGTAGGCACCCTGTGCACACGTGGCCACAATCCACCCTGTATGCAGAGCAGTAGGTCAGAGAAAGAAATCTGTGAACATATGGTCTTAGTGAAACACCCATATAATTTATGCATTCACGTTACTATTTCAACCATATTTGATTTTGACAACTTAATGTATATGTATAAGCACCAAGTCGGTTTTCCCTGTATGGTTGGTTTGATGATAAAAGAAATCTGTGCATTTGTACAATGGATATCCAGTCCTGATTCAATTGGCAAAAGCCAAACGCTAATTGAATTGCATGTAATCATTAATGGATGGAAACAAGAAATACCTTGCTTTAGGGAATGTTTGTGATCTACATGTATATGCAGACTCAGTACAAAAAAGTTTAATGTGTAATAGGATTACTTGTTTGGGTTTACAGGCAATTTAAAAAATTATATCCTCCAGACGCATTTTTTTCCTTTCCACTTTCCAGGAACCTGTAATGTCGTAATGCCGTCCTACTGAATAAACCTTAGCATTTTCTCATTCTATGATCAAGGCACTGCCAACAGTATGTTGCCAAGTACACCCAAGAATTGCATGAAGATTTGACATTTGAGGTTTCCTGAGGTGTGTTTGGAATTAATTTGCACAGAGGAATGCCATGCTGAGAGTTTGAATGCGGTCTAATGTATCGGCTGCAATTGAGCATGGTTGCAATGTTGTAAATTTTATGATTGTTCAATGTAGAGATCTTTCCCACAAAGCATTGTTTTGAGAGTTAGCATGCTCAGTTTGTTAAATGAATAGTGTAGTGCGGAGAATGTGTGTTAATTCGAGGTGGTTCTTGTAGCACAAACTGTTGGATTCGTGCAGGGCTGGGCCTATTAGCAGTTATTTGAAGGCACTTTTGTGCAATTTTCCACTTTTTGGTGTGAAAGAATCTCTCCATATGCAGTGCGTGTTATATGGAGAGATGCCGTATGCACAATTTGCCTGGAGATTGCCTATTTTCCACCTTGTGAGCTGCTTTGGACATGCCATCGGTGGTTTGACACTGCTCTCACCCACCTTGTATGAAATGACTCCACGGCGCCCTCTGGAAACCAGGTGCAGACTAAATACTCATGCTGCAATGTACTCAAACTTCCAACTAGCCACAGTAAATAAGGAAAGGAAGATTTGGTACTATAGTTATTGTATTGTTCCTCCATTTAAACTGTATTCCATTAGTAGCAGAGCACAAATTCAAACTGAAGAAGTGTCGTCTTTGTGGTTACATCATTTGTATTACTGGTTTAGTCGCATTTTACTCTGAGAAATTTTCTGCATTGACTGCAATTTCAGACCTACCGGTACCTGAAATTTTCCATTTAACTGAAAAGGACCTGTAAGTAGTGTCCTTAAGATACATGTATGTTAAATATGTCTAACATATATGTCAGTGATTTTCTTGGGATTTCAGTTGCTTTTGAAAAATTAATAAGGTGTTATTTAAAGCAATAAATGTCACAAGAGCACAAATGTAAAAAAGAAATAAAAATCTGTCATCTGTCATTTGTTTTTTGTGCCCAGTACATGTATGTAGAAGTAAAGTTATTGATTTTTTTTGTTTTGTTCTATTTTGCTTGTATCAAGCAAATCTTTGAGTACCATAAATAAGTGTCACAAAAAGTCTTGGAAATGAGACCGTGATTTTCTTTAGTGGCAGTAGAGCTTGCAAAAGGAGAATTTGAGTATTCATTGAAAGTGTTAACCCTATGTACATTTTTCAGTGTGGTTCTATGAAAACCAATGACTAAAAATATTGACTTGAAAATATATGACATTTTTGAGTGTGAAATAAAAGTAGTTACTTTTATGCATGAGGTCAGTTATGGACGTGTCTCAGTGGGTTGGTAATCAAGGAAACAGGCCACAACAAGCAGGAGAAAAATTGTCCAAACAAAAGATGGTGACAGGGGAAAAACTGGCCAATCTGTAGTCTGGAAAATAAAAAGTGTCATGGGGGAAAGGTTCAAAAGCTCATTGTATGCAGCGGCAGATAATTTGGCTGATGAGTAATGCAGGATTGACAGAATGTGTTGTAAACAATTTCAGGGCTTTCTTGAAAAAAAAAAAAATTTGGAAGGTGTGCCCCAGCAGTTACCATCCATGTTCAGGGGAAGTTACAAGTGAGCTGATGTTGGTCCCCACAACATCTTTCAACATCTGTTTTCTTAATTGTCCCCACAAGTACAAAACTAGTAACATGTCTACATGTGTGATTTACCTGTAAATTTCTATGTTTCCAAAAAGTAAGTTCTTTTCCGTAGCATATTGTAATACATTTGTATCGTCAGAATATATAGCATTCTGTTTATTTATGTATTTAACTGCTACCCAAGCTTCACTATACCAGGCAAGATAAAGGACGGAGGGGTACCCCCCTTACCTGTCAAATCCCTACACACACTCTAGACTATTGTTATCTAACACACACCCCCTAGATATCTGAAAAGAATTCCTGAGATTCCGATCAAACAATGACCAACACAAAGGTGGAGGGGGTTCTCTGCGTCCCATATCTTGCTTCAAATGAGCTTCACTGTAGCACACTTTACCTCATAATATTCAGTGCCTTTTATCTAATTAGTCATTTTGAAGTCATGTGACCAAAGCCCTCGCAATCATGACAGTCATCTTTGATGATGTATTGAAGTCTTTATAGAATGATATTCCATTTTTATTTTAATGAATAAAGTACAGAAGACAGGCGACCAGTGTTGCTTAACTGCATTATGTTCAGAAGCCATTTGTTATTATCTTGCACAAACGTCCTAATTTCAGGTCTTAGTTCTAGCTCATTGTGAGTCAATATTTGCTGCAGCAATATCAAAACACATGACACAAAGCCCATGATTCAGTAACGTCTTCATTAAGTCCTCCATATGGCCATGCAGCTGAAGAGGAAGTCCAATCGGATACAAAGCCCTGTTTTGATTAAGGGCCCTGATACTGAATGGTCCTCTTTGAGCATGCTTATTTGCATGTTTTTCCGTTTGTGCATGTAAGAGTAGTTGGTTGATTTGCCCAAAATTCTTAACATTTGATCACCCCTTGTGTGCTAAGAATGTAGTCATTCCTGAAAGCCTGAAATTCCACCACTGATGGTTAACAGTCATGTTGTGACATCATGTGCAAACCATCCACCCAGTTGTTCCTTCTTTGGGTCTGTTTGTAAAGTTTCTGAAAATTTTCTGTTCCATGTTATGCCTTTGTTCATCCTATAGTTTCTGGTGTATCTTTTGTTTGGATGTTAGCGATCTTATTTCAATTTCCCTTTAATTTCTGCCTATTGATATTTCATGAACATTCACAAAATGTCTATCCAACTCAGTGATATAAGGTAATGTGACTTTCAAATCAGTTTGAAAGATCTGTAAATTTTACACATATGTATATATTGTATTTAAATTGAGCTGAACGTACAAATATTCAAGTGACAAATTTGGCACTCTAATGGTTTCCCATGGGAGTGTTATTTGTAGAAATGGGGAGAGACAAAAGTTTATTACATTTCTGGTGTCTGACTCAGATGAAGAAAAAAGTGAACTACTGAGGCCTTTAACTTCTTCATTTGTGCCACCAAATAGAAGACCCCCAAAGAGAGAAAACAAAAATTCAACCTGTTGAGTTGTAAAGGTGAATATGATTCTGATGGTTTTTGTAGTACATTAGTATTGTTGTTTGATGACTGCATAGTTTGTCCTGAAAACTTATTAAATGATTACCTTGAAATGTTCATGTTAGTATTTTGTTTTATTTCCATTTTCCGAGTGTTCTATGAATTAATCCAGCAGTAATATCCATTCCAGTCTTAATTCACAGGGATAAAAAAGGTGTGAAGAAAGTAAATGCAACAGGGCATACATGTAAAATATAGGTCTCTCTCACTTCCTACAGAATATAACGTGCATCAGCTGTGCTGTATTTCGAACACCTGTGTGCTTTATATACGTAGTTGCAATTTTCCTGCAAAGATGGCGGCCAATGAGCGAGATCTATTAAAGCTAGAAAGACCACAGTCATGTTTGTTTTTAGTAATCAACCAAATAAATCCACAATAAATGGCAGACGAGCGTAATTACCTGAACTAACCCAGCCCCACATCAGATTTGATACCATTCCATTGTGACCTTAGAGTCTGGGTTTTCTGAAAGGTGGGGCTGACAACTTTGAGAAAGACCCTAAGAGTGAGATAGGTGAGAGATCACACAAGCTCAAAGCCCCAACAGCGTGACGTTCAGAGCCCGCTTAAGGACCCCCACAATTTGGGGATTCCAGACACTGTGGTTCAATCAGGGGCAATTTCTCAACCACTCCAACGTTATTCTGGGCTATTAAAAAAAACATAGGCCACATTTTTCACTTAATTTATTTTGATCACCAGTCGTGTCAGAAATCCTGTGTGGGTGTCAGAGCATGAGAATAACCTGAAATGCTTCAGAGTTGCCAATCCTGTGGAAGGCGCCATGATCGACTGCTCCCAGCTCTTGAGTTTTTCAAAAGGGCTACAGGCCTATTAGGATTGAACAGCAAACAACAGCTTTTCAAATCTGTTCTGCAGATTTAATATAATAGGCCTATTTACTGATGATGTCACAGTTTGTACACCTGTGCCCCTTTCTATGGAGCCAGGGGGGACCCAAGGTCCACTGAGCACCACAGGACAGCACACACATGAAGTACATGTATGATTTCATCAATCAAAAGCCAATACATGTAACATTTTGTACTCAAATGTCCCATCTCCCACAATCCTTTGAGGTCAAACCATTGAGCTATATAAAACCTAGAGCGCTGACTCATACAAAGTGATGCCTGCTGGGTGCATCCATGTTTGTGCACAAACTTATGGGGAAACTCGAAATTTTGAACAGCTTCTACATGGCTATTTGAGTATCTGCGTCTGTATTCTAAAACAATACGCCAACAAAACCGAAACACAAACAATCAGTAAATGAGTGTTTCATTTTGCTCTGCCCCCAAAAATGCAAACGCGTGCATGTATGCGCTGCACATGAACTTTGCAGTGAAGGTTTTTTTAATCGGATTTTAGCGATACCCAACGTGCACGACAGCCCCTGCTCCAGAGCTGTCAACTCTCACTTAACACAAACTGAATCAAAGGAACAACCTTTTACTTTAGCTGAACTTGTTTATTGAAAGAAAGCCATTGAAAGATGCGCATACCATACAAAATCGGACAACCTTGCTCAAATGTTAGGGAGACGTTCGTTATAAAATAATCAGCTCTGTGCACGTACGCCTTGATGATGTTCGCGTATGTTGTACTTGCGCGTTGCATTTGGGATACATAATTCAGTATTCATTCTGTCTGATTTCAAATGTTCTACAAGCACGCACATGGATTCAAAATGTCTGCGCCCAGGACTGCGTCACATTTTCTCCGCCTGGAGAATGAGAAGTCAGCGATCTAGTTTTTATAGCTCTATAAGTCAAACATATTTAATGTCAGGCCATGCCAAAATCAGACACAGAGGATTCTGTCTTTGCTATTAGCATGCCATAGTGATTAGCCATAGCCATGCCAAAAGTGACTGTATGGTGCTGGGGCAGACATCCAAGATAGCAGATCAAAACGGTTCATGGGAAATGGCGTTGTTGCAAACAATCTATGGAACATGTACAACAAGCTCTGTTGAATAAACAAGATCAGGGCTTTGAGTAGCACTCATGAATTCCTGGCTGAAAGCAGCCAATGTACACGTACATGTACCTTCAGTCACTGAACACTTCAGTAAGCTGGATTCTACAGTGAGCACATGTATATCCACACTGCCTAGGAACAGCCCAGATGCAGGCGGAGCATGAAAAGTAGTAACATTAATTAAGGCTAAGTCCCATCAGTGTCCATTTGTTAACTACTTGTTGAGTTTCCTTGGTAACCTGTGAATAAAATAAATGTTCATCCTGGGTACCGGGCAAAAATTAACTAAATAGTCACTGATGCAACCTACATGTACATACATACAGATGAACCCTGAATGTTGTCACATAGGTGTCTTGTCAACCAGTCACACATGCAATCAAGCACAAATCTTCAAGCATACATCTGGAAGTAACAGGTTTGCACTTTCTCAGATGGACTTACAGATAAACTTAGACAACTTACTTTAAAGTGGAAAAATAAAATAACTCTCTTGGCTTAGTACAAAAGATCAAATGTACCTACAGAAGACATTCACTCTGAAAAATATGTTGGCTATCTCAGCAGTTTTTTAACCCAAACTCTATTAAAATATTTGCTAGGAACCTTTCTGGATCCCAGAAATCCTCCACTATGCAGAAAACCAAATTCTGTACAACCAAAATCTTCATGTTTGCCATGTGGTAAGGGTAACTTTCAATTTCAGACAGTGGGACTTGATTTTTTTCCCAAAGGTTTTGCAAGCGTAGAGAATGGGCAAGAACAATTTCTTGATGAGTGCATAAGGAGATTAGGAAAAGGGTTACAGCGCTGAATGATAAGGTAACCACTGAACAAAGCAAGACATTCAACCACTATGGAAGGAAGACTTGAATGTCTTGACACTTCAATCAAGCCGAAAGAATGCTAACATGAGTCTCCTCTTCCGTACAGAAACGTTGCAGTCTTTCAAATTATAACAAACCATACACTGTAGCCCTCTCCAAAAGCCCCCAGCGGCATGTACCAACTACGTAACTGTACACCAACAGACGACTGAAACCCTTCTTGAATACTAGCATGGCCCCTATTAGAACGCCACAATAAACATTCTGAAGCACATACATCTGTTATACATCTACCCACATCTTGTGGTGTTTTGAACTTAATTCATTACAGCAGAGTTCACTGTATTAAGCATCTGTACAAATGTGGCTTTTATACATGTACATTGTATATATTAAGTCACTGTCGCCTATGCTCCAGTGTACAAAGAGAAGAAATATATGTACAAAAGTAGGACCGGATAAAGAAGGAGAGGTTTCTTGTGGGCCAAGCTGTCTTGAATGAGTAACGACCCAGCACTGTAGGCAGCCCATGAGACTCCAGCAAACTATAGGGGAAAGCAAAGGGTAATTAATAATTACATTGTGTGCAAAGTGGCTGAAACTAATTAAGGCATCTCAAAGCACATACATGTACCTGTAATGTGTCCACATATGTGACCTGCTCCGATGAAATGAGTGTGAAGTCAGAAGTTTTGAAAATTAAGATATTGGTACTTTTTAATTTGACAGGAAAAAGAGCTTCATGTAGTATAATTATGTAGAGTAAAAGAAATTAGGCCTGAAGGTAATCCCCTGGAGAGACAGAACTTGAAGAATTGAGACACCAGGCGACTTTGTTTTCAATAAGATTTTTTTTCCACCTAGACATAAACAACTTCTATTGAGAGAACAGGCATGAAAATTTGGAATTATATAAACAAAACCTTTAGGAATTCCAAATATTATGAAACTCTAAAATGGACCAACCCTTCAATTGTACTCCATTTTGCGATGGGAATTTACAGTTTGACTTGCCATAGCAGGTCATGTTTTAAAAGCAAGACGTGTCCAAGCACTCAAAAACAGGTTGCAGTGGGCAATATGAATGAGGTTAGTTTGGGCACAATGGAACACAGCAAGCTCTACATACAAAGACCTCACAATAAAACTGTCACAAGTGATCTTTAAATTCCAGGGGGTCAATGATCATGCCATATGAGTAGACAATCATGCTCATGATGCGTATCTTGTTTGCATGGGTTCATGGCTGTAACACAGCAACACAATCTCCACTTCACTGAACAGGCGGCATGAAATACCCTGTACTTGTCACTGGATAAATTTCACTATTTAAACCCAAGATACAGACAAAACAAGGACAGAAAGTTACTAGAGTCATCACTACTAGTGTTCTGTCTTTCAGTTTGGTTCTGCTTTCTGAGGCAAGACAAATCCGAATACAAGATGTAAGCAGGTACACAGCTGCTCATTTCAACGAAACAATACATGGACCAGCCAACACAGCAAATATAAGCTATTGACGGTTGGCTCAAAAATGACAGCAAAGTCAATCTAATGCTTACCTTTACAACAAATCCTATATATGGAATAGTGCCCAATAGCGGCAGCGTTGTAGCTGTGATGATGAGGGGTAACAGCGAGTATCCAATCACACCAAGACACTGGGAATAGTTCACCTAGGGAGATAAAGTCAATTAAGACAACACAGTCTGATTATTGGCTCAGTCATACTGGTACTTGGCAGAGCTGTTCATAGGGAGAGTTGCGACATGAATGTCTGAATTGTTGGAACCAAAATGGCGGATTATGCACGAGTGCACATGGACAATACAGCTCTGAATCATAGCTGTGCTTGGCCCTCCCATCAAGTCAACCAGTTGCTGCTAAAATCTTCTTAAGCCTGACTCCCTTCAGATTTTTGCAAGGGACTTTCCAGACTCCTGCAAAATTAACTATTGTACACGAATCCAATCAAACAATTTTGTATTTCAACCTTCCAAAGGGCTTTTACCCTACAGCCCTCAACCCTTCAATTTCAGTACAAGTTTCCATACATCATTCAAAGCAGGTTGGATTATGCACCGCATAAAGTAACAGCCACTGGGCTCTTCCTTCCTCAATCCTGCAACATCCTTCCAACTCTCCCAGTAAATTTTGAACGACTTGTGAAAGCTAGGGTTAAGGACAATTTTTGACCAATTAAAGAAATAGAACTGGAACCCTACGGTAACTCCCTAGGCTCTTGCACTAGGGAGCATACTAAACCCAACAAACTCCAACAGGTTCATGTACTTGTCTATGTACTGGTACATGCAGGTCACTGAACCAAACCTGATCAACTCCAACAATATTACTTCGCTGGAGTTTGAGTGATACAGCATGCATGGGTCTATGCAAAATAGGATGACTTGCACTGCCAGACACTACACACAATGACCCCTGTGTGTCCCAACTCACGCAAAATCCAACACCATCACCCCGGGCCTTTGATACCAAGTCCAAAAAAATTCAACAAGAAGCACATCGGGTATGGTACCAAACCTGCCAAAACCAAGGAAAACCGGCTGTTTGATGGATACTGGGCAGTTAGGGTTAAAAACATAGTGCAACACGTTTAATATTGTTTTCTTCAAAAACCTGAAACCTGAAAGCTAGGACTTCACAATTTGCATTTTCTTTATTTTACACATATGCATCATCATTTTTATCAGCGGGGACAATTTAGCACACCTTATAAATAAAAACTCTGTGCGCTGGGTAAACATTTTGGTGGGTGTGGTGCCAGCTGTTACTTGGCTAAATGACAATGCCATATTAGGATGGCAACTTTACTGACAATATCCTGAGCAGCTGCAAATATAGACTCAATCCGTACTGTCAACAGGCCATCAATCAATAACAAGCGCTATCAGTGCGTAACGGTACTGCGTATTATGTATACATATGGGGTGAACGGGTGAAACACTGAGGAGCTAATTTGTACACTCTGCACCAAGTCCACTGGCAACATTGTTAACATATTGCCTACCAACACAAATATATTTCTTTGTCCAAATTTTGTAGGTTTTTCAAACATACTTGCAAATACTGGTCACCACGGAGATTAGCTACTGTATGGTTTTATAAAGGCATAAGGATACCACAATGGACCCAAAACGAAGCTTTAAGTTTATCGAGATTGCAAAGCTTTAAGTAATTTCAACTGCACAAAAATGCCACTGAAGGAGGTCAAAATGTTCAGTGTGTCAAACTTTCATGATTACCAGGTGACCTATTTCTCCCTTTTTTAATTCACAGAAGGATGCTATGTACACACAGATCAACACAACGTAGGTGAATAAACCAATTCAGCATTCCAACTCTACAAATGTGCAACAAGATTTAGCTTACTACTCCAGGATAAATGTGCAAAAAGTGAATGCAACCCTATGGGGCACACAGAACTGAATCCATCCTTGCTAATTTTTATATGCTCAAAAGAAGATTGAAATGTTTATATATGCACAAAAGTTGTAGCGCACTGCCCAAAGTTGAAATTTTGTGCTTGCATCAGAATAAGGACTGTTCTTTAGTATGCTGGAACTTGCTTGGACTTGGCATAGAGCAAACCATTCACGCTGTAAGGAAAATTGTCAAATTCCATTACACATACCTCTCCGCCCAGAACTCTTGCTAGAAGGAAGATGAGGAGTGATCCAAATATCCAGATGGTAATGATCCATGACACAACCTGTCATTAGCAAACAAGAAGGACAAACATCTCTTACATCTCTTTCAATGCAGAAATTACCTGAGTGAGACAGGACAAACTCGACAAGTAAACTTCAGGAAAGGGTTTCACTGATGTCAATATTTAAAGCTTTCAATCGGGGACCAACTTTACCCGTATCTCTGAACAGCTTACTTCTTGTGGTCAATGTAAAACTACATCTTCGCTCTCTTTGAAATGGGTATATACACAAAAGGTAAAAATCGCAGATGAAAGCTCACCCTAAACTGTCCATAGAGGGAGACTGCCGAGAAGAGCAGAACCACCAAGAGAGGACCCCAGAAATCAGGACTGTCCCTCAGAATCTGCCTCTGGAAGCCCAGAAAAGGGCAAGGGAACACCACACAGCGAACTTTGTAGTAAATATCTTTCAGATCAATGTCAAGCTCTTCGCTGAAAAAAAAAAAAATGGAAGGAGCGGAAAAGTTAGCGACTTGGAAAGGAACAAAGGCGAATGTGAGGCCAAACAAAAATATACATGTCACTGTGTTTTCTATTACACCGAAATAAATCATATGAGTATAGCAGGTTCAAATACCATAGGTTGTTAATGTGACATATCTGCACTACAAATTGACTGGTTGATAGGCTGGAAAATGTCTGAACTGAAAACCAGATGGTCACAGTTGTGTGACATTTTCAAGAGAATCAGCTTAAAAAACACATGTAAAATAAAAAAAAAAACAGTCTGCCACCTAACCCCCGTCAGGTTTTCTCCAAATCCAATATTACAGAAGGAAATGACAGGAATGGTTGGATTCTCACAGCAAGGGTGTGTTGTCATCATCAGTGTCTTCCACTTCCAGCAGCCAACCATAGCCCTTGGTCCGCAGGAACTGAGAGGCACTGCTTCCTGGCTGTGTCTTGGTGTCTGCGGATGGAGTATCGGTGTACTGCATCTCGCCCAAGTCAAGCTCCACATCATCTGAGTGCCTCCCTGTATGTGAAGGCCGGTTGAAATGAATTTCTAGGTTTATGTGAACGAGTACATTTCCGAGCCAAATTTATTTTCACACTGACCAGATTTCATTTCTTTTTCATTTTTATATTTAGCAGTAAACATTTGACAGAAAACCAGCAGTACTGATGTGCTTTTGCGTTTGAACTAGGGTTGGATGATTTAAATCACCTTGATTTGCATCACTGATTTAAATTGCAATTTAAATCAAATGATTTTTTTAATCACTGATTTGAATTCCCATATTTAATTTTTTTTAGGCTAAAAATTTTCAATTTTTAAATTCTTTTCAATCCCCCCCCCTCTGTGAGCCATTCAGTTCCTAGTATTGATAAGAAATACGAATGCACATGTTACACACACAGTTTGGGTTGACAGGATTTTGTTGTTCAATTCAATCCACTTGTTTTGATTTCAATCAGCTTTTTGGATTCAGTGAATGAATTTGATGTGAGGGATTTTTAATCATGATTTAATTTCATTTCATTTCACTTGCTCATTTCAGAGTTTGACATGGTAAAGTATCAATGTGCATCAATATTTTATCTCTGCTCTACAAGTACACATGAATTTTGTAGAGATTAGAAACATTGGTCATTATGCAGTGAAACTAACACCAGTAACAACATGTTCTTAACCCTAACAGCCCTGAATACCACAAAGTACTACTTAGTAGTTAAATGTAACAGAGAAACCGGTTTTTCTGTTACACATGGTAAAACTGTCACAATACAACCATTAATTTACACTGGGATATGCATTAGATTTTGTCAAACAATGGCAACAACATTTCATGTCTGCAGTCAATGAATAGGGATCTCAAATAAATTAGGGATACAAATATATTCTAAAACCTGTCCATATTTCCGATGAATGGGAATTAATGTGAAGCAATTTTGATGTCATAAAGCATTACAATTGTCACCAAACATTGCACATGTTGCATTGGGTTCAACATTTGTGAATTAAAAAAGAAACTTTTTATAATGCATATGAAGAAAAACTAAGGATTTTAGGCATAAAAAAGAATTCTTGTTCAAGGCGAATCTTGTATTTAAAATGCTGTTATTAACAAGGTTGCACTGTCATGACTGAACAGGTATAAAAACTTGTCACGCACCCACTGGCCTACATGTACTTGAAAGTTAAAAAAATAACTTCTGAGTTTACTGGATAATGAAAAATTTTCAAGGAATTCAGAGATACATGTACTTTGATGCCAGTTCACATTTTTATGCAAGTGGAATGCGAAGAAAGTTTGATGTCACAAAGCATTTATTCCAAAAAATTCAACAAAAGCCCCACGTCGAATTTTGTGATTTGAGCTGTATGCTAATGTATGTTGAGCACATCACAGCACGACAGCCTAGCGGACCATTCAAAAATTGCACCAGCATGCCGAGTTGGCGTGGCACATTCACACCGGTGACTGTTTCTTGAAAGGCATAATGTGCATTGCACTGTTTCGATGTAGTCACAGCCACCAAACGTTCCGCCACTCACAAGACAGTTGCTGGCGCTCATGTACCAACTTGACACAGCACGCTGTGAATGGACTGAATTTCTGAATTAAAATTCAATTTTTTTCAAATTTGTATCAAGACATATAAATAAAAGAAAATTAATACACATGCAGTTAATTTGCCTGCTTTTCAATATATAATTGAGCCAACTTGTCTCCAACTTTTAATAAAATCCAAAAAACTGATTTACATGTATTTTTTAAAATCTGATTTAAATCCCAAAAATCTGATTGTTAAATTTGGGAGGGGGGGGGAGAATTCCATACGTGTATACGGACACCTGATGCCCCTGTACACATACATGTACCTATGAGACTTGTCTGAAAAAAGTAGGCCTACGCTTAAATGTTTTCTAAGTAAATGCTTAAGAATTTTCTAAGCTTACAGTGTAGTTTCACTTTTTAGGACATGTTATCACTTTCTGACAGCTGTTATAACATTTTAACTTGGAAACTTAGTGTTGTCCGATATGGAACTCTTTCCTTTTTGAAAAAAAAATTTAAATGCCAGCCCTGGTTTGAACCAGCATGACAACTGAACAGGGGGCAGCTACAAATTTACTGTGAGAAAACTTTGCCTGATTCCATCAAGTCCATGTTTTAAAGAGGGATAGGGCCTACATTATACAGGACAGGCATAATACTAAACTCATCCCCCCTCCCCCACGAGCCTGACGTGACACACCTCCCATCAACCATGTCGGCCACTTCCCCATTTCGGTCATTAGTCATACAGTGGCATAGCAATGGGGGGACCTGAGGAACACGTCAAAGTCCCGGTGCCCCCCACAAAAAAACCTGATGAATGGATCCTAAACAAGGCTAACAAAAGCTTGCCCCAAAAAACATCACCACTGAAAGCTGGTGCCCCCCCATAAAGCACTGCCTACTAGTACCATGCCTACTGGCGCCCCCTTGTCAGCTTGTGCCCCCCCCCCCGGTATTTTAAGTTGGATTTTTATTTTATAGCTAGGCTTACGCCATGACTGCGCCCCGGCGGTCACGTCAACAAGCCATGCAAATGTCTAGTGGGAAATAAAGGACATCTTAACATACAGAATAATGGGCCTTACCAGCTGTTTTTGAGGCTGAGGTAAGGTCGTCATCTGACACGAACTCAAAATCATTCTGCCACGTCTGCGACGTCGATGCAGCCGCCGTTGTGGACATTGACGACAATGTTGGCACAGCAGACGGTATCGTCGATCTGGGTGATAAAGTTGTCTGTGACACTCCACTCAAGTATGTAGGAACTCCTCCATACGGGGAACTATACAATGAATCTGTTTTCTGTGTATCCATGATTGGAAATATGTTAAAATATGTTTAACTACTGACAAAAATCGATTTAAGAAAGGGAAAAATTTGCCCAACACTAAAGTTCCACATCATTAGAAGCCATCTTGAATGCTGCATTATGGGAAGACAAGTTAGTCCCATTCAATATTCCTTTTCTTTCAGATTAAGATTAAATGTTGCAACCAAAAAAATCTATTTTTAATTGGTATTAAAATATTGTTGTAAGTTTGGAGTATTTTTTGTTATTTATTTGAAATATTCAAATACTATATTACTTTAAGATAATTAATTTATATGCACCTTCAATAAAATCATGTCAGACAGAGGTTGTTTCGCGCGAAAACTGAACGAGCAGTTTTATAGATCGAAGGTGCTACTGTGGAGCATAGTGCTGTTTAATGCCGTGTTTTACTTTAAATTTCTCATGAAGGAATCACTTTTTGTAAAAGGTATCCATCAAATAAACGTCTTTTTTTAATAACTTTAACAAGTGAAAACTGACATTTGTTGAAATAAATTTCACTGGCATTGTGGCAACCACAAGCTAACCTCGTCATTTTGCTTTAGAGTCGTATTACTAGTTAGACCCACTGCCGCCCGATAGCACAGCACTTGGTACTGCACGTGCACTGGATTCCTTCCTCCATGCCCTTTCCATGGTCCACTTAGCCCAAGTGGACTCCCTGACGTCCAACAAGGCTTATGGTCCACTGTGCAAGCTGACTGCTGTCGAGTGTTGTGAGTGCGGTTAGCATAGCCAGGTGGACTCATACACTGACTGCACATCAGTTGTAATGACTGCCATCAAACCTGGACAAGAGCATCAGCTCTGTATAATCTGAGTAAGGATTACCTGGAAAGAATTCCGGACAATAAGCCTTTGCGAGTCTTTAGTATGGAAAATTTAAATGGTTATGTTCATGTGAGTTTAAAGAACTTGGTCATCATGGTCATGTCAGTGTACCAAATGTTCAAATTTAACTTGCAAAAGGCTAATTTTATTGGCCTGTAAGTGTAACATAAGATGCCACTTGACACTGTGTACACAAGCCCTATGAGATGGTCTGAAAAATTCCCAGTCTTTTTTAAGTAAATACCTCAATATTTTTAGTGCTAAATTTGACTTTTTTTGACATTTTATTGATTTCAGATGGCTAATACCGTATGTTGCTATAGGGAAAAGTTAGAGGTATCCGTATGTGGAATTCTTTCCAATCGCCCAGCCATGGTAAATGTTTCAAATAGATGAAATTGTTGTGATTGTACTTTTTATAGAGTAGGGAAGTGTTGCATCTTGCCTCCCCTTTTTTCTTCACGTCATTTCAGTGGGAGGGTCTGTCATTAATTGCAGAAATGCCAAAAAGACATGAACCTGGGACTGAGAAAATGATCGATATTGTCAGGAAAATCTAGAGTAGAAAATTTCCTTGACCCGCTGTAGACTTTGTACACAACCACTAAAGTGGAGTCAAAGTACAATATTCTGTCTGTATAGTCTGATCCCTAGTTACATGCACGGCCCACTTGGGTCACATTTGCACAGTTGTTGTGGACAGACTGGTTTTTATGAGAATGTTTACTGTTCCCACATCCTGAGCTCCAAAAAAATGCCAAAAGGGACTATAAACATAAAGACTTGACAAAATGCCTCCAAAATCGCCCACTGGCTTCAAGTTTGATCTGCGACCATTTGGGCAATTTTACCTGGTACCGGCTATCTCATGTAAGTATGGATGACCAGGCAAACTTGTCCCATGGTTAACAATGTCTAAATATAACTGGCTGCTGCTAAACGTAACAAGCAACTACAGCAGGTGCTTCTGCAGGGGTATGTGTTATTAAAAGTGGAAGCCATAGCCATTGGCAAATGATTGCATATCGACCCTGGTCAGTTATTTTGCCAGCTTTAAAACTTTGTGAGTTACATCATATGAGTCACTTGAAAGGACTACAAACTTTTATCATTCAATATGACCTTTTTCTTGCTTTCTCGACAGTCTTGTGTGTATCTCACAACCCACAATGCTGAGCGTGCTGCCTGTGTTTGCTTAAGGACAGCCACCCGACTGCATCATGGGTATACAAGGATTACTGCCATTCCTGAAAGATGCTACCCACCGCATCAACGTCAGGCAGTACAGCGGCTACACTGTGGCAGTGGACACCTACTGCTGGATCCATAGAGGGGCATTTGGCTGTGCCATGCAGCTGGCCAAAGGAGAACAGACAGACATGTAAGCTCATCCGGTAGTGAGAGAAATGATTCAGTTAGAAGATTAACTCGGTCCGATCACTTTCTTGTAGGGTTAAATCACTCAGCAGCAACAAATCGTCTTGTTATTTTCGTTGTTCCACTGTTCCAATTTGTTGTGTTAGTCTGTCACGAAATTAGTTCAGTACGAGGAAAACGATCCGTATCCGGCCACCACAATTCACAAGTGTTCCAGACATCAAGTGTTGAACATAGCCCTAAAGAGCAACTTTTCCCTCGGACAGTTTCATTGTTTCATCTAAGCTGAATGATCAAGTTCTCTTTTAGGGAAATACACATTGAGGTGTAATTTGTTATGTTTGGCAGCAAGTACATGTATAATTGGTGCATACAAGGAACTCCTGCCTAGAAGAAGTTTACAACAGTCTTAAGTAGAGGGAAAATTTGTATATAAATGTTGTAATGACAAGGAAATTTGCATCTTTATTGTCCCTTGACGGCCACCATGGTTTGTTTAAAAAGTCTGTGTGTTTTTATTGGTTGATATTGGGTTTCAGGTAACATGTTTAATCTTAAGTTATGCAATGTCTCAGTGTACAAGAAGGTCTTTACCTGAAGTGGTTAATCACATTTTATAATGTAATGCAGGTATGTGCGCTACTGTCTAAAGTTTATCAACATGCTACTCTCCATGGATATCAAGCCCATACTGGTGTTTGACGGAAGCCACCTGCCAGCCAAGAGAGCTGTGGAAGAAAGTAGGAGAGAGTGAGTCACACTGGTTGAATGTCGACCGTTGCACCCTTGGAGTTTGTAACTGTCAGATTTTCACAATTGTCCCTGCATGTCCTAATGCTTTATTGCATGTGTGCCTGGTTGTACCCACAGGAGACGTGAGCTTTACAGCAAGAAAGGAAAGCAGTTCCTCAGGGAAGGCAAAGTATCAGAGGCCAGGGATTGCTTCACCAAGTGCATCAATGTCACCCCAGCTATGGCACTGGAGGTCATGAAGGTAGATTTTAAGTCAACAGATGTCCTTTCGATCTTAGAAAAGTCTGTGCGACTGACTTTATGATAAGGGAGTTAAGACATCTTGAGCTATTACCACGTTACTGTACGTGGTTTCTACATCCCCAACATAGTAAACTTACTCCACTGATGATGGTTCTTGCTTGACTCTTTCCCAGAGGTTGTTTGATTGTCCCGTTTTTGGTTCTGAAAAAAAAGCATGTAATGAAACCTGAGATCTGAAATTGAAAGTGAGTTTTGAAAATTGATGATCAGTGACAGAACTTAAATGTTGCCTGCAAAATTTTCTCCATTAATTAACCTTCACCTTGCCAGATCTTTTGAAATCCACTTCGATGTTTGGATGATTCTGTAGGACTGGGGAATGTAGAGCATGCCCACATTCACTTTCAATGGAATTCATGCCCTATGAAAGTTCAAGGGAAAAAAACAGTGGAAGTAGTTTCATTCACTGTGACTGATGTTAGGAGAAAAGGCAGGTGCCAAACGATACCTCAAGATTTTTGCCATTAACCCTGGCTTTCCTTCTTTTTTCTGTTTTAATGAACGCCATCCAGGCTGCCCGATCATTGGGCGTTGACTGCATAGTGGCACCGTATGAGGCAGACGCCCAGCTGGCGTACTTAGCAATCAGTGGCATTGCACAGGCAGTCATCACTGAAGACTCGGACCTGGTGGCCTTTGGGTGCCCAAGGGTAAGGCTGAACACTTTGAGCAGCAAGACTGGACTCCACAATTTCACTGTGTTAAGTCCAGGTTTTTCTAATCTCGATTTTGCTTGTCATTGGGTTCTTAACTTCAGTGTCATGAATCTAGTCCCCTGACTTGATGTCCGTCACCTCTTCATAGCTGCTTACTCTGCTACAGAAATATCAGACTGGAAGACATGAAACCTCAGTTTGGAAAATTTCTGTTCGTTACCAGTAGTGAGCATTTAAAACTGATTATTGAGCAGGAGGTGAAACTGAAGATTGGAAGAGGGTTCATTGGAAGGTTCATTTCAAGCAAGCTGCATGGTTGTGTAGATTATGTTGAAAATTGGTCAAGGGCACTCTGCAGACGTGTCATGTATCTTTCCTTGCCTCCACAACCCTTCAGCCTTGCAAAAATTTGCCGCAAAAACTGGGACATATACCTGACTATCCCACCCTACAGATAATCTACAAGCTTGACTTGAATGGCAACGGTCTGGAGATTGCCTCCTCCAGGTTGAACCAAGCAATGAAGATTGGAGATCGGTTCTCACCTGACAAGTTCCGCTACATGTGCATAGCATCTGGCTGCGACTACCTGGCCTCTCTGCCCGGAATCGGACTAGGGAAGGCCAAGAAACTCTTCCAGCATGCAACCAATCCAGACATCACTCATGTAAGTATACACGTGTCCAAACATTTTCCCCCATCTGTATGCGTGGCCCAGCATCAAACCCCTTCATATCAATTGTTACAATACTTACTTTTCTGCATTTAGTATTCATGAAGCCTGTTTTTCCGGTATGGATTTAGACGACCATATTTATTACAAAAATGTCACAGCTGTGGTCCAAAAGTTATGGCTGTGGCCTAAGAAAAACATAGGCACCAATAAGAAGCCACTGGGCAATGGCTTGGAGGCACTTCCCATAGATGTGTGCATGAACCAAGCCGCAGCCAGTTGATTCAGACACAACCCCAACAGGGTATTGAACTCTTCACTCATTCCCATCCGTCTCATGGTTTGACTTTGAAGGTTCTCAAGCGGCTGCCCATCCACCTCAAGATGAAGCTGACGGTCCCACCAGAGTACATAGAGGGTTTCCTTCGAGCTGACAACACCTTCCTGTATCAGTTAGCCTTTGACCCCATCAAGTGTCGACTGGCTCCCGTACATCCTTACAGTGCTGATGTGGACAAAGACCAGTTAACTTATGCTGGGACGTATCCTTTGCTGAACATGCTGGAATTATGCTGTTTACAGACCAAGAAGTGATTTCCTCTACTGATATTGTCTTCTTAATGGTATTGTTTTGTCTTGTTGCATTTCTCAGGGCAAATCATCAAGCTCAAATTTCTCATTACTTACCAATGAATATAAGTTTCCAGGTTTTTTCACACATTTTTCCTTCACCTGGGGACTAATTTTTACTTTGACTCAGTAACTTCTTAGAGGGATTTACATCACTGAAACGGTAAAATCTCAGAATTTGGCAAAATTCCTATCAGCCTAAAGATGTAACTCATTTGTTACTTCAGCAGAAACGTTTGTGTAAATTCCTCCATAGTATCTTGACAGTGACTGGAGCACATTAATTTGAAATATCGCAAAAGATGTTTTTAAGGCTTCCTACTTGCTTACTGATGCTTCCTGGGTAGTATTTGGGGCAATTAAAACCATGTGGCGTAACGTTTGATACATCACACTATGAGCTCTGGAGGATGGCAAGAAGAGAGGCTTTGAAAGAGTCTAATTGGAAAGTAGTTAAGAAAGACAAGTAGCAACAAACTTATAACTTGATAGCCTCCTGTTAAGTACCTCACCGCTAATAGTCATTTCTCTGCAGTGTAGATCTGTGTATTAGCTTTCCAACCAAGTTGGCTGGTTTTTTTTGCCCTTACATCGTTCATTGCAGCTACTATTCAGCTGACATTGCCTTGCAGCAAGCACTCGGTAACGTCGACCCCAACACAAAGAAACAGATATTTGACTTTCAGCCTGAGTACAGAAAGGTAAAAACCAAAAGTCAGCTTGAATCAGCCTTTTGAATGGCAAGCAGAGCATACTTTTTCCAAACGCCAAGCTGATTACTTCCTCTGGGAACCACACCACCTACAAAAGAACCACATTCACATTGTTCTGTGGCAAATTCTTTGACTTAGTTGCTTTCTATCGCGTGAACTTTCAAGTCTTACTTTTTTCTGTATTAAAAATGTTGGCATGTTGGAGCCACATTTGGTTCATCATTCGTAAGCTTTTTTCACACTTTTTTCCTGCCTCCCTCCCTGAAGCCTTATGACAAGTCTGTCCCCAGACACAAGCTCAGCATATGGCACAAGGACTACCGTCCGGGACCAGGCTTTGTCGAGGAAAGCCAGAGTGAGGTTCGAAGACCTACAACGAAAGGGAAGGAGGTGGAGCTGTTGGTCAGTGGTCTGAGGCTGACCGGTCAACAACGTAAACGACCGAGGCCAGGTATGTCGTCTCATCCTAGCTGGTCAGCATGTCACTCATCACAGATTCATCACAAATTTGTAAGAATCTTTAGGAACTGAAGTGTACGCTTGTGGGCACCACAAGTGCATGTATGTGTGTTTGTCAACTTGTGGCATGTTGATTACATTTTAGCAAGTTACATCAACTCTGCTGGTATAAGTTGTATTTAATGCACGCGAGTTACCTGGGTTAACCTGGGTCAAGTGGTACAGTAAAACCAGCCATCCAGGTTGATCATACAAGGTTTTAACCACTTCCTGCCAGGGACTCCGGAATCGGAGACGTATGGTTTATATGCGTGGCCGGGGTCTCCAAACTCGGACCTAGGGAACAGGGCCCTGTATCAAAAGACCGTACTCCGAACAACAGACCAGGCTGCTGGGCACTACCGACATTTTTTCACTCTCAAAAGTGGAGATAATCCTGCCTTGTTTTGAAACAGTATACCACGGTTTGGGGCATTTAGAGCGAGCGGATTAAAACCGGGGACAAAAGTGCTCCACAACCGCAGGATGAGCCACACAGCACCACTGCATGCTAATCTGGCCCCTATTGAAAAGAGGTCAGCAGTGCACTGAGCCAGGTTCATGAAAAAAAAAAAGTTACATAACACTATGAAATCTTGGCTCTTTTTACAAGGCTTCAGGCCTGGCTGAAATACTCGGGCGTCAATAGATTTTGTCTGTCTGGCTAGAGTGGAACCATACATGCTTTCATGTGTTTGCAAGTGTCCAGTACATGAAGATAGGAATTTTTAAAGAATTTTGGAAACAGAAAAAATGATACATTTCCGGCCCCAGCATCATCGACATTCATAAATGCCCCGGCAGGAAGTAATTAAAAGTAAAATAGAATGCTCAACTGAGCATCAAGTAAACAGGCGTATTAGTTTGTTTTTTTTCTAAATTCAAAGACGCAGATGAAGACACGCCCACCATTGAGGATCTGACGTCCATCTATGGATCCCCACAATCGAAGAGACATTCGTCCGACCAAGGCCTTGTGGTGCCCGAAACACCAGAATCTGAGGATAGGGTACAAGGGAAAGCCAGTCCCCGTTGTCGGAACCCCTTCTCCAAGGAGGGCCTGTCCAGCAATAGTTCGACAAGGTCGGGGATGGCATTTGGTGCCAAGGAGCGTGTCATCAAAACCCTCACCCGACGGAACATTTTTGCCAAGGGTCGGACGGGTTCAAGTGCTAGGCTGGACCTGTTGAAGTCAAATACAGTCGTCACAAGCAGGTAAGAAAAGGATGGCATCCAGAAGTTATGGCTATGACTTTAGATAGAATGTGCACCTTTGGAAGCCACTTGCCAGGGGCTTGCAGCCACTTTCCATAGACGGGCATGTTACGCCAAGCCACAGCCAATTGATTGAGACACAGCCTAAGAATCAATCCCGTCAACATTTTTTCAATGAAGTTACCTTCCGTATTCAACACTTTGAAGCTAAGGCCAAAAAAATCTCCAGTTTCTGGTCAGCATGTGCATCACCGTAGACTTCTGCATCGGCAAAATGAAAAAGTTTTTTATTTGGTATGAAACGATGTCCAACCAATTTTGGGGCCAGCTCCTGACCAGAAACCAGAGACTTTTGTGTGGAGGGGGCCTCATGGAACCTTTTTTGTTGTTACAAAAACTTGAACAATAAAGCTCCGTGCAAAGTAATAATGACAGAGGTCTGCGTTACTGAAGCATTTAAATCTTACAATAAACAAACTGGAAGTTACAGTGGAAAGATTTAGGGCTGAAAAAAAATGCCCATGCTTTTTTGATCAGTGAATTAGTTCATGGATTAACATTGCTTTTCCTTTACTTTTCGCCCGTGTTTGCAGGGATTAAAATCTTAGCCTGCTGTAAATATTCAACCAGTCAATCCTTGCCACTAATGAAAATTGTATTTTTCATTTCTTATAGATTTTTCATGGCACCAAACCTAAAAATGCAAGAGGAGACAGCAAAACCTGATGAAAGTAACCTTGTGAAGGACTCTTTGTCTGTTAATAGCCCATCACCCTCTGTCTTGGAGACTGGTGATTCTCTAGATGAAACTAATGAAGATGATGCAACATCGGTTACAGAGAATACAAGCAGTATGATTTACTCGGAGGTGGAAACAGGGTTTGAAGCGTCAGCCTTGAACAAGCTGCAGCGTTTTCAAAGAGCCACGTCAGCACCTGCGTTGCCATTTAGTCAGAGCTCTAAAGCCTCGTCTACCTCGCTAACTAAAGAGACCATCAGAAACCACCCATCGGGATCTCAGGAACTTAGTAGGGATTCGCAGCCAGAGTTGGAGTCGAAATCAAATCAGGTCAGCTCTCAGGAGAGCTTCCGTACCTCAGTGATGACAGTTACCAAGAGCAGGACAGGAGCGTTCAGTTGGACTAGAAGAAGGGCGTCAGTAGCCACTTCTACGGACGAGCGGAGGAAGGGGACTTTCAGAAGTCTGAGCGACTTCAGGAGGCAGACGGCTACGCTGAAGCTTGAGTCTAGCAACACCCATAGCCAGGAGGGCTCAAATGATGCAGGGTCCTCCCAGGAGAGTATGTCTCAGGGAAGCAATTCAATGAGCTTGGAATCCCAGGAGAGCAATTTGTACAGCATTGACACTGATTCACTCACCCTCAGTCAGTTCAGTGACCAAACTAGCCGTGAGGAGAACAACTCAAAGATGCACTTCCAGCAAGAGATAAACCCATCACAAGTGGATCAAGATGATATTGTAGATACGAGTGGAGAGACACCAAGGCAGAGTAACCGTTTCAGTGGATCCGCAGGAAGAGAGGAACATCTTAGGATAAACCATGGGCATTCTTGTGAGGATGTTTCCTCAAGCCAAAAATTTGACTTGGACGTCGTAACTGACGCTCTTGGCAGTACTCAGAACTCAGATGGTGATTTGCAAAATCAGACAGAGAATGTAAGAGACACGACATCTTCTGAACGTTCAGAATCTGCATCTCCAGAAAGCCAAGGGAAGGAAACAGCATCATTGTTGGTCCACAAGGAGGAAGAATTCATTGATCTGACCTCAGAGAATGTACCTCCAACACAAAAACCCAAACCAGACACTTCTACCAGGAAGATAAAGGTATAATCAATTGACTTTGTTTGGTTGCATGTAGCCCTTATAACTGACTAATTAATCAAATATCAAATTTCTTTCTTTTGAGAGGAAGATTGATTAGTTTCCAGCAAAATACATGTATACCTTGTTTTTGAGAAGTTTGAACTTTCAATATTTCTCATTTACAAAAGACATGATCAAAACTGTTGGCTTGCAAATGTTATGGAGAGTTTCTGTCAGAGCAGTTTTTCCAATTATCCAGTTAAATTGGTTTGTGGGACTCTAATCAGAAGCGAGGACTCAGGAAATGACTGACCTCAGGCCGAACGGCTTGTAAGAGTGCCAGTATAATGGTGTTTTATAGGTTGTAGGAGGACAGTAACCCTCATTTTTTGGGTTTTTGTTCGGCTTAATGTCGACAGAAAGTGATCTGACACCATTACCCATTCAGATTGGCTCACTCTGCCTAGCAAACGCAGGAGCTTTCATAACATCGCGTGGCATGGCATTTAGCCTATGCCTGTACAATGAACACACTTTCCGTTTGGTGTGGCTGTGAAGCATTGGGACTTTCATGTCAAGAAAATTGCATCTAGAGTGTCCTTGCTTGGGATGGCGCCACCCAGACACAGAGAGCCCATAAGGAAAGTCAAGTTGACTTTTCATCGGTGCTGTCCTCTCCTACCTCTGTGACCCAGGTTCAAATTCCATGCAGGCCAATATGCAAATTGGGTTTTCAATTCCTCTCTTGAGTATCAATCCGGGATTTTCCACCAACATCTAAAACCAGAAATTTGTCTTTTCTTCCGGGCTACAGTGCCAGAACGTATTTGAGGAACCATTGCATTTCAGTGATTTCATAAGTATGAAGAATTTAAGTTAATTCCGTTGAGAAAAATTTCACCAAACCAAAGTATTTTAATATGGGACTTTAGAGTGTAGACCGATTTTTATCTCCAAACCTAAAGTAAACTGTAATCTTGATCAAAAATCCACCAGGTGAAGAGCAGTTCTGACTTGGGAGACACACCGACACTTCCTGTCTTTCCTAAACTTCAACCAGGTCAGTGTTTGTGGGGTTTGTCATCATTTGTTACTGGATGAATCAAGGTGGCATGTTGGCCTTTGTCTAGCTGGAAATCTGGCATTAAAAGTTTCTATCAGAATCCATCGTAACTGAGTCCACATTTTAAGAAGATTTGAAAGTCAGTTTTTTTTTATGAAGGCTTTCCAATAATCCATGCAAACTCAAGTGTCTTCCCTTTTGAGAATTCAATAGCTGGCTATGACAGTCTATTGCCTGCACTCCTCGGACATCACTTCAAAAACTTAAAAAGTGAATGCATTTATTGCTGTTTGAAGAAACCATTCTATTATGTGACATACAATACTTGGTGTCAGTGGATTGCAGGTCTTCAGAATATGGGATAAATGCGGAAATTCTTTTGAAATCTGAATATGAAATTTCATGTTCTAGTTAGTATATCACAACTATGCTTGAAGAGTTGTAATTTTATTGTAAACCAGCAAATATTTTACAATACTTCCCTCCTGTGGTATTGCTTGTGTCTCTGAAGACTCTACCAAGCTTAGCCAGTGCAAGGCTTCAGGTCTGTCCAGACGCCAGAGAAGCAAGCCAACTCCAAAGGCAGATGAGAATAGAGTCAGTGGTACCAGACAGCAGACACTGTTTGCATTCATGAAGAAAAGCAGGTTGGTGCATTCAACAAAGTCAGAAAGTGTCACTCTTTCGAAATGCCTGTTTTAATTTTTCCTTGATCTCCAATTTTTTTTTGGGGGGGGGGAGGAATAGGGAGTGCAAAATCCAAATACACAACAAAACCAGAGTCAGGTTCCAGAGTGTTAGTGAGTCATTTTGGCCATTTTTTGTTGTGTGTGTGGTTTCTGTTTCATTTTGCCTGTATTTAAAAGTCTCTTAATATTTTTGGGACTTCAGCACTTTCAGGGGACCCTTTGTTTTCTTCCGTTCTTTCTCATGTGACAAAAATTGACTGTCTTGGACCTAATCAATCATTACTTCACCCCGATTAAATGGATATCATTATGTGAACATCTGCTGGACATTCAAACTACATTGTCTCAAGCAATTCAAGCAATCTCGCCAAGATGAGGGAATTTCGTTGACCATTCTGGTGAGCCAAACTGGAAGCTATTACTGCGGTGATGCCACGCCCATGGGCAGGTCGTACACACACATTAAGTGCCTGTTCAACCAACACATGCAAATAAAGGGGTTAGTGAATATCATACCTTTCGAAGGAAGTTCAATATGGCATCATCGGAAAGGTTTATACCTTGCCTATCACCGAAAAGTGCACTTTTGAGAACTTTTCCAACTTTACTCAACAGGTCTTTAAGAATTCATGGTGTCCCATATCTAACTGAAACATTGCAAACCCACTACTTCCCTTCAAAATCATATTCCCACCATTTAAAAGGGGACCCCAAAACTGCAGATTTGACCTCCTTCACCTGTTCGAGGACTCAAGACTGTCAGGATTACTGGAAACTGTGCTTTGTTGTTTGTTGCAGTGAGCAAAGGAAAGATCCCAATTCCACACTACCTCTGTCACCCTCCAAACAGAACATCATTTGTGACGTGACACCTGAGAGCGATAACAGTCTCTGCAGCAAGGGAATTGTACGTGTCCAACGAAACATATTCCAGTGAACAGTGGAGACTCTCCAGTTCCACGCAGGTGGTGACCAAAGATTGTATAGCACCGCATAGCGGCGTAAGGTGGAGAACTCAGCCAAAAAGGCGTTATCACCCATGGCTGCCATTTGAGTGTGAATGCCATAGGGGCAGGCATACTGGGTGTGCGTGCCTGCCACGGTATTCCTACCCAAATGGCGCCCATGGGATAACGTTTTACGCATATTCACAGTGAAGTTGTCCACCTTGTGCCACTATGCGGGCCTATATGATCTTTGGTGGTGAAATGTCGCCCTCAAGAGGTGGAAACTGGGATAATTTTGACAGGCCTTCCCAACCATACAGCTCTTAATTAATGCAGAGTCTAACAAAAAAGGTGCTCCATTCAAGGATTATTCTCCTTTGAACTTTTAGATATATGTTGCTGTAATTCCACGCTATATGTCAGTCTCTGAGCTTGTACTATACATCTATGCATGGGTTCAATGTATGCCGAGAGAAACATGTAATAGCAAGTCACAAACTCACAAGTGATGTGCAAATGTGCTCTTCATTGATTAACTGCAGCTCTTGCTGACATAAAATAGTTTCTCGGTGAAAATTTTGCCGTGGTCCTAACTTGGCAGTGCACTACATGACTTCAGTATTTCCAGATTGCTGAGGAGTTTTCCTTTTTGCAATCGCATGTAGAAATCAGGGATTTCGTTACTTGTCAGGTTGGTTATAAGAGAGATATTTGAAATGCACAGGACAAGCCAAACAAATATACAGCCATTCTGAATTTGTAACATTATTTAAATCATTTTAGCACAAAAAGTATTGTATTCACTTCTGTGTTTGGCAAGTACTTCAGATCTCTAATGCTTTTCCAGGTTCAACTTGTTTTTGTTATCAGTGCAAAGATTATTTTGAAAATGCTCAAAAAATAAGTATTTCTGTTTGTGTTGTTGAATTTTAATCAAATGGCAAACTCCAAATGACGATCATAGCCAGCAAAACCTGGTCAGAGAATCCACACAGTCTAGCCAGGGAAAAGAATGAAAAATGCTGAGACAAAATAAGCTAGAAGTAATTTTTTAATATACAATGTACATACATCTAGGGCCATCAATTATAAAATGTATCCTGTATCCAACATAAAAGTTGTTCCTACAAGAGTAATTTATAAAATGACCCAAAAAGAACATATGCATACCTGTGTGCCTAAGTGCAACAGGTGTATCTTCACTGAAACAATGGGCCGTCAAAATATTTTAGATGAAGAAAATGTAAGTAAAATTAAAAGGTTAATACAATAAATACTCTTCGGTTTTAGCAGTACTAAACAAGTCAACAAAAAGCCTTGGAGGCCTTTTGAATTAAGTTTTCTTAAAGCAGAAAATGAAAAGCCCCAGGATCGCAAACATTTCTGCAATGCTCTGTGGCCAGTGTTTTTAAAATGCCTAGAGTTTACAGGGAAAGTATTAAAACTTTGAAGCACAGCATAGTTCAGAAAACTGTAGACACATTTTTAAGTAGCAGATTTTTCAAAACTGGGAAGATCGGTAAAATTTGGTATGAGATATTCCAAGGACTGCAAAGGCTAACGTGTGGATCTCGGCATCAAGCATGATTGCCACAAGACAAAATTTGTCTGACCATTTTTTTCTGTAAAGGGCCATATTTCCCCACCTGAGCAAAATCATTTTCAGCAGTGATAATCTACGTCAAAGATGTTCAGAAGTACATGTATTTGTAAATAATTTTACGTATCTGTCCAATTGTGCAAGATCTGTCCCTGAAAAGGTGTTAAGTTTTCACTGAGCCACCCTGTGATGCATACTTGATACTAATCCACAATAAAATGTTTTTCAAAAATCGAAAGTTCTGGGTAAAATTTGTCAATGCATAAAGGTCAGCGTCTGTGAACAGTTACATTGGAATTGGTTTTGGAACCTGAACTGCAAAAAGTTGCTATTTTGGACAAAAGATTTCACAGACTGATGGCTTTATGAGGCCCAGTTATCTCACACTCGATCTTCCTTATTCATCTTCAACAATTTCATATTTGTGAACTGGACAAAAGACCTCCCATGAATATGCACTGAGGCAGGCATTGCCAGCACAAAACGGTGAACCAACGTAAAGGTTCACATTATTCAACAAACCTTCTTTAATTGGTAGGGCTGGCTGACAATGTTTTTATGAGGTGTCAAGGTTTGTCTGACAGGCGACAATGAGGTACAAATCTGTGCCACTGAAGACATTTGGTTTGACTTCCTGGCCCAGTTCATGACTACAGTAATACACGTATAGTAGATTTTCTTTCAGAAACCCTCAGACATCACTTAGTAAGCCCCAAGATGGTGTTTAAATTAATGTATACGTTTGTAAAAGGACACAGTTTTTAATAACCTTAACCTAAATCAACAGTGTGTAGTTGATGTTTGGCCTTTTGAAAAATCTTTGCAGCTGGTATGTGAACAGCTCACGAAAAAGAAGTCCCTCCAAGGTGCAAGTTTGCCCAGAGAGTTCAAACAAGCAGAGATAGTCGTCTTGAAGCATGACAAGGGTTGTCCAGCATGAAAATTTTGTACTGGCTTGTGTTAGACGTGGACCAATCCACTCCAGCCATTTCTTTGTATGTTCTTGCGCACGCGGCCAGGATATTTTTTAACAGGTCCATCTCTGGGAGGAAGGCATCTTGACACAGAAGTTCTAGTAATTAAAGACTTGATTTCAAATTGGCTAAAATGCAAAACCACACAGGTTGCACAGCCTGGTTTCATCCCATTTAAGAGCGGGAAGAATTTGGCTCAATGATTCTATTGATATTTATATTGCCATTTATTCCTTTCATAAATATTTGTTTTCCAAACAAATGCAGTCGCTGAAAATTCCTGTGCAGCGAGGCATTGGTTATTCACTTGTTTCAGGCTTTTATTTTTAATTTGAGTGGCTCATCTTTTTACTGCCTTTGAATCCAATTTTTTTTACTGGCTGAATCCATCAGGAATTTTGTTACAATACTGAATACGGAAGTTGTTTTCATCAGAAAAAGTGCTGTCTAGTCAGTGTCAGGTTCATTTTCAGTGGAAAGAATAGGTGGAATTCGTGTGGCGACAAGGCCATATTGTTTCCGTGGGTTTTGGCTTTCGTTTTGTTCGTGCAAAGCCAATTTCTGCACCATAGTGAACAACACAGGCTTGAAAATTTTAAAATTCAAAGCAGTGAAGAAAAAAATTCCTCCACTTCAGTGCAAGTGCTTTACCATAGCAATGGACCATTTGACATTAGGGTAGGACGAATCCACTTAAAAAACTAGATTAAAAACAAATGTCCTGGTTTTCTCTATACAGATCAGTAGCAAGAGTATACCTGACAAAATATGGTGTAGTGTGGAATGACAATAAATGATGAGCATAAATCTCTAACCCTCTGAGATACCTGAGGTCCAACCAAGTGGAATGCTGCTCATTTCTGGAATACAGACCGAACCCTGTGTTTCAACTCTTCAAACTCCTCTGAGGACAGCGATGCTTTCTGTAGGCACTGCACAACTCCTTCTTCTGTCACCTCATTGAAATATTCCTTGGCTGCGAGCAAATTGTGAAGAAGTGGCATTTTGTGAAACTGTGACGTCAAAAGATGCACCAGCCCGTGCACGGGAATACATCAATGCCAGTTTGATGACAATATAGTCATACAATCATTGCGGCCACAAAGGACAATACTGTCTTGACAAAAAAAGTTGTGACAGTTATTGGTCGAGGCCACTGCAAAGTAAAACCGACTGGGTTCCATCACTCTTGGTCTCAGAAAAACAAACTCTCCCGATGGAACCTTAAGGATCCAAGACGTTAGAGCAAAAACAAGGAATCTACTACACCAAGTACAATTCACATCTGTGGCCAGATTGGGGCCAAGTAGGATTAACCCTAACCCTCCTCAATCCTTCACCTGTTGGAGGACTGAGGAGTGTTAGGGTTAAGCCGGATCATTCTTAGGCTTGGTGGCTCGAAAATATGGTTTCAAGGAGCGCATCAGCACCCAAATGCATGCTCTCTAAAACACGTTACCAGCCAAGATGTCATATAGCTGGTAATCAGCTAAATATTTAGCTGGTATTCAGCTAAATAAAAATTTTTAAATTTAAATAAATTTATTCACTTGGCACAAAAATTTGGCAAGCAGTATTTTCTGGTAAGCAGCTTAATCAGGGCTCACACACTCGGAACAGCTCTAAATTCAAAAAGTCTAAAAAATCTCATTCTCAAGGACTGAAATCTAGTCAAACACTGACTTGTACATAACATCAACTGATGTTGGATCATTTAATCTGTGCCAAGTGAGAAGGTTGGCTCATCCTGAGATATGGATCCACTATTGGTGGCAACATTTTTCCCCATCCAAGTAACCGGCAAAAGTAACCGGTCAACTTCACCAGTTGACAGCGTGTTTAAAACCCATCACCACATTAATTCACAAAAAATCTATTTTCCAGTGCTTTAATGTCCTTACAAGTTTTTTTTTTAATTCAAGGATTTCCAAGGACTGTACAAGCCCTGCTTAATAAAAATCAGGCAACAATCATACTTACTATAGACAGGTAAATGGCCAGCCAGCTCGCACACTGCAACATTGAATCCAATGGAGGCACCTGCCTTATCTGTCTTTGCACCTGGTTGGAAGATTATATCTGTTAGGAATGTCAACTGAAAATGCCAATGTCAAAAGTCAACATTTTCCACCCAAATCATACAGAATGTCCACTGAAATACTATTAAATTTGTCTATATATTGCTCTTACCAAGATAAGACTTTCTTGGCCATAAGACAATGCGGACAGTTTGTTCCATTGTTATACTTTCATCGCCTAAGGCACATCCCCGAGTGATGAACACATTGTGGGCAATCTCATTTTGCTGCAATATGGACGCCACTCTTTGAACGGACCTGGAAAATAAACAACAGATGAGCAATTTTTAAACATGGAATGTAGAATGTCTTTCACGCCTTTTCTTTTCATCTCACACAAAAGAATAACTGTAAATCCGTGGACAGGTGCTTAACAACAACCTTGTTGAAGTTTCAGCTCCAACAAAATTCGTGGATCGAAAGGGCGGGGCCAGCAAGGCTCACAGCTCTCCCAAAAGGGAACTTTTTTTAATATAAAGAGCAAAAGAGAAATAATTGATTTCCCTTCCTTCCAAACAACGTAAAAAGCCTCATAATTTAGCCTCACCCCTTAGAGGGCCATTAGAGGCCATAACAGATGACATACGCAAAATCCCAAATTTCGGGGGTACCCCTAGGCCAATTCAGGCCCCCGAAAAGTTGGCTGTGTCTGTCAGTTGTGTGTAGTATGAAAAAAAAAACACTTTGGGGTCTCATGACCCATTTTAAACGATACTTCTATTTACTTCAAAGTGATAGAATACCAGAAGGTATCAAATCACACCAGTTTAACATTGGTACCATCTCAAAACCAAGTATTTGAACAATAATTTGTTTTACTGACATTTAGACAGCTGAAAATTGTTCTCTCAACCTATAATAAATAACACAAATTAAAATAGAATAGCTCACTTTCTCTGTAGGTTTAATAACTGTATCAATATCTCCAAGTCATTTTTATATTTTCATTCTGTCAGTTTCTCTATTTATAATCGAACACAGTCTTTGACAAGCGCCATTTCATCTCAATTTCTGACACCTGAAGAAAATACATACCTTGCAGTTTCTTGTAATGTGTGACCTCTGACCTGGAAGACAAACCCTCTGACTGGCCAATCCGCAAGCTCGTAGCATGGACCAATAACTTGCCTTGTTGCCTGAGTAAGCAAACAAGTGAAAGTTGCGAATCACTACACTCAGATTTGTGGCAGTCCTCTATTCACAATTATAATCCAACACATTGATACGAGCCATCATCAATAAGGACGATTCACAATAGTGCGCCTCCAAGAGTTTGCAATGTGTCGCAGTGCACGAAATCTGTTGTCCCCTTCCAAACGTGCGTTGGGTCGACAGATTTTGTGCATTGATTGGCCAACGCACTGCAAACTCTTGGTGGCGCACTATTGTGAATCGCCCGTATTTCACCCTCGATGTACCACTAAATCAAATTATTCTGGCGCCCAAGTCTATGCAATTAATCTTTTCACAATGTGTGACTGCCTGCTAGCAATATTTCACATTTGACTGAACACTTTTCAATATGCTGATTATTTTCACACATACATGTAGAAAGCTGAGACCCTGTTCAGAACCCTACAGTGAAACTCATCACACTATGGTTAGCACAGCCCCTAAAATCCATTAAGGTGAAAGGTTTTAAACAAAAGAAATGGTGACATTAACTTTGAGCTCCAAGTAAAAACTTATGTCACAGGTGACCAGCAAGCACTAGTTAGTAGTTGCATGCATTGTCACTTTAAGAAAAGGGAAATGTGATTCAGATCAAAAGATAGAAACTACTGATTTCCTTATGAAAAATCTGGGTAGCTCATTGGCCATTCTGAGCTGATCATGCAAGGGAAGCCAAGCACTGGTTCCCGAATTCTCCTTTGGGAATGTGTGGAGGGAACCAACCTCAGCTGCTCCTATCACTGAAAAAAATTTACAAATCTATGACTCAATATAGAGGACAGTGACTTCACTTCTGACAGCCAATGACCTATCCATTAGCAGAGGGTAAGTACACAGAGTAAAGGTTACGGGGTGGACTATTCTGAGAGCATACCGTCCTTCTGATGGGAAGGTCATGCTCCAGGTAGTAGCCATGGAAATGTTGGTGATTTACAGAAGCAAGGGCGCACAAACTGTTGAACCCAAGTATAAAACCACTGTAAAAAGAAACAGCGCAAATGTTACGTTAGTATTTTGGAAATGATGATCAGTATGCCCATTACATAATCAAAAGGAAACTTTAACATTACAGCCGTCAAAATAGAGCTTTACCTGTGAGCACTCAGCAACATGGTCTCCAGAGCTAAGTGCATCGCATCTTCTGTTAACACCTGTTGAAATCATTTAGAAAGTAAGAGGTACGGTCAAATTGGAATCTTTTTTTGCAAGACCTCAAGTAGTTCACCAGATCTGCATTATTTCGAAATCCCAAGCATGCACTGAACTGATGAATCCATCAATCTCTTGGCACTGTTACTTTGCAAATTAACCAACGTGACCACAATTCAACCAAGAAAATGTAAGCTTTCATTTCCTTAACCCTAACCCCCTAAGGTGTATGTAAAATCACATTGAAATCAGAGGATTTGGGACTGCTAGGGATCTATGACTTCTTAGTGAGGCTGTCACTCACTTCAATTTACACAATTTTGACAGATGTCCTTTAAGGATCAATTCAGACCAAAATGAGCCCACAGATCTTGGGAATTGCAACAACTGAGGTACCTTAATCCGTCGACAAAAACAAAGTCCACTGTTTCAAAATTACTTTCTTTCAATTTGTTTTTGTGGGTTTTTTGGTGTGCTTTTGATTTCATCTCAATCACTCTTCAGACTTACTCTGATTCTACTCTAACCAAGTTCCAGTAACACCTGCGTTCTACAAACCTGAGGTATGCACCGGAATCGGCTGGGGACAAGGAGTATGTTGCAGTATTCCAAGGGACTGACATTGATAAGAACACTGTGGTGTCGGCTCTCTGCTGTACCATTGCACAAAGACTGATCGTCTGTTGTACTATCGGGATTTTCCTTCTCTGGACAAAGCTCAAATAGCACCTGCAGTGTAAGAATTGAAACAACACTGGCCGTGCAATGACAACACCTGGTGTAAAGGCAACACATACTGTGTAAGGATAACACCTACAGTGTATAGACAACACCTGAAGTGTAAAGACAACACTTGAGATGGAAAGACAACGCCTGAGGCAGAGAGACAACACCTGTATGTAAATACCACACCTGCAGGATGCACAGAGACAATCCCTAGGGTGAAAAGGCAATGCTTGGAGAGTAAAGATCGTAAATGCAGAAGTAAATATGTACCACGTGTTATGTTTTACACATGACAATCTAAATAACAAGGAAGTAAAACAACTTCAACAGAACCACAGTGGCGTATGTCATATGGTATTCCACGTGACTAGAATATACTGAGCCCTTTTTGGACTGACCTCTTTGGGATCTACTTTAGTGAAGTTGAAGATGTCTGGGTTGAACGGCTGAGTGACATGGGTAATTGTCTGAGGCTTCCGTCTCTCTACAGCTCGCTTGGTGTTTAACTGCAAAAGATCAACAGCAGGTCTGTAGGCCTTCACATACATAACCATTTCTGTATTAACCCTGACAGGTCAACTCAGAATATTTCCGTCTACTTCAATTTACACCTGTACTATCCTAACTCACACAAAAAGAACTGATGCCCCTCAGTCCTTGGCATTTTTATTGGAGTACCTCCTCAAAATCTTTCTGAAGAGTTCTTGGAAGGCACTATACAGGGGCTCATACATCCATTAACCACTTGCTGCCGGGTGGTTTGAAAAATGCAGTGCACATACTCAGGACTTTTTCAGTTTTCAAAACTCTTCAAAAATTCATCATTTCAATTAATGGACGTTTACATCCACACGAATTACTGTCTGGTGGCCACTCTAGTTTGACAGACAAATCTATTGACGCCCAAGTATTTCAGCCAGGCCTGCAGCCTTGTAAAAAGAGCCCAGATTGTGTGTCGTTATGTAAGTTTCTTTTGTTCACAAACCTGGCACAGTGTGCTGCTGACCTCTTTTCATTAGGGGCCAGATTAGCGTGCAGCGGTACTGTGTGGCTCATCGCTGTGGTGGTGGAGCACTTTTGTTCCCAGTTGTAATCCACTCGCACTAAATACCCCAAACTGTGGTATACTGTTTCAAAACAAGGCTGGATTATCTCCACTATTGAGAGTGAAAAAGTGAAGTCCTTTGTTCCAAGTACGGTCTTTTGTTACAAGGCCCAGTTCCCTTTGTCCGATTCTGGAGACCCTGGCAAACGCACAGTGACCGAAACCAAACTCCCCGGCAGGATGTGGTTAAAGACAAACCTTGTAATAGCACTAAATATAGACTTTGTGTTCACCTGTGCAACAATCTTCCTAGGGCCTGGCACAATCTTTGTCTGTAGTTTATCAAGCTTGTAACGAAAGTACCCCATGTCAACGGCAGCATCCCATTTGGAGCACAGCAGCTTATCAAACTGGGTACAAAAAAAATGAAACACATTGAAATCACACATAAAACTAACTCTACACAATCGGACATTGTAGATTGTATCAAAGAAGATACCAGTTCTTCGGGCACAAGGGTCAACACTCTCTCCTGGTCTGTACAAACAGCACACCATTTTGAAGAGGTGAACAAATATAACACATGAAGACGGACAGAGTACACTGTTTGAAATGTCAAGTTATTCCCCGGTTCTTCTCAGAACCACACATACTCAAGAAAGAGATTTATCCACGGTGTAACCGCAATCGTTTCACTCATATACATGTAGTTCTTTCACCATGAAAACCTTGAAGTCTTATCAACAGTCTAGTACTAGAACTGAAGCAGAACTTTACTTTTGAAAAATTCCAGTACAAGCAGAAAAAATGCTGTACTGATCTGGCCTTGTAACTCGAGGGTTCAGAAGTTACACTGGTATGCCATGGTTTACCTACCTCACTCAACTCCACTTTGCCAACGTCACTTGGCTGGGGTATTTGGAACAAGAAGTCTTGATCTGAATACTCAAACTGCTCCATTGTCACTCCTCAGAATACAGGCAAATCACACCTGGGCTAATTTTGAGGAAAAAAAAACCACTAAGTAAAACTGATACTGAAGAGATTGAGTTCTCCTACAGCTAGTAGTACACACGCACACATTGCAACCAAACACCATACAAACCATCTACAAGTATATTCCTCCATGTGAGGTCACTTGTATTTTATGATCTCCTGGGTTTTTTTTAAATAAGGGGTGATATGGGACTGATTGTACAAACATTTCCATATAACAAGCATTTGGGAGTTGTACACCCACCTGTACCTTCCAACTTGGGGGTATTTCACTAAGAAAAACTTGTGGGCCCATTGGCTGCTGGCCACATTCAGGCCAAGAGATTTACTAGTTACTACTACCAATATGTGTACATCAAGTCAAGTGGTTCAGGGAGGGGGGAGGTTTTTAAACAATAAACAAAAAATAAAAAAAATAAGGTGGACACTTATGACATTGGAAAGAAAACTCCTGTCATAATCTTGAAATTTTTGTGAAACACACATCAAGACCCTGTGACTGTCCATCACTAGGTGCTAGGTGGTGCTACTATTTCTGTCCGTTAATTCCCTGTCAAAGCATAAAGTGATCTTGTTTACACATGTAGTTTTCGACTACATGTACATGTATGAGCCGTGGGCCTCCAGCTTGACAAAGAGGGCACTATTTTTTCAGCAATGGAGGCTCCTTTGGTCGGAACTGTACTCAGTTGGTTCAACTAGGAAATGAATGCCTCACAGTCGCATCTCTACCATCAAAGTGAACACTGTCGACCAACATGGCTTGTTTCAACCAATGAGGGCATGTTTCTGCTTGAGGCGGATAGCCTATATGCAGCTCAGTCAAATAATTCAATGCTGTTCACTTCATCATTTACCAAATCACCCACAACTACTTCGCCCATTTGCCACTTCATCCATGTGCCACGTACATGTATAAGTCACCCTAATAATTAATTCCAGTCAACAAACAGAGCTCCGGGAAGAATTCCATATACGAAATTCACACCCCCAGAACTGTAGGCTTCGACATCCCACGTGGGAGTGAAGTTGACGTCAAACTCTACACCTCTGGGGATAAGAAATTCATTCACACTCTCCAATGAAAATATGACAGTCCTAAGACTTAAACAAATGATCACAAATGTCCAGCACACAGGGTCACATGCAACACAACTGGCAAATTTTGCAATTTATAATCACTGACTGTTCAGTGCAATCTTTGAAAGTTTCAAAGACTGTGCTGAACAGCACCACCATGGTATCACTCATGCCACAAGCACAGTGAAAAGCGGATGAGCTCACGCTAAAAACCTAGCCCAGGTGGACTCCCTGACCGTACTACATAACGGAGGTCAGTCGTAATGAAAAGAAGGCAACGTGTAACCTGGGCGAGAATATCAGGCCACAGGAGCACTCATGTAGGCCTACGCACTGGTTGGGAATTAAGGAACAGGGACAAAAACTACAAAGTCTCTCGTGTCTCGGTTTCTAACATGTCTAGGCCTACCGATTTCGGTATGTCCTGACTGAACTCGCGAGGTGTTTGAGTAGGCCTGCCTAAATCTAGGTGGTGTGATGTGTCCTCTGGATGCTTTGACAACAATAATTGGATATACAGCCGGCATATGACATGTACGCGTTACATGACATTGACACGTAGATATTCTGCGAAGGTCCGGCCTGCGATACTGAGTTTGAGGCTTTGTCTACGGCTATTCATCCTAACAGCCATAACCTGATTATTGAAAGTTTGACGAAAGACATAGCCACAGGCAGGTACGTACGACGGTAGGCACGTGTACATGTGTTTCATCAGTGTTGAAGAGGGCGCTATGACGCGCAAAATAAGACCATGAGGGTACAGACCAGAGCTGCCATAGACAACAGTGATAAATATCCCCACTTCAAAAATCTGGAAAAAAAACTCACAAGTTTCACAGATGTTCAAGATATGTATGAAATTAAAACTCACTTTATCATCTTTCATTTCCCTTTCAATTTTCAGTGGCTTAACGGATGACTTTTGAAGATATTTCTCTCTAGAGAAAATCACCCCTCAAAACAGTCATGATGTCCATCGCCATTTTGATTATAGCTAGTACACTCCACTGCAAAATATAGAGAGATTTTGAGGGCCCCGCCGTTTGGTCCGATACTTTCACAAATACAGGCTGGCAGTCCTGCTCCTAGATTCCATCCTCCTGAACAAGCCACCCAATCCACGTGCCACGAAATGCTCTAATAGCAGAAAACTTGACAACCTACAAATCGTGATTCGGACAGGGCAGGCAATTGGGCCTATTACTGGCCTCACCCCGATCTTGGGATCCTCATTGAAGTCAGACATTCATCACCTGACACGAGTACAAAGACTGGCAATAAGAATCATCTACATCAGTTATAGCTCGTCACCAGGGAAAGTTACATCACTTCTCTCAAATCATGGACGGCTTACCCTAGAGCAACGACGGAAAATAGGCCTAAGTCAATTATCGTACTCAATAAGATTCTTTTTTGTGGATGTACAGTACTGGCAGAGGATTTGTCACAAACTTCACGCGATCGTCTCGGGCGGGACACAAGTATATGCCAGGACCAGTTCCTTCATCAACAGCTTCTTTCCGCGGAAAATCTAGGATTAGACCGTCCCATCTATTTCTGGAAAAACGTCACATGCAACTTTTAGAGCAGAACGTTTTAAATTGTTTAGTGCTTGTAAATAAGCTACCGAGGACACGTCTAGCTCCACGCCCCAAACTAACTCTCAAGTTGGTGAGATGTTTCCTGATGGAGGCTTTGCCAACGATAAGATTCAGATTCATATCATGTTCTCTATGAATAACAATCGGCAGGTGTGCGGACCAGACCTTTTAACAACATGCTGCTTCTGATAGCTGAACGCATGTGGTTCCAACACGTGCTCCTCGGATTAGATGTGATTCAAAAGAAATTCAGTCCCCCCCCACCTGCTCTGAAAAAGGGTCCAAAATGGNAGCCTGGTGGTACGTACGACGGTAGGCACGTGTACATGTATTTCATCAGTGTTGAAGAGGGCGCTATGACGCACATAATAAGACCATGGGGGTAAAGACCAGTAGAGCTGCCATAGACAACAGTGATAAATATCCCCACTTCAAAAATCTGGAAAAATACTCACAAGTTTCACAGATGTTCAAGACATGTATAAAATTAAAACTCACTTTATCATCTTTCATTTCCCTTTCAATTTTCACTGGCTTAACGGATGACTTTTGAAGATATTTCTCTCTAGAGAAAATCACCCCTCAAAACAGTCATGATGCCCATCGCCATTTTGATTATAGCTAGTACACTCCACTGCAAAATATTGAGAGATTTTGAGGGCCCCGCCGTTTGGTCCGATACTTTCAGAAATACAGGCTGGCAGTCCTGCTCCTAGATTCCATCCTCCTGAACAAGCCACCCAATCCACGTGCCACGAAATGCTCTAATAGCAGAAAACTTGACAATCTACAAATCGTGATTCGAACAGGGCAGGCAATTGGGCCTATTAATGGCCTCACCTCGATCTTGGGACATTCATCACCTGACACGAGTACAAAGACTGGCAATAAGAATCATCTACATCAGTTATAGCTCGTCACCAGGGAAAGTTACATCACTTCTCTCAAATCATGGACGGCTTACCCTAGAGCAACGAAGGAAAATAAGTCAATTATCGTACTCAATAAGATTCTTTTTTGTGGATGTACAGTACTGGCAGAGGATTTGTCACAAACACGCGATCATCTCGAGGACACAAGTATATGCCAGGACCAGTTCCTTCATCAACAGCTCAGTTTCCGCGGAAAATCTAGGATTGGACTAATCTCCCAGCTATTTCTGGAAAAACGTCACATGCAACTTTTAGAGCAGAACGTTTTAAATTGTTTAGTGCTTGTAAATAAGCTACCGAGGACACGTCTAGCTCCACGCCCCAAACTAACCCTCAAGTTGGTGGGATGTTTCCTGATGGAGGCTTTGCCAACGATAAGCTTCAGATTCATATCATGTTCTCTATGAATAAGAATCGGCTAGTGTGCGGACCAGACCTTTTGACAACATGCTGCTTCTCGGATAGCTGAACGCATGTGGTTCCAACACGTGCTCCTCGGATTAGATATGATTCAAAAGAAATTCACAGTCCCCCCCCCACCTGCTCTGAAAAAGGGTCCAAAATGANTTTACACCTTTAAAAGACAGAAACAAGTTGTACGGTTATATTAGATCATTGTTGATCAAGACTACACATTTATTTCAACCGTTTTCCATGTCAATTACATCCTCAATATAAACACCCTTGCCCTCCAGCATGCGTACAAAAAAAGTAAAAGGTAAAATAATATGGACTATGTCAACATGGTCAAATTTACAAGTAAACTACGAACTATAAAATACAAGCCTTTTTTGTCGAGTTTTATATATAATACCAAATACAGTAATTTGGTCAATGTAAAAAATACAAAATAAATTATCTGTACCAAATAATCTGTTTAACTTATTATATCATTTTTTTCGTCCATGTTTCATAAAGAAGTTTGAGAAAATTATTCCTGCCAGCAAGTTTGTCAATATAAATGCCACGACGTTCAAATTCGGAAACAAAATAACTGGTCTGTCGATATGGCTGTCCAAAGCAGACACATTATGCGACCAATGGACAATTTCTAGTCGAAAGTTTTCAGAGAAGTGTGTCAATTGCTTGGGACATACCAGACAATTATCCGTTAAACTCCAAACTGGACAGATTCATATACAGCACTTCAACAGAAGTCTGCTGGACCTGATGAGCGTGATGCTCCGCCCAGATCAAAGGACTGGGATTAAGTTCAGTTGTCCCACTCTATGATGGCCCACAGAAGTGCAGCTCAAAAAAGTACGGAGGAATCCCCATGTTTCATGTTGTTTGGGCGAGAAATTGCATAAACAAAAGTTAGTCATTTTGTGCTCAAAATTACTAATCCAGGTAAAGTCGGGTCTTGATGACTTATTAAATCAAGACAGGACTAATCTTTAGTCCACAGTGACTGACTTTGGCCAAATTTGACTAATATTTGACTTATTTTTAACTAATAAAAATGTAAGTCACTGGCCTGTCTGACTTATTTAAATTGGTCGTTTTAGATGCAGAGCTGAACTAACTTTTATTAATTTAAATGACAGATTTTGTTTACAGTTTTTCCATTGGATGCCATCACTCCTACTGTGACAGAGGACACACCCCGTAAGGACTTCACCGCCCACTGACGTCAACGTAAGCAGCCAACATAACAACCAAGAACCTGGGAGACAAGAACCAAGGCAATGATTACGTAATTGCCCAGGTATAAAAGGTGAGGGTTAGCGTAGTGGATCTCCCCGGTTTGCACCAGTGAGGGCCGGGTTCGGGTCCCGGTTTGGCCCAGGCTTTAAGTGCATTTGGTTTCCAGTCCATACTCGCTCTCACAGGTGCTTTCCGGGCACTCCGGTTTCCTTCTGCCTCTAAAACTGGACCTTCTTCCTAACTCCGTAGTGTCATGCTGATTAAAAGAGGTTACGAATAAACGTGTAGTTACAGGCGCAAATAGCCTGAGTAGCTGAAAGCGCCATTAAAACTAAACAACTGTCACCCATTTCTTGAGATCAAGTGCCGGAATGACCACGATCAACGCATCAAGTTCGTTATGTGGAGGCCGGACGTCTCCAGTCGGACGAGCCGACAGCAGCCCTATGCCAGATGAGGCTAGGGCCGTGCTGTTTTCACAAGCCAGGAGCCAGCTCAAGCACCTGGTACACCGCTAGCGAGGGGGATAGATCCACCACCATCCTCGTGATAGATGACTCCACCTCGACCTGGCTCAGCGAAACGACGTGTGGCACCCTCATCGATATCTGATGGAGGTGAAATCGCTCCCAGCCCCGATGTGGCCTCTCAGCCCCTAAGACTGAGGCTATAGGGCCTGAGATGGACCGCCGGACCTGCCGGGTGCCCGACGAGGGGACCTGACGTTGAGGATGTCAATCACCCTGCATAGACATGGTAGAGGAAGGCAGGTGGTCTTCGATCGGTTGATCGCTAGCCAACTACAGGATTAAGGTCAGCCAGTCGCCAATCCTGTTACTTTTCTTTCTTTTTTTCTCACTGTTTTCTGTATAGCGCGTCTATAATTTAAATAACTTGTTCTCTTTTCATTCTGATCATTCACTGTCGCTTCTGTTCTGTGTTTTATAATTTCATTGGCACTTAATTTGATTCTGTTGAGTTGTTATCGTTTTACACGCTGATTGTTAATTTTGACAACATTGAATTGTGGACAACCATGCCGGAAAAATAATTTGTTATTGATGATTCTTCATGATAGAGCCGTGGAATTTGTCATTTGGTTTGATTTTTTGTTTGTCAGTTTTGGATTAGTAACATTTTCGGTTTATTACTCATGATTTGCATTCTAGTACTTCTGATTACTTTTGGATTTTCAAGATGTCTTTTTGGAGCGATCATTCTCTTTTGATCTGGTCTGTTGACTTGTGTTACTTGATGTATGTTTTTATCAATTTTGATCCTGTGTGCACTTTTGGTGACCGTGTTCGTTCATTTAGAGAAAGAAAAACAAGAAAAAACACTCGAGTGTGTAGCACGTTGAACTTGTATTTCACACACTTTACTAAAACAGGTGGTTGAGATTACTAAATTCCATTGTGTATTGGATCATGGAACTTGCTTTAATCCATTGTATATTCACAAAACAGGTTGACCATATACTTTGTGCTGCTGGTAACGAGATATTTGCAACGATAAGGTGTGTTGAAACCTTCTCTGACTCAGAGAATGACTGCCATCTTGGACTCTGATTCAAAAGAATGTTTGCTTGCTTAATTTTGCAATATGGAACTGCGGATAGTATCTTCATATGCTAATATTTGATGTATTCTGTTGATTTTACACACTTTTGATTAATAGCAAGTGTGTATTCTTAAAAATGGAATTAGTGGAACTGAATTTGATTCAGGACTTAACCTACCCTGGAAGTTCACAGACAGAACATTCCAGCATACAATCTCTACTGACAAGTTGGCCGGAGGTGGTTTCTGAGGAGTCAGCAGTTCAGGCGTGTAAATGAGGGGGAGCTGTGTGATACTGAACTTAGAAGACGATTGCACCACTTAAATTGTAACAAGATTGCGGAAGATTGTGAAACCTTAAATACAGTGAAACACAAATTTTTTTAATAAAAGGGGTTGGATTTTTGGTTTTAGGCATAATTTGCCGGTGTGCATGGCGATCTCAGGTGTCTCCAGGTCTCAGCGGTCCGCCTTACCAAATATGGTAAAATACGNCCATGCCTTCTCTGCGCACAACGGGAAAGTCGTCCGTTTAATTTCCGGCTATTCGGGGGGGGGGGGACCGCCACACCGGAACATGGAGAAGATATGTCAGTAATCGGCATTCATCACCTGTACATGGTAGTGTTAGAACATGGAGGTAGATATTTTTACCCTTGTGGTTAGAACTTATAGAATAAATGGAGTCTGGAGCTTTGCCGCAACAGAGAAGAACCATGGAAGAACCGTGGAGGTAGAAATGAAGATGTGTCTCTGCGTCTGCATTGAAGTCGAGTATGTGTGCGAGTGTAACACTAACAGGGAAAAATGACACAATATGGGGAATTCACAAAACAACCAAAAAAACCTCTAACTAAACCAAGGATCTTTGAAGGAAAAGTCGCAGGAAACTGAATTAATAAGGACTCAGACCCAATATTTGACTTTAAAAAAAGGACAAAAAAATTATTTATTAATGAAAAAGTACACGAAAAATGAAAAAAAAAACAAAAGGGCTAAAGAACTAAAAAAAAAAAACCCAAGACTAAAACTTAAAAAAAAAACCAAAACCAAAACTCAACACAGTGCGTAAAATGGACCTGATGAGTTTACACTCAGACTTCAATATGTAAAAAAAAAAAAAGTAAAGAACATACATGCATAAGAAACAACAAAATTTCTTGTGCATGAACTACATAGGAGAGGAAGGAGAACAGGGATTAACACATCATAAAACCGAAATTGTGCACAGGTCTATGGGGCTCATTTAATATTCAAATCCCCTGGAAAGCCCAAATAAGCAATCAACTAAGGAAGAGAAAACAAAGAAAAGCATGTTCTGAGGCAAATGGGTGGAAATACTTATGCATCACTGACATTCTTAAACTAAAGAGAGTAAGAAAGGTAAGAAAATTATGAGAAAATTAAGTATAGATCTAAAATATGATATTTAAGCTTATAGTGTGTTTTCTAAGCTGAATTAGGAAAACTTTAGTGATTCAGAAAACTAATACTCAGAAAGAAAATTGACAAACCTTGGCAAAAAAGTTTAGAAACTAAATAAAATTGGGGACACAGGGGAAAATTAACTTTGTACACGAACAAGAAAAGTTTAGAAACTCACCACTGACTTCTAGCGCCAGAATAGGGCTCAAGCAGAAAAACCACACTCCAGTTAGGAGGAACAATACATAGGTACATGTGAAGGTGACTGGTCTCTGCTGATCTGCTACACTGAGTGTGACCAGACCATGTGGTAACTCTATATGGGGGAAGCTAGGGCTTAAACAAATAAACAGGGGGGCACACTACTAGAAAAAAAAATCAAAAACTCTAAACTAAAGTTAAACATTTTAAAGGGGAACTACTTCTATGTAAAAACATGTACTTAATAACATAAACATTTCTAGCTCTGCCACACGAGTATCCATGGTGTGAGTGATCGCTAACATTTTGTGAATCATATCGATATGCACACACCGATCACAGGGACCGATCCCACCTGGGATACATCGTTTTAACACTGGAGCGCGTCAGTGTTTGACCGTGCGGTGCGCGCCGCAGTACAAACTCCTTCGGGGGTTAATCCAAAGTGCAAGCTCTTGTTTGCCAAGATTTATTTACCAAATACAGTAATTTGTTCAATGCAGATGGAAGACCACATCTCTGCCACATAGTCTTTTCAAGTCAAGTTTTTTTCCATCCATGTACCACAGCCAAACTATTCCAGCAAGTTTGTCAATGTACAATGTATGTAAATGCCAAGATGCAGAAACATTATATATCCACATCTTCAAAAGCCTGTTTTCTTATCTGCCTCATGAGCCCAGTTAATGAGGGAAGCTTTCAACACCTGTCCTCATTTTACTACCGGCTGTCTAAAGGTGAAGTCATCCAGCATTTTGTGTAGGCGACTGAGGATGGGTAAAAAAAATCGAAATACACATACAAATCAGCAAGTCCTTTAACATGCTTTAAACAATATCATTACTATAAACCACAATCTTTTTTGCACATTTTTTTTTCAAAGTAAATAACACTGCAAAGCGGACCATTTAGAATTCTGTCAGCTGAAAAGTTTAAATTGGTTAGGCCTATTAACAACCTGAATTCTGGGCGATTCAAGTGAAAACTTCTCGAAGACCAAACCAATCTGACCAAACCTTTACCCATTTATTTTCATGGGCTTTTGTAACAGTGATGCAATAGGCCTAATCAATTTAAACTTTTCAGCTGACAAAGAATTCTAAATGCTATGAACCAACCTGCTGTAAAAGATAACTTGTAAACTGTATTGCTTTTTGCCTTTTATGAACTCTAAGAAATATTTCAGCATAAAAATATATGTAGCAAAATGAAATTCAAGTCGCGAATAAGGTACCAAAAACTGTAAAAAAAAGTTCACTTTTATGTACAAAAATATTAACATGTACAAATGTAGATCTAGTTTCATTGTCACTGTCAGCAGGTGACGAAAAAAATCTGTCAAAAGAGTACCACTGAAGATTGTTACCAAAGTATAGATTAACCACTGATTTTGCAAAATCCAGGAAAAAGATTGAAGTGCCCCAGATTATAAGGAGTCCTTTTTCTAAGCAATGGCGGAAGCATGACTGAAGCAATGGATTCTACCATTCAACTTCTGCCATTACTGGGAGACCTCCCCTCCCCAACAAAAGTTATTCTCTTTGGGAGTGGTCGACAGAAATGCACGAAATTTCTAGTGAGTTCCTCCATGTCAAACTCAGTAGAAGTTTTGCATATGTCTTCAGTGAGCTCTTCCCAGTCGAACCTGGCACCAGCACAGGCACAGTGCTCAAAACATTATCAGATTCTCAAAAATCATACAATTCCACAAGGCATCAGTATCACATTGCAAGATAGGAATGTCAAGGACTGACAAAACGAAAATACATTTACAGTTACTGTTTGTTACATTTAAAAAATAAAAGTACTCTGGAAAACCAAATCAAACAGTTACAAAAGTAATAGTATCTTCTTGAAATAAAAAGTCTATGTACATGTACCAACAGAAAAATAGACTATTGTCTGCATTGCAGTTATTCCAAAAACCTGTGCAAAGTGCAGATGTCAAAATAAAGTGACAGTTTACAAATTTATTTTTACAAAAGTCATAGACAAGACACCGGTATAAACAATATTTCAAATGAAGTTCCCCACTGGATTCAAGCAAGAACAATTGACAGTGATATCTAAGGTAATCTGAGGTTAAGGGCACTAAAATAACATGCCTAAAATGAGCCTCAGCCTAGATATGATAGGTAAAGACCGGGGGGGGGGGCAAAAATAGCATCAAAAGGCACTTTTTAGAAAAATACAAAGAGAGATACGACTAAAATTTCAACAAATATAAAGATACGCTTCTGAGGAAAATGGACTCCATAATACAAAATGAGCTATTGATGTGAACTTAAGCAACTTTTGTACAGAATGACCTCAGTCAATTTTAAAAGTTACTATTTCTGTATCCGAAGAAAGATACATTGCACGGGACACTTTAAGACCCTGGTGGAGGCTGACATACTGGTCCTTTCCCACAACTGTGTGCTTGCTCAGAACTATGCACGCATGCCCTGAACTGGGAGAAAGGACTGATATGTTGGCTACCACAAAATGTCCAAAAGTCTTGCATTACTAAGAGCACCAGTGTCTCTTATTAAACATGCTTATTCTTAGGGAGATGCCTCTTTGACTGGATGGCTATGCCTGAGACCTGGCGAATTTCACTCATCCCCAATGAAATGTCTGTCTTCAAACATTTGAACTAGTTCCCGAAGAGAAAGCTCACATATACACCTCCACTGTGACCATGTATCTGACTTAACCTTGCACTGGGAGGTAAATTACAATCAGTTTATTACAACTGACAAGGAATACAGCTCCAGAGATGTGAGAATTACTGCACAAGATGTTTTTGTTCATTGTTTCCTAGGAGCATCTGAGCAGATTTCATTTGAGGACAGGACATTTTAAAGTAAATGCATTTTCCACAACGAATGAATTAAGGGGCAGCGTTGGCCCCTATCACCAACTGTGTATCTTCGCAGCTGGCCACTGATCTTGAACTGTCATGGTCATCCTCTGGCATGTCCGGCAGGGTTATTTTGACATGCTTGTTGCAAGCAGGTGAGCTAGGCTTGTCGACCTTCATACTCACCTCCTGCATCTCTCTGCCGAAGATGTCATCGGGTGCGTCCTCGGGCACAGCAGTCGTCGGGGGCATGGGCGAGGCCAGCCCTTCCGCATCGGACTCACTGTTGAGCAGTCGTGTGACCTTTAGGGTCACCGGATCTAACTTCTTGCTGTCTTGGCTCATCAACTTCTTTCTTCTAGGGGGCGGTTTGAACTTGTCCACAAACTCTCGCAGGTAGGCCATGCAGCCCAACTTGCCTTGCTGGAAGGGAAGTCAGTAAATCATTAAATCATTGTGTCAATGCAAGAACTTCGTTACTTCCTTTTCTAACACCTTACCCACCACATTCTTCTTTCAGTCAGCAACGAGCTCCATGCCTACGTGAGTATGCATGCGCTTGTCCACCCTTTTTGTGAAATGTGTTTTCTTGAGAAGGAAGTTTACAATTCTACTTTTTAATTTCAAATTGAAAGAGAGGTACATGTACATGACATTTGCATAGGGTTTTGGTATAATTCATAAAATAGAGCTATCCCCATAACTGTGCAGAAGCTTTGGCTGGTTCGTCATTTAACCAAATAATGACTGTCCATGGGTGAAACAGTGAAAACAATCAACGGGCATCCACAACGTTTTGCCTGCTGCCTAGTCCATTCACCATTCCACCCTTCGTGGGGGAATTTATGTGAAGGCACCGCACATGCAGGTCAAGTCCAATTCACTTCATATTTTAACGGCTAAGAAATAAACTCATGTACGACCAACAATGGCACTGAGTTACTCTCAGATTCAATCAGTCGCTTCATACTCGGATTTGTGTATTTTGTAAGGCTCTACGAAACCTGTGAGTTTTCAGGAGAGCTCCTGCTACTTTGCCTCATGTTTCCTCCAAGTGCATTTCCAAGTCATTTTCAGCCCGTAACTTCCAACATATCTAGACACTGAGCTCACCTCAATGAGGAACCTCTTGTCATCCGTGTCCATATTGAAATCCATGGCATCCAGATATCTGCAATCTATTCCAACAGTGCGGAACAGGTCGTTATCCTTCAGGGAACAGCACAGAATGAAACAATCAATGAACAGGTGTACAGTCGGCATGTGAGCACTGAGTGTCTTTCTTTATTTAGAATATGAACCAAGTTTTCCCAACTCCCTGAAACATGTATTACTTTCACTTTGTGGTCCATCCATATTTGCACATATGCATTTCACAACTGAAACAAGATTTCTCCTTTAATAACAACTTCTACCGGTATCTTGTCTCATTCAGCACTAACACTAAACAAACACAAAATGGAAGTGCATTTAGACACAAATTATTTTAACATCAAACATTCCTAAGGCTAAATCACAGCAACATTTCTTACACTTTCAAAGAAAGAACAATGCAATATTCGACTTCATATACATCTGTAAGTCCGAAATACATCTAGCACAATACTGAACATGCTTGTAACTAACAAATTGATTCTATTACATATACACATACGAAAGTCTGTCTCCAGCTACTATGAAACTCAGTCTGTGTCCTAAGCATGATGTGACTGGAAATTGTCATTCCTCTGAAAAGAAATCTGCCCAAGGACACTGCATGAGCCATGAGAGCAGAGTGGGAAGAGGATCAGGGCCACAGATTCTACATGTACTGTGTATTAACCACTTCACACCAGATGACGCGTTAACATTCTAGTACTTCCTGGCTTTGTAACATTGAGGACGTGTAAAATGCATTCTGGTGAATTCTGTATGTAGTGTTGGCTGATGTCCATAGAGTACCCAAGAGTGAGGTCATTTTGAACGAGGAAGCGCAGTGTAAATGAATGGAGTACGTGCGCGTGTTGGTTGACGTGCTGGTCCTTCCACTAATGCCGTTCACATGTGTAACTGTGAGTCTGACGTACTCACCGCAGTACTCCATGAGCCTGGAGCTGAGTCTAAAGAGAGCGTAATATTCTTAGCAACTGAGGCTCCTTTGGTCGAACTAAACTTCACTGATTCCCAAACAACTATGCAATGCACCCGTTCCTGTCGCACTGGCACTGTGACAAACATCCCTCTATGACACTGCCTCTGAATTTCACGAAGTAATGATGTGGTAAGAAACACTGCACAAATCTGGAACAAATGACCACCAGGGGTCAGTATTTGTAAAGTCCAACTCTGTGACTGAGACTGTAGTTGTGGTATATGGTGGAGTGCCATGGCCTTGTGATTAAGAGCGTTGGATTCGTAGTCGGCGGGTAAAGCCGCAGGTTGTGGGTTCGAATCCAGCCTGGGGTCATGGTGAGTGGGCCCTTTGGTGGCAAGGCACTTTGTCACTCATTGCCTCTCTCCACCCAGGAGTAATTGGGTACCTGTGAGGGCAGAGATGGTTATTTTGGTTGATTTAGCTGCATTGTGCCGAAACGGCAGCATCAGTGCACTCCAAGGGCCGGAGCTGAAATGGTATTTGGAATGTTTCATGGGCCCAGTGAGCAGGGGTAATAAAAATGGAATTGCGCCTTGATCACTTTTCCGGATAAGTGCGCTATATAGATTTATTTATTATTATTATCATTATTACTATTGTTGTTATCATTATTAATAAGTGGTGTTCTGGGCACAAATAATACTGCACAGTGCATGGTGGAATAAAAATATTGGCAACTGGTTGAAAAAAAAAGGACTGACCTGAATGAAGACTCGTTTCATATTAAGAAGCAGGCACTCCATCAACGTCGAAAAGAACTCCGTCATTGACTTGATTTCTCGCCTCTCGTACCCTCGGAAGGCAGAGAGGAGTTTCAGCCCTCGTTTCTCCGCCCAGTATAGCAACTCCCGGTAGCTGATCTGTGATTAGGAAACAATCGCAGGTTTTCAACGCATCAAGTAATTCTTGCACAATGGTTTCACATGAACCGTGCAAGACGGGTCGGTTAAATGATGCACTGTAGCCATATGGTACACTCTTAACCTATAATGACAAGTCTTTTATAAATTTAGAATGGTAATGCTTGTAATTCCACGGACACTGTGAAACCAGAGTTTATCTTTTCAAAGTCAAAATGACCCCCATTTAAAAATGGCAGCTACTGATCCAGAAGACCCATACTGCCATCTTGTCTGTGGGAGTTGGAGTGGCATGAAATTTGGTCTCCTGCAAAAGCTGGTCCAACACTTTGCAATTATGTGCCAAGATGGCACATACTTCTCCATTTTGGTCGAAGTCTAACTTGTTGAATATCTTCTCTGGATCTGAACCATCCTCGTCAAACAGTATCTTCTTGTACTCATCTGTGAACTCTGAATCCTTCTGCAAGCCAAAAAAAATCAAAAACACCCACTTACTGAAGCTGGGCATCAAAATAGCTCATATTGTGCAAAATGGAGTCACACAAACTTAGTATCTGTCATTCTGATAAAATATCAAACCAAATACATTGTAAGTGTGAGTTTGAGCTGCGCATTGCACTTTTATATGTAATACACATATTCTTAAACATGAGCACCCCCGACATGCCTGATATTATTCCTAATTGGTCAATGAGAAATATTTTACATGTACATCAAGCTGAAGTCAGTGATACATAAAGACCATCAAAACAAGACCATTTTGCTCAGTTGATGGAACACAAGTCCAAATACCAGTACATACATGTATGTAGGTTGTTACACATCTTTAGCCCTGCTTCTGTCCATTTTCTCTATTGAAAAAAACTTGTTGCTTCCCTGGTTAACTTGGTGATAGGTTTTCAGAGACTCACACTGTTGAATGCCTTCATCCATTCATCCAACTGAATGTTGCCATCCATGTTTACGTCTTGTTTGTTCAGTTCAGCCAAAAGCTTGTCCATCGCTTCCATTAGAATGTTGTGCTGGGTCTCAATGTAATTACTCTTGGCCTTTTTCATTCTTTTCCTGCAAGTACATGTACATGTAACTATAATGTCCCACTATCCTTGCTGACATGGACCCTGGTTTCCAGTAGCTTTATTTTCTATTTGCATGTTTTTGTTTGTGATCAATTTCCTGGAAACAGAGTCAAGTACTTACACCATACAACCAATGTGACTGAAATTAGAAAGGTGATCCTTTATTGATTTGGGGATAAAATATAGGATGGAATAAGTGCACATGGATGCTGGGGTCATCAGTTTCTTCTGTATATGCATTTCTATAGGCTAATGAGGGCAATATTACCTGGAAACCAGGGCATGTGAAGGGAACTTAGGTTTCACTGTGCATCTAGTAACACTGAGCCTCCTATAATTGACCACGTTTTCAAGTTGTAAAATAATTCCCAGACACCTTACTAGCTGAGCACTTGGACAGTATCATGCGGTTTAAAATTTACCATGGAGCAGCATTAATTCAGGTTGGCTGTGAGTGAAAAGGTTAATGCTCTCAGGCTGGGTTTGGCATCAATATAGTCCAAAATCTGGCCATCACTGTATCATTTCTTATAAGGCAGATGTACAAATGTAGCACACTGATGTGTGCCCCAATTCAAAATACCAAAACCAGACCAACGGCTCTTCCTGAAGGTTAAAGACAATGATCGTTGAACACTGATCAATATGTATGACTACTATACATTTGAAAACATGCATATCAAACAGCAGATACCGTCACGCATGAGTGAACCAACCTGCAACAAACTTTAGCCTCATTTATAAGAGAGGTACTGTAGGGAAAAGGCTTCAAATCTTTTGACATAGGGTTTGGGAGGTGGCCACCCAGAAACCAGTATAAAATGAATTTATCTTCCGAAAATCAACACCAGAGAAATAAGAGGCAATTTCTGTCCGCAACCAACTAGGCCGATTTCAGAAACATGCGAGGTCAAATTTTGTGTTTGTGTTGAGTTGATGACAAAACGGGGTGAAAGGCACAACAGGCATGCATGAAACGAAGCATGCATGAAGATACATGTAAATTGGTATTGTTGCAGCCCAAATGCATTAAAATGAGGAGTTTTGATGACGTGTAGAAAATGCACAATATTATACATTAATTTGAGTCTCTAAGATGCATGAACCTAAAATCTAATTACTCTTAGCTGGTCAAAATAATTGTGAGCTTTGTTCCGAAATGGAGTCCGAGACATTGAAGGTGGAGTGGAAGATAACATGCATAGCATGTATATGAGTGTGGACTCGTATCCACGTGAAGTGGCAACAGACTCACATGCTAAGAAGAATATCGCACATGTGTGTACCTGTATGCGAAGCTTCTAGAAACAAGACAGCAACCCACGTGCGTGCCTGTTTGTTGAGTCTACAATTTTCAATATGTTGAAGAAAAAGAGATAAACACGTATGGGATGCTTCTCATGAAAGCGAGTGGATTCAATTCTCACAAAAGTAACTATGATTTACTGGCTGACAGAACAGAACCTGTCATTGTTGTGAAGCTGCTGTGGAGGTCCCGAAAACAAACCTGCGGCCGGGTGGTCCAGCAGCAGAGCACCATATACCGGCAGCTGCAACACAACTCAAGCAGTTAGCGAGGCTTATGAGTTGCTTTTCTAAATTCAAAGTGCTTTTGCAGACACTGGATATTTGTCAAAGGAGTCCTCCATAAATCCTTGGCATTGTACTTGTCTGTGACAACCAGGAAGGTTTAAAATCTACTTTTAATGCGTTGTCCGGGAACAATCATTTCTACAAGTAATTGAACGGAAACCTCGAGACTAATTTTGAAAGATGGTCTTGTCACCTCTTGTTTAAAAGTTACAATTGGGGAAAGGTTTTCTTTTCCCTACCTCTTTAAGGAAGGTTAATTTCAACCATTAAATCAGCCTTATCGGCCATTGAAGGGAACAGGCATGTACAAGTACCTGTAGATGATTCAGTGGGTTTAGGATAGGAGTTTATGACTTACTTGGCAAGTTTGGTGTTGGGTGTGGCCTGAACATAGTCCTGGTAGTAGGAATGGCGCTTGTTCAAGGCATCCTTCATCACTTCAGGCTCAAAATCTGAATACTGGAGAGAATAAAGACCCACAGGGTCATAACTCCCTGCTGAGTATTCTACCAAACAGCAATCACATTTTTACCCAAAAAACAGTGTTAACAAACCGTTGAACTACTGAAGCTCCAACTCAACTGGAATAGTGTACATACTGCAGAAAATCCATTAATAGTACATAGAATTTCTAAAGTTTTCGACTGAAGGCTAAAATGAGCCTTTCATTATTGATTGAGCATCAATTTAGTCCAAGTAAAACCAAACTTCAGATCAACATTCAGGTATGTGGCAACACACTTGATTGGGCAAGAAATCCAGGGCCAGCTTCAGTATCTGTCTACATCATTTGGTCAACAAAGAAGCTGGATTAAATCATTCAGTCTCATCTTTACCCCACAGAGCCTTCTTAATATTTAAACTCAACACACAATGAGACAAAGATTCAAACACGATTTCTACGCCTTCTGATGCAAAGAAGCTGGTGACGGGAAAATCTTTTTGAAATCGTGTCCCAGAATGCAAGAGAGTTGAACAAGCCTCTGTCTCATTGCTTGCGGATTACTTGCTTGTTCTCTTTATGGGCAAGTTTGGAACTTACCAGTAGCAAGCCCAGGGTCCGCTCATTTTTGTGCCTGAAGCGCTCCTTCCGGTCCCAGAGTTTGCGGATGTCTCTCAGGGGCTGTACTCTCTTCAGGAATGTGTCTTCCGGTCTCATGGACAGATACCAGCCTGTGAGTGTATAGACATACATGATGCATGTAGGTTGTGCATCTCAGGATAATGAAGAAGAACCTTGGGGCTAGTTCAAGTGAAGACTGCAGTTAACTACAGTTTAACAACTCTTACGATGGAAGGTTGAACTAGTCTACTCAACCATTTGGTACCATGCAGGCCCTGGGGCACATCTGTATCGTATTCTTGAGAGCCCTTTTCGTAAATGTGTAGAAAATGAACACCTGACCGGAAATGATTTCCATGATGGCAAAGACTGTAAATGCGGAGCCTTATCGGTAACCAATGGCAAAATGTGAGTTATGATAGGGTTTTGTTAACATGGTTTGAGTGGGACCGCCATTCCAATGAAACGGGAGCATATCCAGACAGTATTCACTATGGTAAGAAGTGAATGCCCTGTGCCGCGTAAAACTACAGTTGTCACTCTGGTCAGTATGCCTGATTTACTTAAGTCATAATTTATCTACAGCAGAGCACCCTGTTGATGATTCAAGTTCCCGGCAACGTCTAGGCTAGACAACATATTAACTCTTTTTAGTACCTCTTTGTGACAGTGACACTTACCATCAAAGGCGTGGATGGGGTAATTCACCAACAGGCCTCCATCGACGTAATGATCAGGAAACGAACTCAGGCTGTTCTTAACTGTGCAGAAAACCCCTGAGAACAGAAGGGTGTTTGGAAGACCTCAAGGCAGCAAGCAATATTGGTCACAAAATAACACTGAGTGGAATGTAATAAGAACTTTATGTAATGCCATTTTGCGTGGATCATGAATGTAGGTGCAAACCACAGGTACAATGTTGTAGCAATCAAACTGTTTTAAAGGTTTAAATCCCACCACAATCAATTTCTTGGATCCATAATGACTGCAAGTGAATCCAGGCAACCTCAGCTCTGCTTTTTAATACATGTTACATGTACAGGTTCTTTCAATCGTGCCCCTCTCCACGCAGATGCCCATACCGTCCTCCCCTCCCCTGAGTGCCCCCAATTTGAAATCTGAGAATAGTTTCCGTTGAAATGCAGCTGCAGTTTAGCTTCATGTGGTGCCCCTTGAAAAAATGTCCCTCCCCGGTCCACCCCCCCAGAAATGTAGCCCGAGATACTTCGCTGCCCAAATGGCCTGCAAAGTTCATGTAAGGCTGTTCAAACTGGCATACAGAATGAGGTGTCCAAAATGGTCATGTGTCCATAACCTGATACCTCTGTGGCATGCCTAGCTATTAAAAACCCTGATGACTACACAATGTGCAGCAATTAATGCACTGTTGGATTCACACTTTCTGTTCAGGAAAAAATGTTGGTAAAGAGTCACAAGAGTTGCTCACTCCGGTTTCAGGAGGTGTTAACATTCCACTTTCGGTTGAATTTTTCTGCCCCCCCCCAAAAAAAAAACTGACTAACACATCTCAGTGTTGAAGATGAAGTGGACTACAAGTTTGTCTTACATGATTTCCCAATTCATTTCTACAGATGCACAGTTACCTTCAGGCAACCAAAACATGCCTCAGGAGAGAACGTTCACTGCCGGCTTCAGTTGCTTCGGTACATTTAGAACCAAAACATGGTTTCCATACTTCCTGAATTGCAACTAGAGTGTACAGGCTTCAAATTTGTTGAAAAAGAGTACTGGTAGTCCTTAACCTATATGGAAGTCAATCAATTTTAATTCTTACTGATCTAGAATACATAATCCTGAGTTCTTACCTGGAATAGAGCCTGACATGCGCATGGCCATTCTAATTGGCATATCCGGGGTCGTCTTTACGTGACAGTAAAAACAATCCAAAAAATTGATATTTGTCACACAGATGCACAGCTCCTTGCCGTACATTGTGTACACCTGAGATAAACGAGCAATTTAAAGTTGTCAACTTGTGCATTATGACAAAGCCTAGGACAAAAGGAAATGATTTATTGCAATTCTGTTACTGCAGAGAAAAGACTGATAAATTATTTAAAAACATGCCTAGCAAGCTTTTGAATGTTTATAGTCGCAAGTACAATACTAAATGTCTTACAAAAGTACATGTACATGTGAAAGAAACACGGGGACTTTGAAGTGGATAATAAATTAAATGTCCCTGTTGAAAGTTGAGTTACTCAGTGAACTCCAAACGGAAGATATGGATGGAATAAATTTTCCACCTGTAAAATGTGCCATACAATATTTGTATAAGAGTAATTCCAGAAATGAGGTGTCCATAAGTGTGACATTTTCATGTCCCTGTTACATCTGACCACTGGTATTTGACATGGAAATATCATCACCGGAGATTTCAAACTATTACAATTTGTTTTGTAGGTAATTTGCATTAATTCATCACTCTTGGAAATTAGAAAATGTGTTTGGAACTTACAAAATCATATGTCAGATGTGACAGGGACACCAAAAAAATGGACCCTTCATTTCTGGAATTACCCATAAAGCACATGAACTATCAGATTCATATATGTACATGTACATACACCACTATTCCCGTGGCTACATGTTGCTTGGGGCTGTTTTAAATACACTTGGATTCATGAGTACTAAGTACACATGGTCTGCCAGCCAGTTTCATGTTTGTTGTGTGTTTGTTGCCATTTGTAAGAGTTTTCATACACTGAAATTAAGTACAAAGATGCAGAAAAATTGTGTCGAAGAAAAATTCCTTGCAGCTACTCTTTAAAGGCCCAAAAATGAGTCTCTAGGGTCATCCGGCAGGGTCACAGTTTGGATTCTGATATGGAAATTGATTACCTCTCATCATATACAAATATACTTGACTGTTTATCCCAAAGGTTTTGCTGTAATATCACAAAAAGTTATGGTGGGAGCGTAGTCGTGCCAAGACAGAAATTACCTCCATGCCCCCACCCCCTCCATTCAGGCCACCATCAGTTGATCCCTTGACCACCAGAAACACTGAAGCTTTCGACCATAGAAACTTCCTGAAATGTACTTATTATGATTTTACGCGTGAAACATTTATTAGATCCAGGTCCTTATGGATGAAGTGATTTTTTTACATTTTTGTTTCCATTTCTGTCCCTTTTCCATTGCTACTACAACAACTGCATGAGTAAAGAAAGTATCCAGCATACTGATTGTTAGTCAATGAGGAAATGTAAAAAACCCATCAGGATGACTATATTCTAAGTTATAGGTGTCCAAGGGATATCTCACAGAACTTTCAGGAAATAAGGCCATGGGAATTTGATGGACCAACCCTCGAGTGATTATGTTTCATTCCAAATTATGACAACTCAGACAAAAAAAGATTATCAGCAAATAACTCAAGCCCAGCAAGGTGAAACTGGATGTACATCCACTTTCTGCTCTGCTCGCTACAGGAAGAAGAATGACTTGCTTTATATGTAACTTAGGAATAGCAAATTCATGTGTCCTTGACCCACAAACAGGCATACATGTATAAAAACACAGGAACACAGGGTGTATGTTTTATGTTTATCAAACATCAAAGCAAAATGTTGTGCAGGACGTTTTGTCATTAACTTTTTAAACTCTAAACATAGACTCTACAGACATTAGCTGTAAAGAATTTGTCAGTTTCCATAGGCCCACATGTTATCCATCTACAGCCACAGTCACAACCCTTGGCCACAACCCTCCGAGCCCGGCCACAATCCTCGGGCAGCGTTCAGTCAGCAACATTTCACCAGGATAAATTGTATGCATATCCAGCCAAAATCAACCACTGGTTGACCATGGAGGTAGGCTGCTGAACATAATCAGTCCAGGCTGCATGGTTTAAGGGCAGATTTTTTTTTTTAGTGGGGGGGGAACCAATTTGGGAATTTTGACATACATGTAACCTTTTGTTACCTTCCGGGGTGAGATTGAATTAGGGGACATTTATGTGCATTGGAGGCAAAGGAATTGACATGGTCCCAACACCTTGTTTTTCAAAAAAACTAAATTTAAAAAGTGCTTCGGGGGGAGGGTACAGTCTCCTTTGGTCGCCCCAACTTTACCCGTGACTGAACCAGGTCCAGGGGTCCATGGATATTTTGGTTTGTGTGTTAGACAGTTTTACCTGTTCAAATGTGATGTCAGCGTTGCCTGTCTTCTTGTATAGCATCTTGCCAAACCATGAGTACAGCTTGTTGCCTGGATGCCAACCAAAACGTTTCCTCATGTTGGGAAATAAACTGAACAAACCAAACCTGGCATCTGCAAACAACAGCAAGACCATTTTTTCTCTCAAATGAACAAATTAAAACAGAAATGAAAGGGGCTTAATTGGCTCCTGACTTGAGCAAAAGATGCTGAACAGTCAGGAAACCCCACACAGAGTCCTCCACTGGATAGCTCACTGGTAGTTAGGAAATGCGGATGTATTCTTGAGGTCAGTGCTTTAAATTCCCTTCTATAAGTTCTTTAATTCCAGTATATTTCTTGATTGACCTGCTACATGTTCACCCCACAGTGCAATGTAAAAACAATCTGTCCACAAGTACAGGCTGACACCCTGACTCACTTTCAGCCCAACACACAAAGTCAAAAAAGTCTTCAGGGCCATGACTATGTGTTGAACTTGGAAGTGGCCACTGCACCAGGCCTGTTATTAGCAAATATCACCCAAGTATGGATATGATAAAAATGTGGCAAGAAAGTTCCTTGGCATAATGTTCAAACTGCTAGGAAATAATGAAATATAATTTGTGGCATTTGGCAATGCATGTAGTTGGCAACTACATACCGTTTTATGCCCTTATTGAACGTGTAAATTTTCAGCCCGTCTGCAACAGACCTCTGTACTGAGGACACCACAGATGAGTGCTTTCCTAAGGTGCTCAGTGGACCGTGGGCCCCACTGGCTCCATGGGAAAGTGAATATGTTAAAGTCTGGCTTTATCTGTACATTGTACATAGGCCTTTTGATTGAAGTAAACCAATCATAATGTTTTCAATGACGTACTCAGCATTCACTTGGCAGCTGATGACCTTTACGTACTGGTGATAGTGTCCTGTAATCGTGCATTGAACTGAGCAATATACAGTGTCACTGTAAAGTCCCAGCAATGCAAGTAATTTACATATCCCACCTGATTTATTCTTATTTATTTATTTATTTTACAACATTAGACATGAGAAAAATCAAATAAGAATGAAAAAAAATATAATGGATCCAATGAATAAGCAGAGACTGTCAAGGTCAAAGGTTATTAGAGTTGAAGGGCAGTCTGTTGTGCAGCTAGGGTAAAGAATAAAGTTCGAAAAGAGAGGGTTAGCGCCAAACAAGGCACCGGTATGGCCCCAAAATAGAAGTGTTGGCAAGCATGTGCTTATGTGGGCTTTTTGTCAATGGATAAATACTAGGCATGTGGAAATAACTAAATGATTTTTTTAATGATGCGTACATGTACTGGTAGGTTAGGTATGGTTTGACATGTACTCATTAATTTATTCACTACCCAGTAGACATTAAACATTAAATCTTCATCACTGATACAGAACTCCTGTTGCACATCCTTGTTAGAGAAATGTTCCGTTTCACATCTGGTGTCAATTAAAATGGGTAATTCAGAGGGTATTACAGTCACTTAGGGCAATACAGTCAATGAACTGATCAAAGGGTCCACGCAAAGACTTTTTTCTTTATTCCACTTTCTGCGCAACCTCATAATCATTAACGTTTATGACAACTTCTTGACATCTTTTGGGAGTTCGTTGACAAGTGGCTTATTCCAACATTTCAAATTTCTGCCAAGCTTTTCAGAAAAAGCGATTGGGCCATTCCTGTGATGCATTCAGGGAAGTCAATGTTTGTGGTCTCTGTCTCAGTCTTGGTCTCATCCTATCAAAGTTTCAGTCTTGGGATGGTTTGTCTCAGTCTCCAAAATGCTGGTTTCGGTCTTATCATCTCGATTTCAGATGTCAAAGTCTTGGATCTCCTCCTCGAGACCTGTCAAGACCACAACAAAATGTTCACCTAGTTACAACTCATGAATGCACTCAAAACGATTTCATACAGTCAATAGGGAAATACCATATCAGTGGATAACCTTTTTTTCTGCTACGGCTAACTGACCTTTCTTACCAGCTCAGTGATCATTAGTAGTATCACTGGCAAACTCAGACATTCAGCATTAACGAAAGGGTCATTTCATATTTTCGGTATTTTACACATCATGCCCAATTGGTTTGCATGAAACATATAAACATGCCATATATCTTTGTGGAAATTCAGTGAAAATAGGCTTGGAAGTTCATGGTTATAATTAAACCATACATGTACCGGGCACGCCTGCTAATGGTATTGACATCAAAGTCTGTAGCTCATCACAACAACATTGTACCTCTCAGAGGTAAAATAAAAGTGTAAAGTCTATTTATGTTTGATGGTGTGCTGCATGCGTTAATTTCTTTATTTGATATGTTCAGTACAGTTTTATCATCTTATGTTGCTTGTCCTTGTTTACCTTTGCATAGAATGGTACAATGTAATATCTGTGTGCTGACACAAGCTCAAGTTGTTCTGATGGTTGCTTGGTTTATTGTGTGTCTGATACAGGAGTACAAGTACATGTACATGTATATTATATACATGTACACTCTATTCATGGGGGCTAGGTCTAATGGGGTACAATGATTGATGTATAGCAGGTGGTCCCATTAGGATCCAGAGGAGGGCAGAACTACAAGGACATTCTAAAATGGGTACTGTTGCTGGGTAGAGTTATGGTGGTCAGGAGTGGACCTGTAAGAGTGCAGGATACTACATATACCGGTGCGTTTGTAATGTTTGGTCTCGGTCTTGGTCCCCGAAGTCCAGGTTTCAGTCTCGGTCTCGACCTGCAAAAGCCTTGGTCTCTTCGTCTCTGTCTTCAAGTTGAAGGATCAGTGGAATTCGGTCTTGGTCTCGGACATCAAGGTCTCGAATACAACTCTGGATGTAGTTTGATTTTTTCTGTTTTCATACTTATCAAATATATTGAGAGTAAAGGAAAAACAACCATGGAAAAGGTATCTCCCTGAAAAAAGGGGGGTGCATGCCCAGAGCATACACCCCCTCTGAATACAACTTTCGTCCTTGTATGGTTTCGTTGAACCTTGGTCAGGCAGTGCAAGGCCCTGTGATTACCACAAGCTCCAGAAAATGCCTGCTGAGTTGTAAAGGCCAAAGATACAGTACAATTTTAATGGGGATGGGTCATGTAGGGTTAAATTGACGATAGTTTTCAACCGTCTTATATACAATAAGTTGGATTAATCCCTCTTTTACACCATTAAATCAGCAAAAATTGGCATATTCTGTGTGCTTTTTTCAGTCCCCGCCTGAGCTCTTTGCAAAAACTTATCAAAATTGGTCAATGAGGGCAGCAGACAAATCTTTCCAGACAAGAATGCATAGTTCTGGCAAGACAGTTGATCATCCCGCACAAGAATAATATTCTCTGCTCTGGCGCATAGTCAGGTACGTAACTCGTACGTGTCAAGTCAACCACATTTGGTCTTGTTTCCCTATGCCCTTCTCTTAACACAGGGCAGAGCTATTGGACAACTAATTTGATGTGTCGCGTTCGTTTTGTTTTGCATCGCATTGTACGTGTAATAGTTTCTATAGTGAATTGTGAATTTCGAAAGAATGCCGACAAACTGTGTTGTCAGGGGCTGTTGTCGCAATCAAAACAATTCCCCAGAGAGCAGTTTTTGTAGATTTACAAGCGACTTTTCACACCAGCGTTTGTAGGTTAGATTTATGGACAACACATGATCAGATTTTTACAAGGACTTAAAATTCTAAAATACATGTGCATGTTTAAATGTATGTACACGTACCAGTACTGACACGTACATGTACCACGGGTACGGTGTAATGGGACTATCTTGCCCTGGCGCACGTGGACTAGTTTCCGGTGCAAATAATTCCGCACGGTCATCACGCTTATGTGTCGCTGCCAAGTAAGTGACTTGCAGTGCACGGTGAAAAAAATTGTCTGAATGGAACACTAACCTTGACAAAGTAGGCTAGCCTATAACCATAGACAAAAACTACTTCTACTGTACAGCTATCGAATAGCCAATGGTAGGACAATTACGTCTTTTCAGAAAAAACACATTTTTATCATGGTACAGGAAAAAATAAAATCATGACCAGTCAGTGTTTGGTTGTCGATCCTCCAGGTCGCCGCCATGCCCATGGCCAACAGCCTCGAGTTGCAAAATCTCTTCCTAAGTGTATTCTGGTTCGAACTGAAAAGGCAATATTTCTTGTGCCTCATCAGCTCCTTCAATGTCACTTTCTTTGTCCAATGAATAAGACAAACATGACAACTGATCGCTGTCATGATCGGAAAAAGCATCAATGTTGGAATTATCGTCGCTTGAGTCTGACATGATTGCACACGCTAACGCTACTACATTACGTACATGTTGACGCATCGTTGCATAACACTAAACAGTCGCCGGATAAAGGACTCCGTCCTATGATGTCACAATTCTTGGGAGTTTCTTCAGACAATTATCTGTACATAGACACACTAAATGCACGTGTACATAATGTCAAGAGCCCTGAGGATAGATTGCAAACAATGCAGTCTCTTAACTCTCTCAAATCCAAACAGGCTTTCATATCAGTTAAGTGAAAACACCTGATACAAATGTACCGATCCAATTTTTACTGGATAAAAAGGACACTGGCCTAACTCAAGGCCTTTCACTGACAGGGCTGAATTCAATGTCTTCTCCAGTCAAGAGGGCCACCATACCTGTGCAATTACACAACCAGTGTGCCAGCAAGGACATCCCAGAAATTTGCAATTTTCTTCCAAATGCACATCAGGGCTGAGGTTTCTGCCCTGTTGTCCAAGAGGTTGTTGATTGCTAAATGCTACATGCCCTATTACTTCAGAATATTTAAAACTCCTACGGCAATGAGAGTCAAGTTTCAAAAACTGTTTGGTGGTACGAAGGCCTGTGCTGGGAATCTGACAAGGAGGCTGAAGTCCATTTGACTCCACCGTCCATCCTAACAAACTGTTACCACTGGCACAATTCTCTTCACTGCCCTCTTTTTCTTTCATGTCACTTGTTTCAAAGGTCGAGAAAACCTTGACAAAAATTTCAACATTATCTTCAAACTTCAATCATGAAATCTACACAATAGTTATGTACAAATAGACTCAGAACCTAATTTTCCCATTTTTAATTCTGGGAACATTGGTTAATCAGCAAGTTTGGACACCTGTAAGTTTTCAAATTACTAACATAATCTTACCGAGAAAAATGCGCTCCAGGTCGGGGTGATTGAAAAGTGCCTCAAGGTCGTGGGAGTTGTATCCCACCGCAAGCAATCCCGCTGTTACTGCCCCAGCACTTGACCCAGCAAGTCGTTTCACCTGACTCCATATTCCTGTTTCTTCAAGCACCTGATGAGACAAATTGACAACGCACTGATTAATTAATTTACATGTTATTCACATGGATGGATGCATAGATACTGTTAAAAAACATGCACATGTGCGTAAATATATGTAGATGGGCCTCACAGGGAGGGGACACGGGGAGAGACACAGGCCCCCCCCCATTCCATTCCACCTCGGACAAAGGTCTTTTTTCTTGAAAAATAAGAAGCAAAAGAAATGAAGAGACAAGAGGGATGAAAATCACAACTTTTCTTGAAAGAAAAAATCTCAAAATTAGCCCGTTCTACTGTGAATGGTTTATCAGTTCCTTGCTTCTGAGTGCTTTGCTCATCCCGGAAATGATCTTAACAATGCCCATGCACATACCAGTATATGTGCCCACCAGCAAAAAGAAATCAAAAAGTGGGTTCAAAGTGTTGATTTCAGTTCTTCCTTCGGGAAAGAGCACTTCTACAGCTAAACTCTAGTTCATACAATGCCTTGAAACGAGAAAAGCAACATGAAAAAGTGAGAATGTCGTCAATAACCACACCATCTTCATATACAAAATCCGTATCAAACCATCCTAATTTTGGCACATCATAAACAATATTACCCTCCTTTGCAAACCTGTTCCCCCAACCACTGAACATCTCCTTTCTTTGTTTAAGATTCCCCACTCCCTTTTGAAATTGATTGATTTATATAAAACTCAAGATCTGGGGTGGTCCTGTGTGGAATTCTTCCCATAGGATTTTACACTTTCAGTTGAATTTTAAAACAAGACTTAACAGGTTCATTTCGTAATTTTTCACGTGACAAATTCTACAGAGTTTGAGAGAACAAGAAGAACCATAATGTGTGATTCTGAGTCTTACAATGTAGGCCTGCCAACTTATTTGCCACAGGACTTGGCCTTCTTCAACTACACAGCTGCCACTACTTGGGCTATCCCGTGCAGATTCCCTTGAAGAAACTTGATGTGTAGTGTAGCTGCAAATTTCATGTCATTTCATTTATTATTTCGCAGGTCAAATTTACAATGGGTAGGACAAAATAAATAAAAATATTACATACAATATAGACATAAAAAAGACATAGTTTAAATTTAACATCAAACCTTATAAAAAGACTAAAACCCTAACACCAAAATAGTTGCATGCCCCTGCGGGATTACTAAAAAGTGAACTAAATCACTATCAAGTGATCACTATCGCTATAGTTCTCCCATAGCATGACTAAGAACCCTATTTTGCAAAATCAGAATCATTATAGCAGAGTTACACTAAAATACATAATCCCATGGGCGAAAAGAATAACCCTACAAAATAGTACAAAATCCTGGAATTTATGTAATAATTTTATGTAATTGCACCGTATGAACAAAAAAAGCAAGGAAAACACCCCAAAGACAACTAAAAATCTAAAACAAAACAAAACCCGCTCAAAACAAACTTCAAAGAGACGATCAACAAACAGTCTGCCCATCCACACCAGACAGACAGACAAAAGACAACAACCCAACAGACAAAGGTACTAACACCAAAACGACCCAGAAAACAACCAACAACTGCACAAACACAAACCCCAAGACTATAAACAGTTTATAAAAAAAACCACCAGATTAAGAAAAAGCAACATGATTGAGGAAAAGGTTAAGCAAAATCCCATCTATCCCATCCCAAATCGGTGCCAAAGAAGACACTTCGGCGCAAATATTATCACAGTTGATCGATACATGATGTACCGTAACCTACCCTGACTGCTCCGCCGTAAGCGAAGCCTTTCATGCCGCCGCCTTCAAAAACGATGTTATGCCAGGGATATTGGTAACGACTGAGCTCGTCACACTCATCCTCCGTCAAAATCGGTTCGTGAACTGTGGGCAGCTTCACCGTCTTCAAGCGAAATGTCTTTTTTAATTTTGATGACATGCTTTCTTATTTTTTCAAAGTGTGTCGTTATGAACGATGGTAGGCCTACCTGCAGTTCGTTGGATTCACCACGAACAAGCTTTAAAAAGGTCCAGCCGCGCTGCAGTGATCACAAAGGGAAAGTGACACCGATGGGGCTTCATAAACACGGAAGCCAGATAGTGCGAAGAGATATGATGGGGTGCAAACTCTTTTTCAAAAATATATATAGCGCTTGAATACTTTCAATATCCGGCAGCCGCCACATTCAATTATTTTCCGCCAGTTGCCACCATTCTTATAGCAACGTGACACAGTCAAGTCTTACGCCAAACGTGCTACTGCTATTAAGAGTGTAAATTGAGGGGTAAGTTACCAATAAGGCCTACTAGTAACTGACGTCAAAACAAGTAGGCCTAACACTACGAAATGTCTAGCATGATAGGTCCTTGCTGGTGTTTTTAAGCAAAGATTTCCACGAATTATCAATACACGTGGTCCATTATATAAAGCACGCTATTGTGAATCGCCCGTGTTGAGTTTGTTCCATCGTGAACTTTACCACCTTGAGTGAGCTAACGTGTGCAGCGTGAGAGCCAGGAGAAAATGATTGCCGCAAGGTACGCCAGGTTTGGTGGATGGAGTTGGTCACAATGGATTCCGACTTTGATTCCGACGAACAATGGTTGACCGCGATCTGAGCGACATTCGTCCTTCTGTCTTTTGTCGTGTGCACTATGTTGTTTTATAGTCTGAAGGTTCTGCCGGAACTTGTTTACGTATAATGTATAGTAAGCCTCAGCAGTGTGACCCATTTAAATGATCAGTGATGCGAAGAAAAGACGATTTCAAAATTAGGACGAGATTTAGGATTTTGTCGTTAGAATTCTTTGCAAATAATGGTATTGTGCGCATGTAAATTTGTTCCAAGGTTGAAATTTTACTGGGAGGAGGGCATAAACAGAACTTCCGAGTTAGTGATCATTGAGTCAAGTAACAGCTCGCCATCCAGCACGCTCGGATCCGACACTTCTTCAAAATAATTATATGAAGTATGAAATAACAATCAGAATCATCGGAATAATAATTTTTATAAATGATGTTCTTCAAGGGTTGTTTTCGTGATGAGCGTTATTACGCGTTACCTATTCATCTGCCTGTCTTGAACTGTGGGACTTTTTTTTAAGTCAGATGGTCCTGCCCCTATAAAGAATGGAAAATCCTCCCGTCAAAATCCGTTGGTCCATTGAGGACTTTGAGGGAGAGGCATCCACAAGTTGCCCTTTATTCAAGAAATGGCGTTTATTAACAAAGAAAAGAAGAAAAGTTTAGTATGTTGATTTGTGGGAAGGATTCAGTCATCAATTAAAAAATACAGTATTTGAATATTTTAAAGAACAGTTCTACAGACAAAAGAGAGAAAACAGGACATGTACGGGGAATCTTGCTTCCTGTCAACTTCTTTTTTCAGAAGGAGACATACTTTGCTTTCATCCACTATTTGCCTCCAGACCAACTTTTCTGATGGATAAACACTATATTTTGTAGATCCTTTTATTCTTGAAGGATGTGATTGCTGTTAAATGCACTTCAGAAAAGAAAATCTCAGAAATGTATTTTTTGTTTCCCTGTAACCTGACTTCCAGTTCCTTTTTTCCATTTTAAGGGTGATATAGAGCATTGATTCGACTATCTTCCAAATATCTGTTAATAATTGTATTTGTAGATTGAAGAAGTTATCGAAGAAATGATGGACGAGGAATTTGCAAAGTTCATTCTGAGAAAGGGTGGCTGGCCTTCGCCTAAAAAGAGAAAAGCGAATCTCAGAGCAAATAATCAGGAAATCGTCACCGCTGGAGGGTCTCAAGGCGAAATTAACTACAAAGTCTACCAAGGAAAATTCAAGCACACAAGTGCAAGCGTTCCCGCAGTATTGGAAAGTTCTCCAGGGTCACATGAGGCAACTTGAAGCATTTGGCATTACGACAGCCAGCTCTCCTGCGACGTACCGCAAGGGGAGTGTAACTCGGTGGCCGGCGGGGTGAGGTTAGAGGGCGCACTCCGCGACTGTCTGCCGTCACCTTGCTGGAGCTGTTGTAATAATGCCGTGTCACAATAAATTTATATTTTCTGGATCCGTTTCGTTGAAACATACGAACGGACAGCTCTATTTCCGACCGACAATGATAGGAATATTAATGGAGCAAAGACACCTATTCTTGAATCGAACAATTAGTCATTCTTCTTCTTAACTTCAACGTTTATCTACGTGCGCTTCAGCTTTCTTTACCACGTTAACGCGTCGACTCGCTAGCTCAGTCTACCCGTGCTCCCTGAATTTACTCGGTCAGTCCCCGACTGGAAATTATAATCTTTTAGTAGTATAAACTCAACCAGCCCTTTGACCGGATCTTCTCCGCCAGTCCTCGATTGGAAGTTACTCGTCGTCCCACGCTAACTTCGCAGTAGATTTGCTGGTAGTGTAGAACCGGTCCCTGACCGGATTTACTCCGCCAGCTTCCCGCTGGAAATTACTAAAATTACCCCGCCAGTCCCTGACTGGAAGTTACTCAAATTAGTACTCCGTCAGTCCCTGACTGGAAGTTATTTGTCGTCCCATGCTAACAGCGCAGTAGCTTAACCTGTAGCGTAGAACCCCTTCCCGGTCAGTATATACTAATAAGTTCCCCTTGCTCCACTTCCCTCGCGGAGCACCGGAGAAAATTAAGTCGGTGAGTTTCCGCAAGCTGGGTGTCCCTAAAATAAACCTTAAGTAACCACACCACTGGCTAAGCGGCAAGTGCTATACTCTTAAGCATACAGTATCTACCAAATGTTATCACAAAAGCACAACATCCATCCTCCATGTTTACAAACCATCACGTGCCAACTAATGCTCTAATAGCAGAGAATTTGACAGCCTACAAATCGTGATTCGGTCCGCACAGGCAACCTTATTGTGGGCCCCGTCTACTGACCTGCAACCTCCGAGGTAGGTAGACCCTATTTGACAACATGCAGCTTTTGACCGCCTGCGATTCCAACACATGCCTGCTCTTCGGATTAGGTGCGGTTTCAATAAAATTCACAGTGCCCCCACCCGCTTTGGAAAACGGGTGCAAAATGGACACTACCTTTACAAGACAACTAATTGTACTGGTACATTATAATGACTTTGTTGATCAAGACTACAAATTTATTTCAACTGTTTTTCATGTCAATCACACCCCAAATAAAAATTATAAAAAGACTTGCCCTGCAGTATACATACAAAAATATACTTAAAAAACCTACAAATCGGTAAAGTATTGTGGACAGTGTCAATATAGTAAAATTTATGAGTAAACTACAAACTACAGTACCTGTACAGAACAAATTCTTTCAGGGGTTAATAAAAAAAAACAAGCTCTTGCTCGCCGAGATGTACATACCAAATACAGTGATTTGGTCAATGCACATGGAAGACCATCTCTGTGTCACATGACATTTTCAAGTCAAATTTTAAGCCGTCCATGTACCATAAAAAATTTCTATTCCAGCAAGTTTGTCAACATAAAATGCCATAACGTTTAAATGTGGAAACAAAATAACTGATACCAACATCTTTAAAGGTCTGACCCTTCTTGTCTGCTGCACGAGCCATATAATAAGGGAAACTTTCAATAAGATTACGTTTACACCTGTCTGCATTTTAAGCTGTCTACAGGTGGAAATCACCCTCCGTTTTGCGTAGGCGACTGAAGATTAAAAACATCAAAATATACATAAAAATCAGCAAATTCTTACATTGCTTGGAATATTTCATTACTATAAGAGGCATTTCCATTATGCATATCATTTGTATTTAAAAGTAAATCAAAGATTTACAGAATATTTGCAGGGTGGACCATTTAGAATGCTCTGTCAGCTGAAAATTTCAAATTGGATATTAACCAAGTATAAGATTCTGGACGATTCAAGTGACAACTGTTCCAAGACCTAACCAATCCAACTGAACCTTTACCTATTTAATTTCATGGGCTTTCACAGTCCTTTCAAATAGGCAAACACAACGGCGATGCAATTAACACCCCCAAAATTATATGTACCAACCTGCTCTAAAAGATAACTTGCAAATTGTATTGCTTTATGCCTCTCGTTCACTGTCAGAGATATTTCAGCATAAAAACAAATATAACAATTTTAGTGAAATGAAATTTAAGTTACAAATACTAAATTCCACACTAGATTTAAGAGTGCTAATTGAGGTATCAAAAATGGAAAAATGTATACACAAAATATACTGCTGCTTTGGATATGAGCATCCGATAAAGCATCCTATTTACATTAATATGTAAATTTAATCTCACGATGATCAACCTCAGCTTTACAGTGGAAAGGAGGACCCAATTCTATTCAATCAGTGATTTGAATCTACTGCTTGGCAAATTCTACGTGCTTGTCCAAAATCATCTGAGAACAAACCTCCTGTTACCCACACTGCATTACCCTTTCAGCTGGGTACCAGTTTTTCCTGGGCAATTTTTTTTTCTGTGCTTGGTGACTTTTTTGAGTTTTAGCATATCTGTAATTTTACGAAGGAAACGGAGGTGAAGCAACCTCTTCTATGGGGCATATTTATTTTTGGTGTTATACTTTAACCCTGGAATAAAACAAAAATTTAAAAATAAAAATCTAGTTTAAGAGTTACAGGCAAAGTGTTATTCGAAATCATTTCCCAACTTCCATGAAAGCACACACAGAACTTCTGCAAAAGGTGCCAGAAAAAAACAAAAAAATTAAATTCTGATTGAATTTTAGAGTTTTGGTGTGGATAATAATGATCACAATCTATCACATACACCTTTTTAGTTTTACTATCATTTGTTAAAAGTGTGTCAATATTAGGAAACCCTTCACCTAAATTTTTTTCAATTTGTGGATGTTACGTGTTGAAATTTCACTCTGACCTTTTAAAACTCAAAAGCTGTTTGTATTTTTACCCCAAAAGTTCACAGATAATGAAACAAATCTTTGAAAAGAATAAGACTGAAGTTTGTCACCAAAATATGAAACACCAATTTAGCAACATCTAGGGAAAAAATGTAAGTGCCCAAAATTTGTGAATCCCTTATTCTAAACTACGGCTGAAGCGATGCTTCTGCCATTCGACTTTTGGCATTTCTGGGTGAACCCCCCCAACATCGGACCAAAGTCATTTTTTTGTTTAGCGTTCCACAAATCTTTGCAGTGAGCACTCCCCAGTCAAACCTGGCACCAGCACAGGCGCAGTGCTCAAAACATTATCAGATTCTCAAAAATCATACAATTCCACAAGGCATCAGTATCACATTGCAAGATAGGAATGTCAAGGACTGACAAAATGAAAATACATTTACAGTTACTGTTTGTTACATTTAAAAAATAAGAGTACTCTGGAAAACCAAATCAAACAGTTACAAAAGAAATTGCATCTTCATGAAATAAAAAAGACTAGAAAAATAGAAAAAAAATGTATTGTCTGTGTTGCAGTCCTGTGCAAAAAGCATATGACGAAATTAAATAAAAGTTAATTTTTATTTTTATAAAAGTTAGACAAATGCTGATATAAACAATACTTTCAAATGAAGTTCAGCATTGGATTCCAGCAAGAACAGTCACGAGCGATGTCTAAGGTAATATGATAGGTGAGGGCACTAAAATAACATGCCTAAAATGAGCGTCAGCCTACATGATAGGTAAAGACCGGGGGGGCAAAAATAGCATCAAAAGGCACTTTCTAGAAAAATACAAAGAGAGATACGACTAAAATTTAAAAAATATAAAGATACACTTCTCAGGAAAATGGCCTCTATAATACAAAATTAGCCATTGGTGTGAACTTCAGCAACTTTTGTACAGAATGACCTTGGTCAGGTTTCAAAAATTGGTACTTTTATATCTGAGGAAAGATTCAGAGAGTGATCAAGAGCACCAGTGTCTCATATTCAACGCACCCATTCTAAGGAAGATGCTTCAGACAATCTGTGATTGGATGGCTGTGCCTAAGACCCAGAGAATCTCACTCATCCCCGCTGAACTGTACGTCTTCAAACCAGTTCCTGAAAAGAAATCTCACATATACACTTCCACTCTGACCACGTATCTGACTCGTACTTGCACTTGTGAATACCCACTGGGATGTAAATGTAAGCAATGGAGTTTTATTATGACAGACATGGAACACTGCCCCACAGATGCGACAATTACTGAACGAGGCCAATGGTTTTTCTTGAATGTTTCCCTGGAGCATCTGAGTGGATTTTATTTAAAGGTGCGAGTTGAAGCCGCAGTTATACAATGGTCGTCTCATAATAGCAGTGCTTAAAGGGTTTAATCAAAACAAATCCCCTGGTATAATGTTATTTCAGCTGGTCAGCCAGGCTACCCTTTATCTCTCAGGATGGCATCACTGCATCAAAGAGGTTGTCTTCTTTACTGCGGTACAGGACATTTTTAAGCAAAAGCATTTACCACAAAGAATAAATCAAGGGGCAGCGTTGGCCCCAACTACCAACTGTGCATCTTCGCAGCTGGCCACCGATACTGAACAGTCATCGTCGTCCTCCGGCAGGGTTATTTTGACGTGCTTGTTGCAAGCGGGCGAGCTAGGCTTGCCCCTGTTGGCAAGCACTGGCTTGACAACCTTGATACTTGCCTCCCGCATCTCTTTGCTGAAGACATCCTCATCCGGCGCGTCCTCGGGCACGGCCGTCGTCGGGGGCGTGGGTGAGATCAGCCCTTCCATGTCAGACTCACTGTTGAGCAGGCGCGAGAACTCCATCGTCACGCGGTGTTTCTTCGCACTGTCGCGGCTTGCCCCCTTGCTTCGTCGAGGGGGCGGTTTGAACTTGTCCACAAACTCTCGCAGGTAGGCCATGCAGCCCAACTTGCCTTGCTGGAAGGAAAGTCAGTGAATGTTGAAATGAATGTGTTGGTCCAGCAACATCACAACCACCAAATTTTTTCGAAATTGAGGTTTATTCGTATATTTTACCAAAATTTACCAATATCTTATTGCAGGAAAATTTCACTGCAAAATATTGCACAAATGTTAAACACAGACATACATATAAATGAAGTTAAAATGTGGTCTTTTTAATATATTAAACTATTTCTGCTAAAACGCTATCTCGATGTGCTCAACACAAACAATCATGTGGTACTCATATCTGTCTGAAAATATCTCTCAGATAACATCAAGCATTCCTGTACTGATGTGACTCCAATTATGTTGTGTGTGTCTGTTCTTCAAGCCAAAAATCAGAATAAAAAAAGGCAACTTTTTTTTTCTTACAAGAAAGCAGGATTGTAGAACATATAACAATAAAATTTAGTTTCAGGCATGCAGCTTGGACTTGACAAAACAGTGAAGAAACTCCAATCTTAACAAGACCGTACAGTGTTTTCAATTTTCATTGGCACCAGCGTAAAGTGAAAACCAAGGAAAGCAGCTGATCCAGGAAAAAGTTGCATGCCTGAAGTTTCCACTTGGAAAAGTGCCAAGAGATGCATGTACACATTTGGCAGTCAACAAAGAAGGTATCACCGCCGAAATCACTGCCTAAATCTGTTTCAGCACTGCCCGTTTCTCTTGAAACTTAGAAGTAAGAACACTTATTTCAAGGGGTGACCAATGACATGGAACATTTCATCTACAACGTTTCGCCTGATTAGTGGACTAGGCATAACCAGTGGACCGGGCAGTTTGTGAGGGAATCCACGAGGAGGTACATGTGCACGGCAGGTCAAGTCCAACTCACTTCACATATGTGACGGCTAAGAAATAAACTAATGCACAATGGCACTGACTTTCTCTCAGAATCAATCACTCACCTAATACTTGGAGCTGTGCATTTTATAAAGCTCTATAAAACCTGTGAAGTGCTCTTTGTATTTTTCCTTGTGCTTCCTCTAAGTGCATTTCCAAGTCATTGTAACCCCCCCCATAATTTCCATCATAACGGAACAGCTCACCTCAATTAGGAACCTTTGGTCTTCCGGCTCCATATTGAAATCCATAGCATCCAGATATCTGCAATCGATTCCAACAGTGCGGAACAGGTCGTTTTCCTGCAAGGAACCATGCAGTATGAAACCACCAATGAGTGTGTGCAGTCATCACATGAGCAATAAGTCTCTCCATTTAGAATATGAGCCAGGAGTGTTATTTGTGTCTGTGTTATTAAGTTTCCAATTTCCAAATTCCTTGAAATGCAAATTACTCTCTTACTTTCACTTCGTGCTCCCAACCATATTTGTACAAATGCAGTTCACAACGGAAGTAAGATCTGAGTGCCTTTTGCCACACAAAAACTTCAATCTTGACTCACTCGACTCAATTATGAAAACAAATACAAAACCAAACGGCATTGGGCATAATTAATTTTAGCGTCAAACACTACAAAGACAGAATCACAGCAAAACTGCTTGCGCTTTGAAAACAAAGACAAGGCAGTGTTAAAAGTTCACATACTTCTCTGAGTCAGGTACATGTACATCTAGCAAAATATTCAATATAATCAAGTAAAGTTTTCTGTGAAAAAAACACAAACATGAAAGTCTATCTCCAGCTGATGGCACTCATCAGTCTGTTCCAAAGCATGGCATGACATTCTTAATTCCTCTGGAGTAATACCCACAGACACCACACACGGCACAAAAGCTCAAAGATGGATCACAGAGTGTACATTAACCACTTCACACCAGATGACGTGTCAAAAGGCTGATATGTCCTGTTTCTGTAACACGAGGAACTTTTCAACAAGTTCTGGCGAATTCTGTACGTTGTGCAAGCTGATGTCCATACTCATTCCAACACTTGGGTGCTTTCCAGTCTGGGTTAGCATACACACACACAGGCTTACACAAGGCCGTGGAGACTGCATGTGTGGGGCCCTCGAGCAGCCACGGGCCACAGCGGGGCCTTGCAGCAAAATCACTCAGAGCAAACATCTCAAAGTTCTAAAAAGTAACGTGGGGTAAGAAATGTTGCGCAAATCTAAACAAATGAGATGTACCACCAAGGTCAGTATTTGTACAGTCCAACTCTGTAAAGGACTGTGGCTGTGGTATCTTGTCATTGTGAAACACTGGCATTATCGGCCGAAAGTGACACAACATCTGGGACAAGTGGAACTTTGGATAAAAACATTGGTAAGCAATTAAAAAAAAAGGACTGACCTGAATGAAGACTCGTTTCATATTAAGAAGCAGGCACTCCATCATCGTCGAAAAGAACTCCATCATTGACTTGATTTCTCGCCTCTCGTACCCTCGGAAGGCAGAGAGGAGTTTCAGCCCGCGTTTCTCCGCCCAGTATATCAACTCCCGATAGCTGATCTGTGATAGGAAAACAATAGCAGGTTTTCAGTGCATCAAGTGATTCTTGCAATGGTTTCAAATGAACCTACAACATGGGTCAGTTAAATGATGCACTGTTATCCTATGATAAACTCTTAACCTACAACGTCAAGTCTGTCATAATTCCACAGACATACAAAAAGAGTTTGAATTTGGCAGATTTAGCACTAATGGTCCTCAGTCCTTCAGCTGTTGGAGAAGGGAGGGCTGTCAAGATTTAGATAGCACCGTTTTGCCTGTCCAAAGAATTCAAGGAAGACTAAATTCAAGTTATCAAGTAGGCACACTGAACACTTGATATCCAATTGTTGTGGTTATGATCTGGTGCGTGACACACATGTAAGGCCAATCTTAGCAAGATGACAGTCATAGATGACAGTCATAGATGACAGTCATAGATGACAGTCATAGATGACAGTCATAGATGACAGTCATAAACTGTAAACACAGATAACTGAATCATTCAAGGAAAAGGTACTGGAATTCATAACACAAACAGAAGCTATCTACTCCTGCAGAGCAGACCCAGCCTTTGTGCTGGCAACAAAACTTTAGGCAATTCCCTCCTCTCCCAAGATATCACAGGTGTGATGTTGCCTTGATTTAATGGCATGAAATGGCTGGTAGCTTGACATAATATTTTATGTAACAGTGTAGATTTATGGGATTGATCACATTATAAAAATCAGGTTAGTGAGCGATGCATTCATCACTAACAAAATACACTTTATTTATTATGCTTAAGGCAAAGCACTCAGGAATTTTCTAATAAATTCTTAAAGTCAGGACAGTGTCCCTTTAAAAATGACACAGATTGCTGAAGAAGACAGAAGTTTTTTCAGACACAATAATACCCATCATGCCTGCAGGGGTCGGTGTGGTCTGAAATTTGGTCTCCTGCGAAAGCTGCTCTGGTGTTTCACATGTGTCTTCTTGTCTTCATTGGTCTTCACACTGAGATGTGTGAAACAGTGCGCATTAGAGAATATTGCACTGCCACCGTTTTATCACATCGACTGGATCTATCCAGCATCATGGGGCTGGGATTTACCAAGATGAGCCGAGTGGCCAATACCAGTGAGTTAATAATAAAATAAAGATCTGATTTGAAATTGGCCAGACCGATTTGGACTGTGAAGATGTTACATACTTCTCCATTTTTGTCGAAGTCTAACCTATTGAATATCTTCTCTGGATCTGAACCATCCTCGTCAAACAGTATCTTCTTGTGCTCATCTGTGAACTCTGAATCCTTCTGCAAACAAATAAATTCAAATATACTCACTATTGAAACAAGGCATCAAACTAGCTCAAATTATGCCAAAATATAGTTGCACAAAGTATTTGTCACTTTGATAAAGGTAAACCAAACGAGAGTGTGGGTACAGGTGATTCATTCACAGAGCAGCTATATCGAGCTTGGCATTGCATTTTTGCATGTATGTGTATGGGTTGTTACACGTTTTTAACCCTGCTTCTGTCTATTTTCTCCATTGAAAAACTTGTTGCTTCCCTCGTTAACTTGGTGATAGGTTTTCAGAGACTCACACTGTTGAATGCCTTCATCCATTCATCCAACTGAATGTTGCCATCCATGTTTACGTCTTGCTTGCTCAGTTCTGCCAAAAGCTTGTCCATCGCTTCCACCAGAATGTTGTGCTGAGCCTCAATGTATTCATTATTGGCTTTTTTCATTCTTTTCCTGCAAGAAAAAAAATGCCCATTTCAGTATCTTTATTCTCCCCCATTGGTGTGATTTTGTAAGTGATCAATTTCCTGGAAAGAGAGTCAAGTTCTTATGCAATACCAACAAATACAACCGAAACTGAAAAAGTGATCCTGATAACATGGGATGGAATACATGCACGTGGATGCCGGGGTCATCAGATTCTCTTGTATATGATTTGTGTATAGGCTAACGAGGGCGCTATTACCTAGAAACCAGGGCAGGGGAAGGGCACTAAGGTTTCACTATGTAGCGTGTTACCTTAGACCTCCCAAAGTTGGTATGGTAATGTTTTCAAGCTGTAATTAAGGCTCCTGGACACCTTACTAACTGAAGGCTTGAACAGAGTCATTTCATTGACCACTGAGTAGTATTATTTCCTCACACAATCGGTTTTCAGGTTGGCCGTCTGTAGAAAAATGAAATGCCCTGGGTTTGGCATCAATGTGCGTTGGTAATTATGCGCATGTCCAAATGTAGCCCGCGTGTGCCCCAATTCAAGACGAAGACAAATTAGCGGAAAAGTTCAAAGGGTTGTGAGTTAAACATCGACATGTATGACCAATGTGCACTTGCACATGTGCATATCAAACAGCAGGTATGCATGCGCAAACCCACCACCAACAAAATGTTGCCTCCTTTGATCAAGGTACACTTTTAAAACCACTAAAGTGGCTGAACACAACAGGCAGGTATCGATTCAGTGGGTTTAGGATTGGAGTTTATGACTTACTTGGCAAGTTTGGTGTTGGGTATAGCCTGAACGTAGTCCTGGTAGTAGGAATGGCGCTCGTTCAAGGCATCCTTCATCACTTCAGGCTCAAAATCTGAATACTGGAGACATTGACAAGGCATTCAGTATAATGGTCCAAAGGGTCATACCACTGCTGTGTTTTCTACCAAACAGTAACATATTTGTACCCATACTGTGGTGACAAAATAGAACCACTGAAGTCCCATCTTAACTGGTAAAGTGTACGTGAGTTTGTTTCTGCATTCAATTGGGGACCTTGAACAATAGAGGACAATAAGGTCCCCGATTGACAGAGGGTTCCCCATTGACAACTGTGTACAAAACATATGGGTGGTCTTCTAAAAACGTTAAAGTACAAACAAAAGAGGAACAATAGGGGGTCCCCAGTTGCAGGCAAATACACACCCGTGTGTGTGGGCTGGAGAAAATCCACACATGCTTGTTTCAGGTACGTAGAAATCCTGAAATGTTTCAAGGAAGGCAAAAAAGAGCCTTTAAATGATGACTGCGCATCAACTCTGTCCAAGTAGCACCACACCTCAGATTCACATTCAGGCATTTCGTACCACACTTGGACAAGAAATCTGGGGCCAGCTTCAGTACATCCACCGTATTACCACGTTTTATGTCTTTAAGTGCAAAAAAAGGATTACATAATTCAGTCTTATCCTTACTCTACAGAATTTTCTCAATGACTGTACATGCAATGTGGCAAAGATTTATCTTCTTTCTACCCTTTTTGATACAGAGACGCTGACGAAGGGACAATCTTTTGAAATCACTCCCAAGAATACAATAGGGCTGAACAAGCCTCTGTCTCATTTTCGTCTTTGCAATTAGATGTACTTGCTAGTTCTCTTTATGGGCAAGTTTGGAACTTACCAGTAGCAAGCCCAGGGTCCGTTCATTCTTGTGCCCAAAACGCTCCTTCCGGTCCCAGAGTTTGCGGATGTCTCTCAGGGGCTGTACTCTCTTCAGGAATGTGTCTTCTGGTCTCATGGAGAGATACCAGCCTATGAGTGTACACATGTGAATAATACATTGTGAAACTTGGGATAATGGTGAAACTCTACGGAAGAATGGGGGAGGGGCAAGTTCAATTTGTAGGGGGGTTGAGTAAAAATTGTAGGCCGGGGCTGCATCTTAATTCTTACATGTATGGTGCATCTTTTTTCCATTGTACACTTACCATCAAAGGCGTGGATGGGGTAATTCACCAACAGGCCTCCATCGACGTAATGATCAGGAAACGAACTCAGGCTGTCCTTAACTGTGCAGAAAACACCTGTGAACAGAAGGGTGTTTGGAGGAATTCAGTAAACAAGCAATATTGGTCAAAATAACACTGAGTGGAATGAGATACATGTACATGTAAGAACTTAAGGCTAAATACATTCCAGTGCCATTTTGCACAGGCTATATAGTACACTGTACATGGGAATGTAGATGCAAATCATCCACCCATACTAGTACAAGTACTGTGCAGCAATCAAGTTGTCGTGGGTTCGAATCCCATGGCAATTAATTTCTGGAGTCAATACTGACTGTATGTGAATCAAGGCAACTGCAACCTGAGTTTTAATAAATATTACATGTATGATCTTTCAATCTGCAACAGCACGAGCAGACTGCAATTAAATCCTGCTAAAAGTCATGCGACCAGATCCATCTCATCTGTGTAAGGTACCATGTACATACTGGTAGAACCAGGGTTGCAGTCAGCGTTTGAACACTGGAGTGTTCAAACTTGCCTTACATGTGGGTTGAAAAAAACAGGGCTGTCCAAGTTGGTTACATTTAATCTTTCGTCAGAAACACGTGTGCTGCACACAGGGTGTCCAAAATGGCTGTAAACAGAAGCATCCAAAATGCTCAAAAGAATGAGGCACCCAAAATGGCCAACAGAATGAGGCATCCAAAATGGCCAACAGAATGAGACAAGGCATCCAAAATGGCCGACCGAATGAGGTATCCATAATGGCCAACAGAATGGGGCATCCATAATGGCCAACAGAATGAGACGTCCATAATAGCCAATAGAATGAGTTATCCATAATGGCCAATAACAGAATGAGGCACCCAAAATGGCCAACAGAATGGGGCATCCATAATGGCCAACAGAATGAGATGTCCATAATAGCCAATAGAATGAGTTATCCATAATGGCCAACAGAATGAGACGTCCATAATGGCCAATAGAATGAGGCATCCAAAACGCTAAAAAGAATGAGGCACCCAAAATGGCCAACAGAATGGGGCATCCATAATGGCCAACAGAGTGAGGCGTCCATAATAGCCAATAGAATGAGTTATCCATAATGGCCAATAACAGAATGAGGCACCCAAAATGGCCAACAGAATGGGGCATCCATAATGGCCAACAGAATGAGGTGTCCAAAATGCTCAAAAGAATGAGGCATCCAAAATGGCCAACAGAATGAGGTGTCCAAAATGGCCAACAGAATGAGGCATCCAACTGGCCTGTAGATTGTTCAAAAGACAACCCGACACCTCTCAGACATGCCTGGCTAAAACCCTGACTACAATATGTGCAATAATGGACTTTTTGAATAACACATAATTTATGAAAGTACATGTACATTGTATCTGTGTACAAAGTCTGTTTAATGAAATGAACACCCAGTCAGTTCTACATGCAATTCTTCATTTCTACACATGTACCATTAAATCTCACAGCCAACCAAAAACTGTCTCTTGATAACATCTGAAGAGAGATGTTCACTGCCGGCTTCAGTTGATCCAGCACATTTAAAAAGCAAAACACTTTCCGTACATGTGCATGTCCCTTTTTGTACCCCAGAGCAAAGGTTACAAACTTCATGAAAAAGAATATTCCTGAACCTATATAAACACGTGTTTATCGTTATTGATGCAAAATACTTAAATCTTGTGTTCTTACCTGGGATAGAGCCTGACATGCGCATGGCCATTCTAACTGGCATATCTGGGGTCGTCTTCACGTGACAGTAATAGCAATCCAAAAAATTGATATTTGTCACACAGATGCACAGCTCCTTACCATACGTTTTGTACACCTGATAGAAACAAGAGAAAAGTTATCAACCTGTGCACAAGAACAAAGCCTAGGCAAAAGGGAAACTGTACATGTATGTTGCACTTCTGACGGACACGATTTACTACTGAAGAAAAAAGACCAAACAAGTAAGACACAACTCACAAGCATCTGAATCACAGTCATGACTGCATAACCGACTGTCTCATAAAAGTAGAGTGCATACCAAAGGTGGTTAATAAATTTAATATTCTCTTTGGAAGTTAAAATTACTCAGTGAACTTCAAATGGGAGATACTGGTAGAATAAATTTCCACATTCAATTACTCAATTAGCTTTCAGGTGTTTTGAGCACACCTGGACGAGTACAAAGTGCACATGGTCTGCCAGCCAGTTTCACGTTTGTGGTCTGTTTGTTGTCCTTTTTACCAGAGTTCCGCTGCACTACACACAGCAAAGACTGGACATTTCGTGTCAAATTACACACCCTCCTGTATCATTCAGGTATACCAAACCAAGGAAAAACAAAGTTCAGTTTGATACTTCGAACAATTTTCCCATTACAAGGTGTACTTTGCATCAGGGAGATGCTTTTAATAACAGGTTAGTTGCCCTTACAAGCTCTCAGACAAGCACTTGAGTACATATACATAGAGTGTTATATACATGTATATGTATACATGTACATGTACATCAGTGTCAGGGCAAAACCCATTTTTAATGCTGACCAATTTTCTGGTTACAGGCTCTCAAAGGGTTGATGTTCATGTAATGAACCTCTTTTTCACCCACAAATTGCTTGTTTTAATACCAATAGTATCTGTGAAGGCCATTATACTCCATTCCAAATGAAAAGTTAATGTCTGGGCTCATTTGTGGTTATATTTTGAATTCTGCTATCAGAAATGATTATTTCTTCAAATTCCGAAGTAATGGACCCACAAAATCCTCATTTTGTGTGTCATTCAATCATTTCATTTTAAAGATGTGGGAGTCCATAATATCAACAAATGTAATTTTTTCAGGTATATTTCCTCAATATACAGGAACTTGAAAAAGGCTTCACAGTGATCAGATCCTCAGCGGATGGGTGGCGCGGCATAAACACGGCACCAGGACAAAAATTACCTCTACCATTATGACCCCCTCGATGCAGGTGGCACGGCTGACCCCATGTTTTAAGGCATTGAGGCTTTAATTATATAAAGTTACATGTTATCATGATTTTATGGCAAGAAACCTTTGATCATCCAGGTCCTTGTGGATGAAATGATTTTATTTTTGTCACTTTTTAAGAAGAGGAAGCACGTCAAGCATGTAACAAGAAGATGATAATTAGTCAGCAATAATTTACCAAAATCTTCACCACGATAAGCAAAATGAGGTGCTTAGGGGACAATATCTCATGAAACTTTAAGGCAACAAGGCCATTTGGAATGCACATAAATGTAATAGCCCAATCCTCAAGTGGATTTGTTTATTACAAATGTTTAAAGTGTTTAAAAAGGTTTAAGCGCAAACAAGTCACACCAAAACAGGTCAAGGCAAACTGCAGAAACAGATCCGCCATCTACTCCACAGGAAGAAGAGGTGACTTGCTTTAATGTACCTAGCATAATTAGCAAATGTGTCCTTGACCCACAAATGGCCATAACAGGTGGACTGTCAACACAGAGTGCTTTTTAACATGTTTGAAAGCTTCAAGAAAGTTTTCGTGCGAGTTTCATTGTTGGACTTTTTGCCACAGCTCTTAAGAATTAAATAAAGAATTATTACGTTTCCAATTCTGAATGCCCACATGTTCCATCCACCCACAGCCATAACTCTTGGCCACAACCCTCTGGCAGAGTTCAATCAGCTTTTGTCAACCTGTGGTTATTTTCGCCCGGTACCCAGGATATATATGTATTTTGTACATATACATAGGTTACTAGCCACTATATTGGCCATTGGTTGACTACTATGGCTGCTGATCTTAAATGGTCTTAGAGACTGATTCTAGGGCAGACCCAGGTCTTTTTATAGCCTTTCTGAAGGGTGAGACTAAATTTGGGGGACTTTTCATGCATATCTGGAAGGAGAAGGAAAAAATGCTCCCCCAAAATTGCCATTCTCACCTTGTTTTTGAAAACCTAAAACAATTTGCTCTTGGGGAAGTGGATGGTCTCCATAGGCGCACCCCAATCCATCCTTGGACATGTACAGGTACTTAATCTCACTCAATTTGGTCCAGCGGTCCATGGATAGTTTGGTCTGTGCATAAGACACTTTTACCTGTTCAAATGTGATATCGGCATTGCCTGTCTTCTTGTACAGCATCTTGCCAAACCACGAGTACAGCTTGTTGCCAGGATGCCAGCCGAAACGTTTCATCATGTTGGGCAATACGCTTAACAAACCAAACTTGGCATCTGCAAATATCAAAAGCACAAGACCATTCTGAACTGAAAACATAAAACAGAATTGTTCTTTTTGCACGTACCCAACATGCATCTCTTTCTCCTTGCCACTGATACCGGTACCTCTTTTCCACGAATCCGACTTCCGTCGTGAGAGGATATAGGTTTCATGGGTTGTACATTACGATTCCCCAGACCAAGGGAAGTAGGTAACCCTACTAATGTTCAAACATCAACAATGGCATCAATGTAGGTCAAGAAAAAAAGTCTGCTTCCGATTTTCAGGCCTGTTTTTAAATGGGCTCCATCAGTCAGGAAATAATTTTCTTCTGCGAAGTTTTTTGTTCCTGATTAACTTCAGGCAAAGTGTACATTTATGTACATAAACATGCACTTCACAGCCAGTACTGACTATGAAATGTTTGCACCATAACCAAACAACCAAATAACCAAACATTTGCATTGATGTACATGTAAATACATGTAGCTTGTATACACAAGGCTGATGATGCTATACACTATAAAGTGTCGACAAATTTAAATGAAGAAAAGAGTTAAGTCTGAGCTTTGCTACAGCCATGTCCATAAGTTTACACTTGAGCAAAATAAAGCTGACTTCTAGTGAGTACATCTTTTCTCTACATTAATCATTCATTCCGTTCCTGTAATCATTTCAACCATTCTTCACTACATTCAATCTGGATGACTACCCTACATGTACATTCACAGTTTCACTCATGAATATAACCAAAAAATGGTACACTGAGGTGACATGTTGCATGATGTACTTGGAAAGGCCTTGAATATTCTGAAAAGTGTATGTTAATGTTGTGGGCACGACTGTCCAATTGCATCTACATGTACAGTATGCAACTTCAGGGAATTTTAATGACCACTATATTATCACTAGACACACAGCCTCACATGCAGACTCTTTTCAACAAACTCCACGAGGCCACATTTCCAGACACATTTCATTTCTGTCTGGCATGTCTGGGAGAATTTCAGTTTTGTGGGTAGCCCCAACATCCTTTTTCCAACTGTGATTTTCCCATTTAACATCCTCAATTAATGGCTGGTAGCCATTTCCAGCTATTAGTGTATGTAATTTGGGAATCCTTCCTGCCAAAGCTGTGGCCAATTGCTCCATGGCAAGACCAGTTCTGATGTGAAAAATGAAGGATTCATAATGAAAAATACTGGCTTTTATCCAACACATCTGTTTTTATCAGAGGGAAATTGTTCAGCTTTTCACCTACATGTAATATCCTCATCTTCATTTATAAGGGACTTTTTTTATATCCCCTATTTCTATGGACCTTTTTCAAACCCAAACTTTGAATGCACTGGTCTGTGAACCCATTAACACAGTCACACAGTCAATTCTGGGTAAACAGGAGCTACGTACAGTAGACCCATGATACCGATACTTGGGGGACTCTCCCTGTGCCTGACAGTGGGCTCAGACCCAGATGCTGTTTTGGGACTTAGGGTGGCTGACCTGACCCTAACCCTCAGCCACACCTTGGTTCTTAGGGTAGTAGCAGAGTGTACTGGACCATACCTGGATGGTCTTTGCTCTAAGATTCAACCTAGTTAAAAGTACGCGTGTGATGTACATGTACATGTATGTACTATTATCTCCAACTTCAAGCAAACTTGAATTCTCAATTCTGATTGGTCAATCCATGGCAACAAACAATGTGATATATACATTTAATTCTGTATGCATGGTTCATGTCAAACCTGTGGATGCAACATGTATGCGCTATTCTAACTCTAAGCATTTTTAGCATTAAAAGCAAAACTCATGTAATTCAAATGTGGCGCGCAAGCATATCTTTCCTACGCATCAAGTTTGCTTGAAGATAAATTCATTATCACGCTCATGCTTGTGGGACACAGAATAATGTAGCACGTCTGTGTCCCAGCCTCATGGTAAACGGGACACAGATGCACTGCATAATTCCGTGTTCCACTCCAACCATATTTGTGTGATCATGTTCATTCACGGCTACACCCTTTAACAACTTTTGGCCGCTGGTGAACAGCACACACGTACATGTACATGGGGTAAATCATTCAATAATGATCACCATCTCAAGCTTATCAGCCATAAAAAAAAAACATGTTGGTAGGAGAAGGGTTTGAAACGTTGAGCCAAACTAAAGCATCAGGGCATTTTCAAGGAATAGTACATATGCATGCCAGTACATGCACACCATATCCTTGTTTTGGGGAAGAGATAATATGCTAATTATTTTACAGTACAGATGAGGGCCCGAAAGGTCTCCGGTTAATGGTTACATGAACCGTCTGTGCAAGAGTTGTCGTACATCATGTACATGTATATACATGTACCAGTATGTACATGTGTAACGCACAAGGTTCATCATGACTGCATGCATAAGTACATGTACTTCTTAGGGGCCTAAAAAAATTCTATGTTGATATTGTTCCAGGAAAAAAATTATTTGTGCAGTAGGCACAGGCGGCACAGGTCGTTTTCTGTTTTTAACTTCCAAACTACCCGTACAGAGCAACCTTGATGAGGGTTGATATCAATCAGGCAGGATATCCCTTCAGTTGGCTTCAGATACATAACTTGGCTCAGTGTTGGTTTGCATGCATGCACTTTCTATCCATTACAACGAGATCTCCGTTGTAGAGCACTCAAAGTATTGATGCTGCAGCATACATGTACAAAGAGTACCGCTACTGTCAGTGTTACGATTATCACGACAAAAAGTTTACACAAGTCGAAGCCTTGGCACGTACATGTACATCCGTGTATTACCAATATTGTCGTGACATTTTTTACATTACAATCTCTGGATGACATTTAAGCATTTAAGTAATCAGGGCAGAAGCCTTGGTGCATTTTAATGGAAATTTCTGTTCTTGTGATTTGGTTCTGAAGCTGTCACGTTTCATGGAAGCTGAAATACATGTAGTAACAGCAGTAGCAACATGTATGACAGAACCACTCTATCTGTATATATGTACTGGTATCCAGTCCAGCAGCACTTAGCGGCTACCTTGATTAATAAAATAAGCCTGTTGCATGTACAGTATGCATTGTCAAGTACCTGGCCACTGCCCTTGACCAAATCCTGTCAAATTCTCGGGTTCTAGATTGAAAGGTCTTCACTACATGTACATGTACTGTACACAGGTGTGACCTCATTCAGGGGCATGTTTTGGCAGTCATAACCAAAAATTGGTTTGGTTCTTTCTCTTTGGTTATTAACCTTGAGGGTCTGAGTAGCAAAGAATCAGGATTGATTCTTACTTTATTAGAATTATCAAAGAAAATCTCTGAAGAATTCCAACCAGTTCGATTGAGCTTACAGTACTATTGTAAATCCCATACGGTACACTGCTACATGTATGTGTTTGGGCAGAAACAAACACAGCACTGGAATGCTAATCTACCGTACCATACCCAAACACGCACATGTACCGGATACGTACACACTTAACACAGGCAACATGTGTGATGCGAAGTTTTCCACAAAAAAACATTTGCACCACTGAAACCAGAATTTGGACAACGGCTCAGATATTACTATGAGATTTCCACAAGTACAGTATGGAAAAGTCTTCAATCTCACAACCATGAAGAGCAAAAATGCAGAACTGGTTTGTTGATACACAAAATATCTGTCACATACATGTACATGTACCAGTGCAACTTTAACTTCATGCACAAGGTCACCTTTGCCCATTGTACCTGAACACAATAATAAATATGCATCCAACTTTTGTCATGGCCAGAATTCAAATGGCAAAGAGACTTGTGTTGCAGTGTACATGTACCGTACCCTATTATGTAAGTGGTCTGCATTTCATTCGTTTAGGATACTTGTGAAGGGCTGTCTGTGAGCCACTTCCATTTGTAAAAAAGGGGTGTACGTAATAGTAAAAAAGGAAAAAAAATAATTTTCACAACCATACGATGTACAGTATCTGTTGGGATTACATATATTTTTCATATGTAATTAAAATAAAATAATAATTAAAATAAAATATGATTTCACAAAATTATATTTGGGTTTCGTAACAGTTACCATTTAGTCGCCTCTTTGGTGACACCCCTAAAATCCATGAACAAAAAGGATCTTTTTGTAAAAATGCTTTTTTAACATTCCATTTCTATTTCTTAGGTACATGTACATGTACGTCACCATGGTTTTTTCTCTGCAGAAATATGAAGGAAATCCCTTGGTTCAACATGACCGTTTTTTGACCAACTTTTTTAACATATTGAAAAAAAAATGAAATGGTTTCGCTCAAATGTTTTTCGTTGCATTGTAGTCGATGGACAGGATGATATAATACTTACACATGGCCTGTAATGCGATAAAGAATAGGGAACCCTGGGAACCAGACAAATGTCTTGCGGTCAATCATTCTCATGCACAGGGTAACCCGCCTGTCCCTGGCCTGCAGGGCCTGGTAAGTACATGTAAATGTTGCTGTGGCAGCTGCACGTGTAGTCAGGGTTAAATTGTCGCAGCCCAGGGATGTGTGTGCACTCATGTCCACGTAGCAAATAAGATACAACGTAACATTGGTGGCACTAACCCATCCTTTCCCCCGGAGTATTGTTCATGTATATATACTGTACAATAAAACTTTGGAAAGAAAATCATTTACCAAATTCTCAAGCTACCCATGATGCAGCAGTTTGTAGAACTTTTTGTTTTTTTTTTCTTGGGGGGGGATATTTTAAGGAGGGACTCAAAACGTGACTTTTCGTTGCCTTCCTGACATGCCTGAGGGGGGAGGCTACTGGTACAATTGGGAGCTTTTTACACTTTTGAAGAAAGGAAAATGACACAAGCAAAGAAATCCCTTTCAATAATTCTCTGTACTCCCCCCCCCGGTCACGTAATTAATGTGGAATGCAAATATTGAACTGTATTACATGTAACTCAAATGATCTCAAAAATACATGTAACTGCTCAAGTTGTAGACTGGGGATTAAGTACCTACATGTAAATATGAAATTCAAGTGGCAAAACAAGTACATGTAAATTGGGCACCATGGAGAAGGCTATCACGGAATACCAGTGGCAGATCAATGGGGGAAGGGGCGATATTCAGCATAATTACAAAAACACAAATAGAGATGAACCCAAATACATGTACCCATGTACAGGACAATGTTATTCTCTGTGATTTTTCTGTCTTCAAACTTATCAAATCACCTGTTGACAGTGAGGAGAAAGGAGAATGTATCGCCCAATAAAAAGGGGGCATACATGTACAGCCCTCCCCTGGATACAGCTTTTATCCTAACGGTATTGTGGTTTCCTTTTTATTAATAAGCCTTTTGCCAGTTCAAATTAAAAAAAATCTGGTACACGGTACACTGAAAAAATCTGATAGCACATAAACATAACAATTTGAATTCCCGAAACTAATGATACTGTTGCTATACCTTGTGATTCACGGCAAGCTTTTGTATAGTGACCACCCTCTCTGGAATGCACTGGTTCCTTTGTGCCTTTCTTATCCATTAAGTGTATTGATGCAATTTATGTACATGTATCTCAGCAAAAGCTTGTACATGTAACTCAGCAAAAGCTTGCCCCAAATCACAAAGTACATGTACAAATGTGTACAGCAACAGTGTCTTTAGTATGAAGAAGTCAAATTGCTGTTTACTGGCGTGAATGTCAAGAACTCAGTGTACCAGCTTTTATTCAAATTTAACTCGCAAAAGGCTTATATATTGTAACATGCGCCATAACCTGGGTCAGGCAGCAAGGCTTGTTACAATAAATGCCTTTGCAACTACGGAGGCCACAGAAGGCAAACTACCGTTACATGCACAGCCAAGTTTGCATCAGGTATGTATTTATTCACTACATGTGGTTGTGTACATGTAGAGTTGCAAAGATGCTTGTAAACCTGGAGGTACATGTACATGTATTTCTACCTCCATGATGTAAGCAACAAAGGGTACCAGCCTCATAACCCCTTTTCACACAGGCTTTGATATGGTAACAGAAGTGCGTGAACATATTGAATTCAAATGCAAAAATGATCCGATTGTAACTGAAGAAAAGAGACACTGGCCTAACTGGAGGCCTTTCACTGACATCACTGAATTCAATGTCATTTCAGGTCACACGAGGGCATTATTCCTGGTGCCCAATGTGTACCTGTACAATACACAATGGTGACCTGTGGAAACTAAGGCCACAGGTTTGACCTCCAACAAATACAAGCGTGTGTAATGGGTTCAGCCTCAGGTTCACTCCATTTCGGCTAAGTGCTGCTGGTAATGTAACACCAAACGGTTGTGGGAATCTCAAGTCCCATCAATAGCATGGCGTTTTTCAATTTTCTGAAGCTCAGGTATTAGCATAAAACATAAGGGTGCACCTCTGTAAATAGGTCACAAACATGTCTGCCAGGCTCATTAATAAAAGTTATATACTCAACATATTCTATGTATTAGAGAGTGCTGAGAGCGATGGAATTGGGGAATTGGAGAAATATGGCACTGAACCTGTGGCCTGGACTAAGGGCTTCCAATTCTGAGCAATTTGGATGCCATTGGATCCGAAAGTAGCACTATTTAGCTGTTTTGCGGAGGGATGCTTTTTCAATATGGCTAATTTTCCCAGTTTGGGAAATATTCTTCATTTAAGGGATGGTCTGCATTGGGTGAGAATTTCTAAAAAAATTCATTGGTCCACCCAGTAAAATTAAAAGGAAAATGAACAAGGACATGTCTAACATCATTTTTCTGTCCAGCCTGGACACCTGTGAGAGTTATTAGTATTTTTAAAATAACTTTGAAGTATAGGGTTTTATGACTGGTGTCTATGGGAATTTATTTATAGGGGTGCACCCATAATGGTTTTAAAGTAATCAACAGCTTCTCCTGACATGGCTGAAACCTCAGCCCTGGCCTATAGACAAATTCTGGAATGTCTGGTGCTTAACAACATTTCAATAAATGGAACAATCTGGCAAAGACAGAGCATGGGAACAGCTCTCTGAAGTAACTTTTTTGTAAATTTTGTGGCAGGAATTGTTCGCTTTTAATTTCTAAATGTTACATCACCCGGCAATGAACAGCGTATCACTTGAAATTTCTGAAAGAATCAAACAGTGTGCACAAAGTCTTGTTGGCTCACCGAGTTGTAACAAATACAACCATCCATATGGCTTTTTCACGCTTCCCCAGCACTGTACAATACAGCGTGACATTTTTAAACTCGGTGTCAGGTAACCACATGTACGGTACAAAATACTGTGTCAAGTGACAACAGTACAACTCAAAGTGTGTACACGTACAGTACATGTGCACAGATGTGCTGTACCGTATTCATGTACCGTTTGTATATGTTTGAACAGTGACTTCAGACTTCATGAAATGCTTCAACTTTGTGCTGATGCACTCAAAACCTAATCTCCACGATGGAAATTCTGAACTCCATCAGTTACGCCGTGGAGGTGCATGCATTAAACACACTGCAAGTTCGGAGTCGTGTACATGTAGGTTTTTAATCTACCCACATAAGCTTACCGAGGAAAATCTTCTGTAGGTCAGGCTGCTTCAAGAATGCCTCAAGGTCGTGAGAATTGTATCCCACCGCAAGCAATCCCGCTGTCATCGCCCCAGCACTGGTCCCAGCAATTCGTTTGACCTGACTCCATATTCCTGTTTCTTCAAGCACCTGACGAGACAAGTCGACAACACACTGATTAAATTCATTTGCACAGACAGATGCACTGTTAATAGAAAACAAGAACACACCTACTGATGGGTGTCATGGGGGGATGCAGGGTCCATATTCCCCCTCCCCATCCACCCCTGGTAAAAAAAAAATTAATGTTGAAAACCAATAAGCAAAAAACAAACAGCAAAAAGAAATAAAACGCAACGAGGGGATGGAAATCACCAAGTTTCTTGGAAAAAAAATTGAACCCGACCCCTTTCCACTGTTAGCGAGTTCTTTGTTTTTTTAATGTTTTGCCCCCTTCCCTGGAAAACATCTCAGTCACGCCCACACATGTACACATACAAAGTACATATACGCACTTCCTTTGTATGAAACAATTCGTAATATTAAAAGCCAGTTCTACGTGTGTGGAGTGGAAATTTTGTTTTTCCCCACTTTTTTACATAGTATCTGAAAGAGATTGAAGGAAATTAAAAATCTGTGAGGGCCACATACTAACAGAAGTCCATATTCTGCCCTTTTGGGGACCCCTGTCTCCTGGGGGTGGTGTGAGGAAATTTGTACTTTCGACACAAGCTGATTTAAGTTCTTAATTGTTCAAAAAAGTTATGTCAGAACTTTGGTTTATGCGTGCCTTGAAACAAGAAGAATATCCAGCAAGAAATGAGACCGAGGAGTACCCCCAACATGTCCAATCACTATACACACTCTAGACTATTGTTATCTAATACATCCCCCTAGAGGAGGGGGGGTTCTCTCCATCTCATATCTTGCTTCATATGGTGAAAAAACAGGAATATCATCAACAGCCAATCAGCCCTATCATCTTCACAAAGAGTTCCACATTACACCATCATTATTTTGGCACATCATAGGCCTACACACCACCACCATTATCCTATTTTTCAAGTCTGTTCCTCCGAGCTTCTGGCCCGCCCATTTCTTTGTTAAAAGTTCCCTACTCCTTTTCAAACTGGTCGGTGTTTATGAAACTCAAGACCTGTGATGGTCTGGTATAGAATCCTTCCTGAAGGACTTTATTTACACATTAAACCAATTAAAGAATTTACATTACAAGGTTTGAGGGTTAGGGAGAAAATATTAAGACACATCTTGGGCTCAAAGCCACATTCTCTCCCTTCCATTAGGTTAAAATAACAGTCACTGGTTATTATTGGATCAGTGCCAGCTGAATATTAAAAGATACTTGACACGTTCACAGAAAAATACCCATTTCATTATTTGTTTGCACTTCAAATTCTGCATGGAGTTTGAGGGAATGAGTAACACCTGTGTCAGCCTCACAGAACTAAATACATGTAGGTGTATGAGAGTAGACAATAGACAGGTCTCTAAACTATGCTATGAGAAAGTCACTGGCCGTAGGGGGAACTGCTGATGGCACTTGAATAAGGTTATCGTGGTTCGTACAATGTACGTCGAATCTCCACTGACTATTCACACTGTTTGCTGTTGATTGGTGAAACCTACCCTGACAGCTCCGCAATAAGCCAAGCCTTTGTTGCCGCCGCCTTCAAAAACGATGTTATGCCAGGGATACTGATAATCACCAAGCTCGTCACGCTCATCATCCATCAAAATCGGTTCGTGAACTTTGGGCATCTTCACTGTCTTGAAGCGAAATGTCTTCTTCAATTTCGCCATGATTAATGTTTGTCACTGTGAGCGTTGGTAGGCCTACTGGTGGTTCTGTTGAGTGTGGTCTAGCCGATGGTCGATCGGCACACAAGCACACTGAAAACTTTTGATTCAAACTGTTCGACGAGAGCTGAATGATTCCAGAATACTACTGTCCATAAGAAGTCCACGCTCGGCCTTCCATCAGTGTTCAGAGAAAACTACGTATGGGTGTGACAACGGTGTGGTTGTTCAATAAACTTGCATTGATCAAACACCTGTACTGTCTGTTCACAAGCGACCAACTACTGTACATGTACATGTACATGTACGTACTTCCATGACTTCGTACACGCAATGAATCAATGAGTACAGTGCATGCTTGCATGTCGCTTGTTGCTGAGTAGTAATGGACATGTATACAGTTTACATATACATGTACATGCACCCATACCGCGTACCGGTACGGTGCGGAAGGCTGCGTGCAACTCAAGACCATTTTTAAAAACTCAGCTTTGCTCCTATTGTGGCTTCATCCCAGCCTACAGAATCATCTATTGTGAGACAAATGAGAATGCTCCAGCATCTGACAATGTGATTTTTTTTTAATTAAACGGAGCTATATTTAGCCAAAGTTTTTTCACTTTAGGGACTAACGTAAAGCAATTTGTGAAAATGGAGTGTGCAGCCATGTTTTGTGCGAAGCCAACATTTGAAAATCTCCGTTTCATTTTGCCTGCAGGCGACGAGTGAAACGCTCATCCGGAATGTGGTGGCCGCACATTTTGGAAAGGTTCTACGGCGCGTCTGCACTGCGCACGTACTTTGCTTCCGGCGAAAACCTACCGCCGTACCGGACCTACTTAATATAACCATGACGAGAATAGGACGTGGTGACAAAGGGATAGTCCGTGGGCTGGAGATATTTTCCGGGCAAAATGGTGATTAAACGGGAGGGATTTAAAACGAGGAAACCCACCAGAAATAAGTTCAGATAGTTTAGAAATTTAGAGGAAACTTATAGCCCTACTGGCGGACCGAAGGCTTAAGTAACAAAACAGACGACGTTCTACGTTATTCTCATGACAATTTACAAACCTCACACATATTGCTTGAAGAATCGTATACACTACCAATAAATGTGTTACTTACTGTGCTTCAGCATTAGGCGACAGAGGATATGGACGTATACACGTTCGCCCAATGCCTGAGAAGCCTCACTAAGAAGTGCATCCGTAGCCCCTTTAGGAGCAAGATTTGACAGCCGTTGAGAAATCAAAACAGGGCTGATCTACCAACGATATTTTAGCAAACTTTACAGGGCATGTGGATTTTTTTCTTGCCCTCATATTCTTACATGCTTGAAAGTTTACAAGAAAGCTTGACTAGTTACAACTTTGGGTCGAGTCCCAAAATATGAAGCCCTGGGTCTTGCTGTATTTGCCATGATCTCGATAGGAAGAAGACTTCTTAGGTTACGAAATATAATCAGGATCTCGCGCTCCAACGACTGCGTGGTATGTATGAGAAACTAACAAGGGTATATAAGGAAAATGTGTCCTAAATCCCTAGCCTCGCACGCTATAGCTTATGGGCCGATATTATATATATTTGCAAGTTTCATGTTTGCATTGTGTGAAGTTACCTGCCTCCAAATTGAATGAACTTGATTATAATGAACTTGGCCGGGCAAGCACATAATGCGACAGCGTTGGGGGGTCCTCATCGGTTTGCTAGAGTTGACAGTCCTGCAACATGACATTGCAGAGTAAAGGATGCACTTTTCAACTTTCGCTTAAATCTCTTCAAGTCATGAGCCTTACACGTTTATTATGTTCTCAAAAGAGCACTGCAGGTGCCTCACTTTAGTTAACACAACTGATCGCCACCGGGATCATGCTGCGACACAGGCAGTGTGATCCGGGTCCGGTATCTATAGCGGTAGTGGCTTCGAATTTTGCCATTAATGACGGATTGCGGTGAAGATGGGGAGAGCCTATATTCAGACATATGTTCTATTTCCAGTTCTGACAAAAGCTGAATTTCTAATGGAGGTGGTGTTTTATACATGTATTAACTACTTCTATTTTGGAGGAAAACAATTGTTGGACTCCATGGTTGGAAGCAGTTGATTCTTATTAATGGGAATACATATATTATGACGGGGTCGCGTTATTTTGTTTTTCTATACTCTTGATGTACCTCATGTTGAGCGTAAAATAACATCACAGTGTAGATCTTCATTGTGTTTTTATTCTGTCACGACAACTCACCATTAATTGACCTGTTATATCAGTTGACATTCGAATAACATTCAGAGGGTTTTAATGAAGTGTCGATACAAATCAGTACCGTACATTACTCATCAAGAATCGATAAAGGCTTGTGTCGATTTGGCATAACGATGTTGCAAACAAACAACAGATTACGTTTATCAAGCAGCACTTCGGGGTAACGTCATTTGCAAATACATTTGTGGGGTACACGAGAAAGCAAGCCCATATAAAAGACATAATTTGGATGAATCACGTTGTCGTAGCCTTTGCTCTATTTCAGGTCCGTATCGACAAGCAATCGACGAACAAATCAAGCCTTAAAAATTTTTTTTTTGCGGACGAAATAATCACAGTGACCAATCTGGACTAAAGAAGAAATCATCAATAGGTTTTGCACAGATTTAAAAGAAGAAAGCAGCATTCAACTGACGGAAATGCCGGGTGAAATACGCCAGCATAACGAGGGGGGCACACCAATATATACTGGACCAATATCCTTCAAAGACCAGCCTCTTGCAAGCGCAAAGCAGAGATCGGCACGGTTGCTGAAAAGGTTTTAGGCTGTGACACCATAGAGAGCCCAGCTAGTGGAAGGATTGTAGCGTAGTTGCCAGTTGCCACTGGGATTTCACTATGGCGGCAACACATCGGGTTCCTTGATAACAGCCCTTTTGTGGCTGATGATGATATGAGATACATGTATTCCTATCTCTGTCCCCAAACAGAAACATAGCGACTCAAGCTATTCAGTGCCGTCAAATCATTGGTACCCGGTACGCATGGGCAAACAACGTACAAGGCCAAGCGATTTGTAGGCCTAAACATATCCATACTGGTCAAGCCTTTTCGTAAACTATACCTGGATCAAATCAACCATCTACCACAAAGAATAGAAAATAAAAGAGAAGATGGCATGAAAGACCACGTCTGCCTCAACTGTCAACAACGTGGCAAAATGAAAAAAGGTGAAATTTGTCAAACCATCCGACAGCCTCGAGTGTCTTCAAATGGGGATAGGTGTCCTTTGATGAAAACCTCCCAGAGTTCAAACCACAAATTTGTACTTTGAAGAAAAACAACGCCCGTGAGCAGAACCAAGCAAGCCTATAGAGCCTGTGCACCAACACAAAAAACACCGACCAACGGAACAATCCGGGTAACAACAACGTCTTCGGCAGCTGAAGATGATTAGTATGAACAATTATAATAGACATTCCTTCAACGACACCAAACATTAACACAGCAGCTGAAATACCGTCGATGCACAACAGCACGCCTCCAGGAGTTTTCAAATCTGTCGACCCTTTCCAAACGTGCATTGGGTCGACAGATTTCGCGAAATGTGATTGGTCGTCGCGTTGCAAACTCTTGGAGGCGCACTGTTGTGAATTGCCCGTATTTATTCGGGGAAATTAATACGGACACCGCTTGACACCCTTTCACAAACTCCATGAAATGATCTAAATTCTAAGTGCTTTCTAGGTGAATACCTCAATATAATTGTCACTGCTAAATTTGACTTTTTAGGACATTTTATTGCTTTCAGGTGACTAATGAGTCATTGCAGGGACACTTAGTGGCGTCCTATATATAGAATTCTTGCCAGGAAGCGTCACAGTTAAGTTAACGGAAAACATCAGTTGCATGTACATGTCCACCAAGGTTCCCAAATTTTACCTCCCGATCTAAAGCCGATTCGATAGGCAAGAGAAAGAATTTCAATGGTATAACACCAGCTGAACCCTTCATTCTCAAACCTAGGCCTACAGTGTGAAGTTATGAAAAGACGGAACGAACTTCTTCTATGACACCTCTCTGTGTAAGCACACATGTGTAATAATAAAAACAAAACTCCCGTTACGATCACGTTGCTTTGGACGTCAATACAAAGTCTCATAGTTGATAGGAAAAGTGAAACGCCAGCGAGTCAAGAACGCTGGACAGATATGGGCCCCTGCTTAATGAAGAAATACAGTGGATTTCTGAGTGAAAAATTGTAAACATACGCCTTGCGACGTCTCTATGTATACAACTATAGAATTCACTGGTTTCTTTGTCACCAGAAGGGTATCAATGGCTACAGTTCGTCGCTACGGGATATAGGCCCTATAGCAGTGGCAAAATATGAAGCCCTGGCTGCTTGAGACCAGGCTAAGACATGATGGCCCATTGTTGCAGCATGCGATACCTGTGTGCTTACCAAATTGACACACCTTCAGTCACGTTCTCTGAGAACATGCACCCGTAAGTCCGAGCTATAAGCCAGCGTGTCACCAGAATGGGTCAATACTGCTGAAGAATACACCTACCCTGACTGCTCCGCAATAAGCAAGGCCTTTATTGCCGCCGCCTTCAAACACAACGTTATGCCAGTGGTAATCGTAGCTGCTGAGCTCGTGACGCTCATCGTCTGTCAAAATCGGTTCGTGAACTGTGGGCATCTTCACCGTCTTGAAACGAAACGTCTTCTTCAATTTCGACGACATTTTACGTCAGGAACGTTGGCACTTTCGTTGGTGCAACCACTGTGACCCTGCCGATCGAGTCTCACACACAGGACGCTGACATTTGTCACAGTTAGTAGTTTGAATCAGCGTGAACTCGGTAGTTCGAAAGTAGGCCAACTATAATGTCCATCCGTGGCCCAGCTGAACACTTGCCTTTCCGTTTAGACACACAAAGCGTATGCAGTGGGGTGTGGCGCCTATTCAATGAACTTCAGAAGTACGTCTGTTTAGTTCTTTCAGGCGAAATCCGTTCACGCCGGCAATGACCCCATGCGCATGCACCGATCCTAACAAAAACAAGAAGGAAAATCTGGGTATGGACCAAATAGACTAAGGAATAATCCACCCGATTTAGCTATCTAAATTCGAAACAGTGGGAAAAACGTACTCTCGAAAAGAGTGAGCCCCGTGAAAAGCTACTCAAAAAGAGTGAAGACCACTCCAAACAGGGTGAAAACCACTCCAAAAAGGTGAAATTTCCACTCGGCCAAGGAGCCACAAATGACTTCTCCGAGCGAAAAAAAAGGAGTCGTCTTTTATATATGGCTCCTCTTTTTGAGTGGTTTTCACTCTTTTTGGAGTGGATTCATGAGGGACTCACTCCTTTTGAGAGTGAGTTGTTCACTCGTTTGCCTTTAATTAATTTTTTCCCGGATAACAGTTAAATGTTCAAAAGAGGATTTTGGGACTCCAGGACGAAGCTGCAGTACGGACAAAGCTGAGATTTAAAAGAATAATGGACCCCCCCTCCACCCGCCAATGAGCTGGCCCAAAATAACCCGGCTCTTTTAGGGTTAAGTTACCGCCACAATTATTGAACGGATTATAAGATACATGCATGTGGCCGGACTATACCTACACCCAACAAGAAATGAGACCGAGGGGTACCCCCCGAACATGTCCAATCCCTTATACACATTCCAGACTATTGTTACTTAACACCCCCCCCCCAAGATGTCTGAAAGGAATTCCCCAGATTCCTGCGAGACAATGACCAACACAAAGCAGTAGGGGTTCTCTCCGTCTCATACCTTGCTGCATATGTTACTGTTAGGCCTAGGTCTACTCTTCCGTTTGGCATTTTCCTTTTATTTTCTGGCTTTTCGAATTATTATGGGATAGGCAGCTTTTCACTTGGAGTTTTTCCGAGTGGATGCACAAAGATTGTTTTCGTTTATGTCTGCTTCCCTTGTCCTTTTCCCTCCTATATTGGAGTTCCCATTCTTTCCGTGTAGCGACTTTGATGTCTACGACTCATCGCATCTTCATCAAATTTGTTCGGTGCGTGTGCCGACTCGGACAAGGTCGCGCGCCGCCATTGCCATTGTGGGCGGAAGTGAGCTGAAGTGTACGAACACAGATTATTTGATCGTGCATCACTGAAGAAGTGATAACTCGTTCATTTTCCCGCGCGTTGTCTACCTTCACGAGCCAGCCTACATCAAGTCTGCACCCAACGTGACTGAGGGCGTCCTAAACTTCGAACCCCATTAAATAAAGATCTTGTAGCAGTTGGCCCCCCCCGCTCGGCACATAGCCGACCAAGAGACACAGTTCTCAATGCAGCATCGGCAGCATACGGAGCCCCTAAGGGGACTGGCACAATGAGATTTTTATTAATTTCGTTCCCTCAAATTATTATTTCGTTCCCTCGAAATCATTTCGTTCTCTCAAATTATTTTTTCGTTCCCTCGCAGTATTATTTCGTTCTCTCGAAATATCCTTTCGTTCTCTCGAAATGATTTCGTTCCCTCAAAATAAGATATTTCGTTCCCTTGAAATACCATTACATTCTCTCGAAATATGCTATTTCCTTCCCTTGATATATTGATTCGCTTCCCGTCCCACGAGTGTACGACAATGGCGCCAAGTACACAAAAATATTTCGAGGGAACGAAATCAGTTTTCGAAGGAACGAAATAATTCGAGGGAACGAAATTAAAAAAAATCTCACTGTGCCTGTCCCCTAAAATGAAATATTTCATTCTGTGACATGAAATGTTCCTCTAGCTGCATGTTGAATAAATACGTGTGCTTCACTCTTCACCTCATAAAATTATTCTTAATTTTGCACTGATAAACAATAATTATTCAGGTACACATTTGTGGTGTGGGCATTTGAAAAGTTTTGTCATGACGGTGAAAAGTTGAACCACTACAGTGAGAGGATGAACCACGATGTTGCCCTTTTCAAACTACGCTTGGTAAAGCAGACACATTCCGAGACTGAAACTAAAAACAGAATCCACGTGTCGCGCCTTTCTGCCCTGACTGACTCCTCATGAATTATTCAAACATTTGGCATTGTGCCATTAATTAACAGAACAAAACAAAACAAAAACAATGACAAGCTCGTTTGGGCTTCCCACATCTTAATCCAACTAGACCCAATTCTGATTTAATGTAAGTCATGTGCGATGCTAAATTTTTATCTCCAAATTTAAACTCAAAATCAAGCTTTCATCAAAATTGTAAACGGACTGACTGACGAAACAGCCCAAGATGTCCAATATCATGTCCATAAGATATGTTAAAACACTGTAGTGACTAGATGTATGAAGTGACCAGTGTGTTATAAACATAGAACTAACAAAGGCTATTGTAACAATTCTATCTGCATAGAAGTCCGCAGTATTGCATTTGTATTTTTCTATTTTTTTTTCAAAAATATCATAATAATATTTCACAAAATGTAATGCAAACAATATAGCTGATCTCAACAACATATGACAAACTGTTTGCCAACTAAAACAAAGACAGAAAAAAAAAGAAAAGAACTGGTTGAAATAACACTAACATCCTTCAATCCTCATATTTCGATACATGCACTTTCTTTCACACATCCTAGGCGGTCAGGGTTAACCTTGTACTAAACTGTAAAATGTATACATGTATATGGTAATATTATTAGCTCCGTTGTGAAATAAATATAAGGAAGTTTCTTCTGCCAGGAGTTCTCCATGAATAAGAACATTTGACTTCAACTGTTTGAAGGAAAAATCAGTATGAGCAAAACAAACAAAAAACGGCCAACTTTACAAGAATTACCATGAAATTGTCCCGTTCTCTTTTTCTTGGTCTGTAATGTATCCATCCTCACACCTGTACAATGTACAGCGCATTCTACACAGAATAAAAATTTGTATGTACAATTTGTCCTTCACCTCTAACGTATGGAAAGGACTTGTAATCAAAGACCGTATAGCGCCGTGAAGTGGCGCAAGATGGGCGAACTTCACAGTAAATACACGTAAAACATCGTAATCACATGGGCGCCATTTGAGCAAGCGATGCGCGTGCGCAGTGCACATTAATGCACGGGCTCAGCGGCAAGCACGTGCACCTGGTGAGCCTGTGCCTAAGCATTACCGTAAACTGCGCAGGCGTATCGCTTGCTCAAATGGCGCCCATGGTAATTACACCCTTTGGGCAGAGTTCTCCATCTTGCGCCTTCGGCGATATACGATCTTTGCTTGTAATACTTAATAATGTTTGAGCATATGCCAACAGGAGTACTGCATTTTGAAGCAACATTTGATTATAGAGGTTCTGCATGGCAGCCATCTTTCCAGTAACTGCTTTTGTTCTGGACGGATAGCACAAAAAGGTCTACTCATGTGTTCCTGTGGAATAAGAGCTCTTACCGCAAAATGGCTGCCATGCAGAACCTCTATCCTTTAAAATATGAAGCATCTGAGCCATCTATAAACTGCTCCTAACATCTTGGTCCATAAAGTATTCAAAATAACTCAACCTGCACTTGACGTGACTAATAATGAAGATCGGTCATAGAATGGGTAGTTTAACTCTAAAGAACCGGGTTATTTTGGACCATCTCACAGAACTTGGCAGTCTCATGACCAGTTTTTAGGAAAAAACTAAGCATGCATATGGGGACACTCCTTGGAGCAGTTTAGATGTAAAGTTTTAAATTAATTCAACACAAGGGGTTTGTTGTTATGGTCATTTGACGTTCAAGGCCAAATGCAGGCCCGCCAGCGTGCATTGAGCACGGCAATGGAGAAGTATACATTTTGGCCTGTCTTAGAAAAAATGGCTCAAAAAAAGTAGCATCAAAGTGACTGCAATGAGTAACTCAGTTTATGACAAATCTCCTACAATACTTGTGGAAAAAAGCACGGTGGCGATATCGAAAAAATGTTGATAGGATTCTGCCCCCCCCCGCTCTTTTAGAGTTTAAAGGGACTGTATGTTTGGAAAATGTGGGGTTCTAAAATGTCAGTCTGAGACTCCAAAAACTCAACACAGTTAAACTGTCAAACACAAAGACACATTTGTATGAAGCAAACAAAACTTTAGTACTACAGGTGAAGGATGAGCCAAGTGAAACATCTAAAGAGTGGTCCGTCTCTCCAAAAGATTGGACCTGTGCTATATTTTTGCTAGAAATGGCACTGAGATTGAAAACCTGTGTTCAGCTTAGACGATATTTTTCATCAAATTTACACATCTTGCAAGTCCACGAAGTTGACTCTGGAACAGAGGTGGTTAAAATCTCATGTGGACTAAGATAATATTGCCCAGTGAAGATTGATTACATTAATCTTCAGTGTGCAAACTATTTTAGTCCATGTGTTATCAGTTTTCATACATGACTGGGTGTGCAGTCTCTTGGCTCTCAGCGTTTTCTCTTAATCTTGGGTGTTTGTTTGACACCAGGAGACGTCTGAGTGGACGATGTTGCCGTTGCCACAGGTGTTTTTCTTTTCCTCTTCGTGAATATCTCGCCGGCAGAAACAGTTGGGGTGGTGGTGCCGGTAGTCTTTGAGCCTTGACAGCATCAAGCGGTGATATAAAGGTTAGGAACTGAAGCAGGAACTTAGTCAAGTTGCACAGGAGAAGAGCAAAGGAAACTAATACAGTGCATCCCTCCCCCCAAAAGGGGCAAGCTACGCTGTCTATTTTAAATGAAATCCGTCAAGCAGTGGTATTTATGACATACATAGTTTAAAAGCGGGCACTCTTGACTTAATGATTGTTTTATTGCATCTAATTTGCTTATGGCCACCAAGTATTAAGTATTCAGCAGCCCTCATGATTTCAGTCGGAAATTTTTCCTTAATTACCAAAGCCTCCAAATGCATTTGTGTGCAGTGCCATGTGAAATAACTGGATTATCGAACAGGTGGTAACTGCAATACATTCAATAAGTAGAATATGAAGTTGGAAAGTTGGTCCCTTATTGTACATGCTTGGTGGTTTACCGTATTGAGAACTGCTTTTTATTGAAATCAAATTCAGCTTGTTTTATCTTGACTCACCAAAACACACCAGGCTCTACACTAGCACCCTACTCAGGTTGAAGATTTATGTGGTTTTTTTTTTTCATACATCAACTGTGCGAGTTAGCAAACAATGCTGCGCCTACCTTTGAGTCTGCCAGCGCCCGGTGACTTCTTTGCCAAATCTGGTTTTGCCCTGACAGCTGGGTTCGCTTTGACTCCTAGTGGTGACTTTGCCTGAGGTGACTGGACAGGTGACCTGATTGGTGACCGCAACGGTGACTTGGCAACTGGTCTCTGGGTTGCTGCGACCAGTTTCGGCTTAGTGGCACTTGGCACTTTTTGTCGTTGCCCTTTGACGGGGGGTTTGACTGCAGGCTCCTGATCGGACGCAGTGTCATCGCTGGTTGACACTACAGGCCTTCTGGCCCTGCCCACCTTGGCAGCCTTCTTGGGCGACTCGCTGGAGCCGCCCACAGCTTTACGCTTTTTTGCCTGGGGCTTAGTGTCCCGTGCTGAAACTGAAGGCAGTCTAAAGTCTAGTTTCCCATTTGCTTTAGAGCCAGAGTTTGCAATTCCATTCACAAAAAGTTTCTTTAATAGCTTGTAGTCTGGTACCTCTTCGTATTTCAGCTTGCTCACGTACTCCATGTATTTCAGAAGCTCAACTGTTGATTGACAAATATTACAAAGAAAACAAAACATCCAAATTAAAAAATCAGAACACATTCAATGTCAAGGTTTATCCTGACTTGTACAGGTGTACCCAGCAACAAACTCCAAAGTCTACTCAGTTTTAATCTCTAAAACTTTTGCAATCAGACAAACTACATTTAAAAAGGACAAAAAGACATTTTAATCATTGACTTGAAGACTTGGATCTCAGGAATACCTAATTACCTGGGTGGTCTCCTCCTGGAAAGCAAGCCTTCATCAAGGAGCCAATATTTGACATGTACCTACAGATAAAAAGGTCAAAACTCATTCTTTCTTGTCGAATATAACTGTCCAAGAGATTCACCATAAGTCAGAAAAATTAGGCAAGTATAAAATAAGATGTGCATTTAGATTTACAAGGGGTCATTTAAAAATTTCGATGGTTTTACTTTTTTTTTTACAAAATAGTGGGTGGGTAGGTCAAGGTAAAGTTTTGAAAATTGAAATTCACTTATCATTAAAAAACCCCACAAATCCAGTAACAGCGCAGCATTCAACATGGTCCCTACCGTGCATGCTACATGTGTACATACAACACTAAATGAACAAAATCAGGTTGGTTTAATTAAAAATGAGGGTGGGTGGTGGGTCAAAACAATTTCCACAAAAAATCGAAATTTAAAAACACTGAACATTTCAAATGACCCCTAACTAATAACAATTTTCAAACCAAATTTTTTCTGAGGTTATAAATCTTGAATTTTGTCCCGCAGCTTTTTTTTGTGGAGACCCAAGCAATCCGGTAACAGGTAATTTTTTTTAAAAAGAACGGCAGCCATGGCAACAACCACCAGGCAGCTTCACACTTACTGCTTCTTTTGATTCGTAATGTAGTGGAAGTCAGTGCATGCTTCTGATATCTTGTGTTCCCACGGCAATGACCCAGCCAGCCACTGGGTGACGACATAACCGAGGATCTCCAGGTCTCCTCGCCTGGACGGAACTATACGGCAGAGAGTTATTCATTGGAAGGAAAGACAAGCAGAGTTGTAAATGGCAAATTACAATAGACTTTATTCATGTGTCGGCCATATTGAATTAAAAGTGAGGTAAAACATCTCATTTTTTGAGCCTGCTTTTGCTTTGAATTAACATTTGTGATAAGTTACATGTATATCTAAATGTTTTAAGCCCTATTTAAAAAAAAAAGAACTTTGGAATCCAAAATAGTCTGGTACTACCCCATTTTAGAGATTAAAATGAGTATTGAACAAGATAAAATATGGCTACCCAGCGAATAACGACTACTGAACTGAAGAATTAACTTCTTCAGATTTGTCTGCCTGTCTATGAGTCTCCCAGCCAGTTCTCAACTCACCTACTCCCTTGTGAGCGTCAATGCTGGTGAATTCCGGCGTTCCGTCGTGAGCTTTCCTGGGGTCCTCTTTATATTCACGGTGCTCTCCATTGGGACAGAAACGGACGGCAAGGCCGTAGTCAACTAAGTAGACCTGCTCATAAAATCACAGGCACAACTTCACCCAACTTCGGCAGGTACCTAGCCACCATTAAGAGTTAACCTTGAGACTTATCAAGAGAAACTGATATCAAGTTGCAGTAACTCCTGCCAAAACCCTTGGCCATTTAAACTTAGGGGCAAAATGCCCTATTATTCACAACATCAAAATCAACAAGACCACAGACAGGAACTGGCTTGGGTGGCCTTTCCACTTTTCATTGATTTGGCTGTATTCAAAGCAAATGACTGCAGACATGAGAAAAATTGTTCTGCAGGAGTGGTTTCTGCTGGCTGTTATTTACCATCACAGCCATGATGTCAACATATCAGATTAAGAAAAGGAATGGACTAGAGAGGGATAAGAAGCTACGTTCTCTGAAACATACTAGCACTCTACCAACTGGGGTATCCAATGGTGTTCCAGACATTGCTGGATAATTCACAACCCATTTCAGTGAAGATTTTTTTGAATCAGTGTGCTATCTTGGACAGGAAACACCAATTTTTTAGGGGGCTGAAGATATAAAAAAAAAGATACTTTTGAAATGGGCGTGGATTCAATCGTTGTACATTGCGTACCAGTTTAAGGATTGCAAACTGGTTTGTTGAGAATGGGTCAACCTGTTGGTTTCAGAAACGTCATGATCTCATCCAAAAATGCAGCCCAGTCATTGATAATAGCCCTTGCTTTATTTATTACAATTCTATGATCTGATCGAAAATTGTCAAAGTACCATGTGACCATACGGCTTCCCCTAGACCAGCCACCATTGCTGCACACAAGTGTTCTGTGAGCAACCTTGAGTCGTACATTGTGAACTCGATTAAAACTCAGATGAGCTTTGAAGCTTTTCACGGAGAAGGTAGTAAGTTATAGAGGTCTGCGGTAGCACCATGCAAGAATATCTCTTTCCGAGTATGTATGGTTGAGACTTCAGCTCATTGGCCCATAAAACCGTGAGTTCAAAAATGGCATGACGGTCCACACCTTTGCAATGTACAGTTACCGTTATCGTCCTGAACCTGTACCAAGTGCCGACTTGGAGTTTTTCTCAAACTCCTTATCATGTACAGAAGGCTCACCTTCTATGTAAATACTGTGCATGGTGCAATGGTCTACACCCACGACAATGGCGGATGCACATCTGGTCAAGGGGTCAGTGACAGCACCCAATTACATTACATGCAATGTTACAGGGATTCCAGGGGGAGTAATAATGCTACAGCAAGTGTGGCAGACCAACACCTGTGCAGAGATTGCCATACCTGGTCCTGTGCCGTGGGTCCATACCCTAAGAGGATGTTAGCGCTCTTGATGTCAGCGTGGGCATAGCCAGTGCTGTGCAGGTACTCAAGACTGTCCAACTGACAGGAGCAAAACAAGAAGATATAAATCATAAATAAAACAGCAAAATTTAATTTAAACTTCACACACTGTCCCTTTGCACGCTTTCAGTGTGGAATAACTGTCGCTGATCTTCTTGTTATTCAAAGGGGGCTTTCAAAGAAGACAAGTCAATGAGCCGGCCACCAAACATGCTCCCGTTATTCCTGGCAGAAATGTACGGTTACTGAGGGGGTTGACAAATCAACCCACAAAATGGGACAAGAGAGGTATTGACCAAAAGCAGCCGCTCAGACAAATTTCCCACGCCAACGATCCCAACTCTTTACCATCTGTATGCCCAGGGTGAACGCGGTCTTGGTAGTAAATCGTTTGCTGCAGGCCAAAAACTTCTTCCAGACGTCCTCTCCAAATCTCTCCATGACCAGGAAACGGAACTCCGTCTTGCCACGGGTGTGAATCCCGGCCCCGATGTATTTGGGTACTCCCAGGTGGGCCAGTTTATGTTTCTTCTTCCATTCCTCGACTACGACAAAAAGGAAAGATAACACTAATGGTGAACAGAGGCTGAACTATTCAATAGGGCCTACGAAAAATTTGAGCCCTAGATCAGGGCCAAACAATAACCCAGTGTGCCGTACATATCCTCTGTAAAATTGTCATTGGAAATCAGTACCTGTTTACCAGTTCAGTGGCTTCAACCACAAGTGCATACCAATCAACATCATTTCACCAGTTCACACAACAGCTTTAAAAAGAAAGTGGTTTTCTGCAGACTGCAGCAAAACGTCTGCTGGTTAAAATTAGTTCACCAACTGACACCGGTAGGGCTGCATGTACCTATGCATGTAAGATTTCTAAGCAAACGTTGTTCTGAAACAAAGAGTGCCAACTGGCTTTTAGAGTTATTAGTTTGACCTGAACCTGCTCTGTAGGGCAATAACATTACATTCAAAGCTCCAGGTATTATGAATGGTATGCTAAGGGCAGAGCATGCCCTTAACCACTGACGGCATTACCCCACAACAAACTGGTTCCAGGCACAGAATTATTTTTTAGCCGAAAATACAAACTTGTTTGAACGACAAGATACCATAAATACAGGCCTTTATAAAGTTGGTCTTTACAAATGCCAATCCGTAGTATAAATCATTTGGCCTTGATTTGCTTGACATTTCCCACTAGATTGTCACTGTTTACTACACTCCAAGACAATGTCGCAGAGTGACATTTTGCTGCACTACCCGGCTGTGGCACACAAACAGGTAAGGGCTTTGCACATGCTGAACCTGCATAGACTAGTTCCAGCTGCCGTTTGTGTACAAACTGTTAGGGAATCCCGCAAGCGTGGGATGACTATAGGTGTCACCTGCTGTTGCATACAGGCTGCAACTTTGTCTTTACCATGTGAGTTTACAAACATGTCGTCCAGCATGAAATGTTTAGTCCAGCACTGAAATTTGTGCATTAGTATGTACACAAGGCTGTCCACCAGATCTTACATTTTTGAGTACACAAAGACACTATCTTGGGTATTTTCAAATGAAGGATCAGAAGATGCAGAGATGCCAACTTTTCAAAATGAAAAAATGTAATCCTATTGCACTTCCACTTCTGGTTTCCTGACCAACCCTAATTTTTTGATGCGACCCTAAGAGTTTTCATCGGCAAATTGGAAAAAAAAAAAGTTAAAAAACTTTTATAAATACAGTCGTTTTTCTATCAAAACAAACACCTGTCAACAACTTCTTTTCATGTCAAAACATTTGTATTTACCTGCCTAGCAGGTGTGAAAGTGTGAAATGCAATTTGTTGTTGATTATATTTTCAAATTAATTCTGGTAAGTTTTTATTTCAATCACTTTTGTGGCAATTTTTGGCAACTTTCGTCCCAATCAATCAGCACAAAAAAATTGTCAAAAAATCCTTACATGTACCTACCGACCCTATTTAATCGGAAGCGGAGCCAATTTTTCTTGGCCTAACTAATGTGCTTCTCGGTGTCGTAAGATCCAGCGTGGGCAAAATTTATGTCACAGTTACATGCATTGCAAAACACATAGGCTTCTCCACAACAAGACTTTTCAATAAAGACCCATTTTTATGGTGTATTTGTCTGTGAAGTTTGGCTCACTTGTTGCCACTGTGCAAAACAAGTCCAGTTCTCACCAAATATCCAAGAATTGAATCCTTGACAGTCCTCCACTCCGGTCAACTTTAGCACGATCATGTTTGGCACGTGTGTACGATATCTCTACATGTACAACGCGTACACGCATGGACGTACACGATCACGTGGCATATGAAGTGCAATCATGCCTGTTTGTCCCCTGTTCATCATGGCGTTAATTAAGGTGAATGGATGATTCAGCCACGATGGTTTCTACCGCTACTGACGCAGCTGGTATGCACAAACTGTGGGATGCCAGCGACACATTTCTGATGCGCGAATTATGAGGCCGGCTCTGTACTACTAGCTCGCGTAGAGTTTATACACAAATGTATCGTTTTGAACAGTTCGAGATGGAAATCGTAAAAATCTTAGTCTGGATTGTACAGTCATAAATGGACTTAACAAATCGTAAAAATTACGCCTAAATCGTACAAATTGGCATCTCTGGAAGATGTTGTAAACGAATCTGAACAAGAGTAAACATTTAGTACACGCTCAAAAATATTCAAATGAAAACCGGATTACTCAACTCTGTTCAAGAAACTCAACAGTTCATAAATGGAACTGAAAAAAACCAGGCGGGTAAATACAGAAACAAGAGACGTACTCAAATCAGCTTTGGCACCTCTTTGGTAGAACGCCTGCTCTGTATACAGAGGTCCGTTATCTTTGGGTTCCTGAAATATAACAAGTAATGCATGTGACTCAGGTTAACCGAGAATTTCCCAACAGGAAAAATTTCTCACAAAATAAAAAAAGAAGTTTGTAATAAGGTTCTGTTTCATGGTTACAACATGACCATGGGTACCATATGATTTTGTGGCCATTTACAGACAAATACATTGTTTAGTTTTGTTTCCAAATGCAGTTTCAGACCTTGTCACATTTGCCTCATTTTGCTACAATTTATTTTCCCGTCTGCAAAAGGACTGAATGAATGTCTGCTAAATCTGAATTCATCTTTCTGTAAAACTTACAATTTTAACAACGTATCTTGCATTAGTGCCAATCGGACTGGATGTTGCTTCATCAGCTGTGAAAACACAAACGATACAAAAGAATCTTTAATAAACACTCACACTTATGACAACTGTATGAAATGACCAACACAAAATGACAATGGCAAATCAGCTTCAGCTGCACCAATATTTGGAAATCATTCCAATTTCAAGAGTTACAAGAGTCACAACTCCCTTGGAAATTGGCTCATAATTTTTCCCAGACGTAAAAGGCTGCTTGATCAAAGCCAAAACCAAGAGACAGGATTCAATGAGTCATCTACGACTCCCATACCGAGATAGAGTTCTCCAAAGCCTCCTTGGCCAATGGTCGGTCCCAGTTTCCATTCCTTCTTATTGAGATCTTTCAGGACCTCCCCCTGAGGGATGGGATCTGGAAGCTTATATGCCCTAGGCCCTCTTTTCTTGGGTGCCGCTGCAAAAAAAAGGCAACCAATTCAATCCAGTCAGGTCAAGAGCCATCTCAAGAGGAAACTGTGCATAGAGAAGAAAATCACCAATCAAGACAATACGTGGATGCAATTTTTTTTACCATGCACAGAAAGATAGAAATGTTGATGAAACTGTCGGTGCAAATCGCAGTCACAGGTGGACCGTGGTAGCAAAATCAGACGGCCTTGAATTTTTTGTATAATTAACAATTATACAGTCTGAACAAGCAGCATTACAGCCACATCTTCCAAAATCCCTAGACAGCAGAAATTCCTTCAAGCTCGGTTGACATACCTTTCTTGGCAGCTTGACGAGGCATACTGCAGGATTGCCAGCCGTACAGTATATCTGACCAAAAAAACAACATATTCTGTTGTGATAATAGAGTAGCTGAGCGAAAACTCTCAAGTGAAGGCAAGTCATACCAAGCTGTGGATGACACGTGGAATATGATAAGGAGTGCAGAAACAGACGCTAACCAACAACATAAGGCATCCTTTTCACCTCCTCTTCCCGATGGCATTACCATTTTCCTCAATCACCCAAACCACACCTAATCAATGAAAGTTGTATTCAACTCAACTGCACAAGCATTTTGTTGTGGCAACATCAATCACCATTGTTCATTTTATTAAAAAAAAAAGATGGTTGACTTCATTTAAACCGAGCGGCCAATGGGTATGGGGTTCTTTAATTTTAGGCAGTGTATGTTTAAGTAAATGAACTTGCAAAGCAACTGCTTTTCGAGACTTGGAAATTTTTTGCCATGACAAATCTTAGTCTGGTTTTGCCTGAACATCAACGTGGTAAGTTGGGCATTAGACCATTTGAAAATGTTGGAACAGCCCTTTTAAGTATAATTTGGACTGAGAAATCCCTTCGGGGGGGGGAGGGTTTAACCCATAAGAGCTATGAATCCGAAATAGAAAATACTCTGTAGCTGAATGTTAGAATAACATAAAATAACAATGGAAGAACGTTCCTAATTTTTGGAGCTGAAAAAAAGAAGTCTTTGGCTTGAATTTGATCCCACTTGAGAAAATTTGTCTTATGCTCACAAGATATACACGGTATTTACTTGGCCACAGGTCTTGCACAATTGATAATGTAGTTTAATACCTTTTATAGGAGCGGTCGCGTATAGAGGACGTTGTCCACATGTAGCTGGCTAAACAATGCTAAATGAGATTTAGTTGGCACCAGCAAACTTCATGTATACACTACACCAACATGTACACGTACGTACCCAATCTTTCCCATGGAAGATTGCGTATTTGATGATGAAGGAATAGAAATGGATCTCATTGGAAATCCACTGCAGAAACACCCGACAACTGAACCAGAAACAAGTGCATGTACTTCAATTAACTACCATCTCTCCTGGAACATGTTATCATCACTTCAACTCTAACCCTCTGGGGTAAAATGCAAATGGGGAGTTGGGTTGGCGTAGTGGTTCTTCCCTCGCCTTCCACCTCTGCGGTACGGGTTCGATTCCCGGCACGGTCCACATGTGGATTGGGTTTTCAGCCCCTACCTGATTCCGTGGGTTTTACCCAGTTCTAATATTCCTCTGGAATTTTCCCTCCACCTCTAAAACTGTAACTGCTTCTTATTATCTCCTTTCTACAGGTTTCTTCAGGCTTGCAAGCTACAGTGCCTAGGGCACTTTTGAGGAATCCTTGGTGTCATTACCAGAAATAAATAATAATAATAAAACTCATATAGAAATCGTAGGATTTGGGACTGTTAGGTTACGTATTACCATATACATGCATACATGCATCTATAAATCAATACTCCTTGCCAAGAAAAGTGCCTACTTGAAACAAGTTCCCTGCATCAGTTACCTCGGTTCCACTTCCCCACTCAAAGCCACCCTCATTATACATGTACCGTAGATATTCATTGCTTATCAGTCTTACTCTCAAAAGTACCAGCTACTACCTGACTTAGTTACAAGTGTGTGCGCACATTGGGACTTGCAAATATAAACAATGAGTGCATGCTAATAATCCATAACCACTGGTAACTATTGGAATAATTAAGTCTGAATGGTCAAACCCCTGTTGGTTTGCCTACTGTTTGCACCTTCTACCGTTGTTTGCATAGCCTACATTGTTCCTTGGACCACTACTAAATATTTCATACGTTTAGAAGGCTCGTCATAATGGATAGTTGAGCCCAAGTAATCCAGAAAATGCCTGTGTTTTTTATCTGGTACTGCTGAATTATATGTACACATGCAGTGATCCTTTGCTTTACGTTTGTTAACTTTAAACCTTGACCTGGAATATATATTGACCTGGAACAGATATTGACCTGGAAGTTGGAACAGATATTGGCCTGATAAGATGCCTGAAAAGAACAACCCACAAGGTTTCTTAGAACATTGGTTCTAGCTCAATATGGCAAATCTCTCATGATGGAGCTACATGTAGTCATGAGCCTACAGTATTGGATATTTCCATCTAGGTCTGGTTTGGGCCCCGAGATGCGAGACTCACATTGGAAAGACCGTAGTGTAACAGCCTGACACATAGGCCTAGTCAGTTGTCTATCACCCATAAAGTCTGTGGAGAATTAAGTGCATTTCAAAAGTATATTCTTAGAAATTTTAGAATTTTTTTCAGTCCCAGATTCACATGGTGTCAACATGTTAACAATGTCTGACCTTAATAAGTTGAGGGAAAGAATGTTTCAAGCTGCCTCCACCTTTTTCATTGTACACGTATCTTGGTCATTCATGTCATTGCAGAAATGCTGAAATGAGGTAGGACTGGGAAAATTGTCCAATTTTGTTAGGAAGTAGGGCCTTGGCCTACTTCAAAAATTTTCTTGACTCCGCCAGTGGTAGACTTTGCACATATATGTACGTTGTACACAATTGCCTCATGACATTGATATCACATAATATGTGATCATGTGGTGAAAAAGAATGCAACATTCCTCTTCTCACATTCAGCGAACGTTGTTAAAATAAAATTCAAGTCTGCAAATGCACGACAGGGAACACACACTGCTTGGCGTCAACTACATGGCCCTTACTAGATGTTTGAATTTTTTGGGAAATCCCTGCTGGGCCTCGTGACCAGACTATACTCAATGGGTGCAATAATGGGAAAATCCGGGTTTAGGCCTAACGTTTGAAGTTAATTGGAGAAAAAGTCGAAGTTCTCAATCAGTTTTTTTTTCAATATTGTCATGAACGAAATAATTGGACTTAACTGAACACAAACCTGTGATTCTCAGGCTTGAATAGTTTCAAGTCGTAGGTGAAATTTAACCGGAAGACCCGTTCCCACTTCGTTACGAATCTCGCGCTCGACTTTTTGCCGGGTCATATGAGGTCAAGCTAGCTCGGAGCACGTGAGCGAAATCAACAGCGCGCCCTCACCACCTTACTTCTCGAATGTAAACATGGCGTTGACCACGTTCGAAGATTTCGGATTGAGTTTTATGTAATGAATTTTGCAGTCAAATACGCAATCTGTGACTCAGAACAGGATGTTATTCTAATTGGATGACTTTACTGAAGACATCTGAATGTATTTTTGATATTTGTTGCCACACAGAGGCATGGTTTTTAGTAGCTGTTGACAGTACAGAGTCATCGTAAATGGCCTCTCAGGCGAGCGTAGTTCACGGACCCACCAAGCCGGCGGCTACGGTAGAGGGAAGTGGTAGCGAGGACGGCATGTCCCCAAACGTATCACCGTCAAAGAAACACAAACTGCCAGGCAGACATGTCAATTTTCCGGAGGGTGATACCATTGTTTCAGTTAAAGTGGATCCTCCTAACCCTTGGAGGCATGGTGAGAATTCAACTTTTTCTGAGCTGCATTCGTTCCACTGCCTGACGATGACCGATGACTATGACGAGTGTTCCATCATTGTATGCTCTTTTTAATGTGATTCTCACTGAGTTGAAATTGTTATAGCATGTTGGAATTGAAACAGAGTAGAATGCAGGAAATAAAGCATATTACTTATATCTTAGTTTAGTTATGTTCAGTTATTCAATTTGTTTTGTCAATCATAAATTTTAGATTACAAAATATTTTCCTTATTTCATTGGTTGGTAGGCGTATCAATAAATAACTTTCAGTCGAAGTCAACATGGAAAGATATTACTTAAAGACCCCCTTTTGAATTTTATGTTCTAGTATGAGAAAGAATTCCTTACACAGATGCTGCTCGACATCCTGTGCATAAGCCCTGTGAGACTGTTCTTCAAATTTTCTAAGTGTATTCTTAAAAAGTACCTCAATATTTTCACTGCTAAACTTAACTTTTGCAAACATTGTACAGCTTTCAGATACGTCACTTCAGGGAAAAAGTATTGGCGTCTGTATGTGAAATTCTTTCCCTTGCATGTTAGTACCAAAGTGCTGCAGCATCAGAGGACTAAAGTGGTTTTGGTTATAATCAGTACTCTAGCAAGTTCTGCATTGCTGTTAACCCCCCCCCCCCCGCCCCGCCCCTTTTCCCCCTCCCCCTCTGTAGCCTGCTCATCCTGGATTTTGTGTTAGCTTTTTGAAGTCTGTTTTTATTCCTTGTTCAGGTTTAGGTCTAACCTTACTGCTTTGAGCCAATTGGTTGGTCTTTCCAAATCTCTTTGGAGAGGCAGAACGACAATAAATAGTTCTGGGAAAAATGCAGGATTTTTGCTGTGACAAGTGTTTTCCTCTTTGAGAGTTTGAATTCCTTGATTGCCTTCTTTGCTATTCGTGTAGCAATGCTAATGAATGTTAAATGTATATATATATATATACATGTGAGGCTGAGCTTCTTGTCCCCACCCGCTTCTTTCATTCGTTCCTGCCTCCTTCTTTTTCCTTTTTTTAAATAGTTTTCGACATATGGTACTTTGACTTTATTTCCTAACAAACAAATGTGTATTACAGTTTTCAAATGTAGCATTGTGCCCATATTCAAAGCCCTTCAGCTTGAGTGATGGCTCCTTGAAAATTGAAAATCCATCTACAACCAGTATCTTGGCAAATACCCTCGTTCCTTTCTTCAAAAACCCAATTTTTTGTTTGCCTACTTATACTTGTAAGACTCAACCAGGTCCCACATTGTATGCACTCACACTACTATTTCTTAGTAATACATACAGAACAACAAGATACATGTAGCATACTCTTAATTTTGAAATACTGAAAGAGATTTAGATGTCCTTCCAAACGCCATTCCTTTGACAATAAGCTGTATTAAAAACACTTATCTAATTGCTTTATGGAGATGTCTGCTTAACTGAGGTTAACCTTGTCTTTGTCATAATATTCATGTCATTTCGTCTTTTTCCCATTTTCAAACAGCAAAAGGGACAAGCACAGAGGAGCTTCAGGCTGTTTATCAGGCGGCTTGCTACACCATGAAGGTCAAACCGAATGCTAAAGTTGTCCAACAGTTACAGGTAGGCCTTGTTGGATGGGCTCAGAATTGAGGCCAGGTATCAGTAACGGATATGACAGTGAACACGAATACAAGAAAAGAAATTGCTACCGTGCCAATCCTACGAGATCATTTTCAAATGAAATTCGCGAAACTTACATGAAGAAAACATGCAATACTGGAAAAAAAGATTGTCACCTCTCTAACGGTCTTTTCCTACTGCATCAATTAATTGTGTAGAAAGGGAAATCTGGTGGCCAGTCTCTTTATCTATATGTTTTTCACAGTTGTGCCTCCAGACTACTGAATGGTCAGTCATTTTTTAAATAGGATGCACAATTACCAGTCTAGTAATACTCTTCAAAATGAAGTCACTTGGCTCCAGTCTCAGGTGTTAAATGGTGAAAAAATGTCTCCTTCACAACTTGAATTGAGACCACAGACCTTTCTTTGCTACATTACAATTTTTTGGATTTCTGTCGGCTGAAGACTGAGCAAATTTGCTGTGATTTTGTTTTCCGGCTTTTTCTGCCGTCTCATCCTGGCTCAGAATGTACCCCCAGAGAGATAGTGTCTTGCTCAGGAAATCATTCATCCTCTCTTTGTTTTAAAAGGTGTATACGGACATCATGTATATCTTTAAGCTTGTACATGTATGTACATGTCATGAGGAAAAAAACCAACACAAACTCAAAAATAAGTGTCAGCAAATAATTTCAATTTAGGAAATGATGTTTTTGGTGTCATTGGTTAAAGTGTAGCTGTAGTTAATTTTTCTTCAATATAGTTTTTCTTTACAGAATTTGACTTCCCTATTAGGTTAAATGTACTTATTGAAAAGTGATTGTGAAATACATTTGAAATTATTCATGATTTCTTCTAAACTGAGGGTGCTGTGGCTGTGAAGCCATCCAGGGAAGACATGGTCCACTGCATAAATTTTTGTATTCAAGTTGTGAACCCAGAATCTACTCCCTGCAAAACAATGCTGAGAAAGGGTTTCTTATATTCATTTTCTGAAATGCTGTTTGTTCTGACACACCAATAAACTCCCAAAGAAGGCAAAAATTTAGGGCAGCAAAGTCTTTCAAAATGCTGTGCACAAACAAATCTAACCATTTACATGTAGGTACCTTCTAAAATAGTGAACATATATTGAAATATCTTCTTAACAAAGATAAAGGTGCATTTGACGGTTTTGCAGTTACCCTTTAAACATTATATTCATGTATTAATCTCTCTGGGATAGAAAAATCTGTAAGGCATTCATTATGCAAAATCTTCCCATAGGTGCATTTATCATTATCTCATGATCTGGGTCCTGTGGCGTGTCCTTGACCAATTAATAGAGTTGGCCTTTGGTAAGTGTTCTGCAGACCATGTGGTTTAGTCACAATGGCATTGTGGGAATAAATGTGAGGCATTGTCGTCAACAAAACTACTTTATAAATGTACGTACATAGCCATCTTGCAGGGCAGCTCTTGTGTTCCATAGGCAAACCTCCTTTGTGCATACCCCATGGAACAAAAGCACTGGCCTGCAAGATGGCAGCCACGCAAACTCTCTGTTGTGCTTATAGCAGTGTCTTTGGCATGGAATGCATATATACCCTACACGTGTATCATATTATCATTTCATGTTCAGCAGGTAAATTGTGACCCCCTCTGCAAAAAAGGGTGTGAAGTCGCGCAATGCCAAAACACGTAATGGCCTGTCCTCTGTTTGGAGAGGGCAAAATTTCTTCAAAAATGTGATTTTGTGTTTTTCCTTTAATAACTTCTATAATATTTATAATTTTAGAATTTGTGATTACAAACATGGATACTGATAAATAAAGATGAAAAATTGATCATTCAGTTAGAAATCCTACATAGCATTGTGTTTCCAAGCACCACACTTAATGAGCTTTTTCTCGGAAAGTGCTTTTATTGAATCCGAAAATGTAGATATACAAATGTCTATATATCTCCAGAACGCAGTGCACCACAGGGGTCATTCATATATCAAATTGTAGCTTTTGATGTACAGAATCCAGCCATATCAAAAACAACCTGAATCTGGCGAGTTTGGACCCATTTTTCTAGAGTTGGTCACAATTGTTTAGGTAAAAATAAAGTAAAATCACATTCCAATGTACATGTACTTCAAATGTACACTGACAGCATAATGTACAGCCGCATTCCGTGCTTCGTGTGCGCTCCTTGAGTGAAGGACCTACATGTACACAGTACATACCGTACATTCATCACACAGGCTCCCATTCATTTCCCCATGACCAATAAGCCAGCCCAGTCGTTCAGCTCTGCACAAACATTTCGGTACTGGGCAATATATTTTCATCGGGATGCACACCGGAAATGCATTGTACACAAGACTATCGTGGGAACAGCGGCTTAAATAAGCAAGACACATGCACTGGCATGTGTAATTACTGTGCAATCAGAAACATGTATGCATTCCAGTTTGGAGAACCCTGCTACATGTACGTGTAAATGCTGCAGAAAGTACATGTAACAGTGAATTACCGTGAATTTTAGCAGCATTGTGCATGGGTCCGGTTTCTACCGGTGGTGGTGTAACGGCCTTGCCATGATGCCCTCCTTGTGTGGACCAGAGAACAAATCAGGTCCCTGTACTGTAAGGAATGTGAAACTGTGAACCCTGTGTGGACTAAGCAGTGTCCACACTAGGTTACCTCCCCCCCCCATCGAAAAAGCATTTCAGAGACAATTTGGGTGAGGGTGTACCTGGTACATCTGTCGCAAAAAGAAGAGGAACAGTCAACCTACGTGCATCAGTAAAAATCCAGATTACACAGTCTTCCAAGTGGTAGAAAAATTACATAGACTTACCGGTATTTAAGTATCAGTACTTTCTTTGACTTTCCTAAAAGTACATGTATGTCTGTGGGCAGTACAGGTACCGGGTAGGAGCCGTATTGAAGAACAGTGAAAGGAAACATGGATTTCTGGGTACCATACAAAAGAAACCTAATCCCAGAATTTGTTTACACGTATGTGAAAAAGTCCATTCACTTTGCTTTCTGTCTTACCTAGAATGCTCGTCAACAACTGTTGAACATACATGTAAGCATAAAATCTGCTGCAGCATTCCATGCAGCCTGGTTTTTAATGTAACATTTGTCCTCAAAAACATGTTTTTCCCTTGAAAAGTTACTGAGCAAATTGATCATGGGTACCCGGGTCCCATAGTTTGGGACCAGTTCCTGACATTATCGCTCAGGTATATGTACAATTATAATGCACAGCCTGATGCAACCACATTGGTTTTGAGTAGCTAGAGTTTACCCTGTTTCTTTGTGTAGATTGCCATTGGTAAATCCAACAATGCATGGAAGTCTTGACCACCGTTGCATTTGTGGGTTTGGGCTCATGGAGGGGTCCTTGGCCTGTTCACATGTCTCATGGTTCAGCAGTTGGGATAGATTATTCCACCCAAGCAGTGCAGCTGGCTGAAAAGCGACAAACCAAAATGCCTGAAGACATCTGCAAATGGCATTACCGGGACTTTGTGCATACACATGTACGTGTACTGTAGATGAAGACAGGTCTGCATACACATGTACATGTATAAAATGCAGGCCTGCACTCCAACTAAGTAGACTGCACGTATTCACTTGCGCACACAAACTATAGGCACAAACCGTGCACAAACCATAGGCATAAACCATGTTGTATGCTTCAGGTTCCTGGTGCACCACTGTTGGCTGTCAGCTTCATCAAAACAGAACAAGTGTATGGAAAGATCCTGGTTTTTCATGGATATACATGTATTGTTACCTGACATGGTTATCATTTACATGAACATGTACATGCACCTTATAACCCTCATTGTCAAAATACACGGTAACAAAGTTTACAGAAGTAGCAACCTCGATTTACTGTACATGTTGACATTACAATAGTTGATAACTTGTTTCTGTCCATACAAATTATCTTGATCCTTGCATTTGACTTGTACATGTACACTTGTACATTGTATTATGTCTTGCTCATAGTGTTCCACTGCAGGCCAGACTACAGTACCTGCACAGATGCATGTACATGTATATCATGTACTGGTTCATGTACACCGTACATGCATTGTTCATGCACTTGATCATGCACTTGATCATGCAATCGCAGTGAGCAGGTATTAAGGTACTCAACATTGTCTTTTACATCCAGCCTTTTTTTCTTAACCTAGCACAAATAATGTACATTTTTGTTTGGTAATGGTGTCAGAAACATCTGTATTCTGTTCTGAACAAGCAACAGTCTGTTCGGTTTTTAGAAATGCACACAGGTGGTGGATTTTAATTGCAAGTACATGTATGTACAAATACAAAAAACCACTTACGTTGTGTACATGTACATAAACCGACAGCTTGCCTGGGTAATGGTGACTGGGTTCTTGTATACGTGAAGCCACAGTTGTTGTTATTATTATCATTATTATTTATTCATCATTCTTCTCAATTGCTGCTCACACGGAATGGCTTTGCAATCTGCAAGTCTACAGCGGCACTACATGTACATGTACGTGTCCCAGTGAATATTTTTATTTCTGTCTGAAATTAATATCATGAGCAGTGCACACTGTATGCTGAGTGGAAATACCCTAAATTACATGATAAGTCCTGTGGAGTTACCCCCCCGTCGGGTGGAGTAACATGACTAAGATCCCCGGGACCAAAATAGTTGAGGACAGTGACAGTGCCACGTCGAATAAAGGGAACATTTCATGATGGCATCAAGCAGGTGAAAAGTCTGGAAAAGGAAGGGGAGAACAACGTGGCACATCTCTCTAGTCATGTTCTAAGAGTCCTACACGTCATTGCCAGTGCTACATAGCACAGAAGTACATTGTGTGCGGAGATATTCAGACCTAAGATACATTCAGAGGTACCACACATAACTGATGGACGGTGCTTTAAACACAATGCACGTGTACTCAGACCATGCAGATCTGTTCCTGGTACTGTTGTGCATTGCACGGTACAGATTTTATACACATTTGAG